AAAGATATCATTACAAAAATTTTACATTAATTAAAGATTAAAGAACTGAAGAAAAGTAAATCTCCAGAAAAAACAAAAGCACTTCAAATTATTTTTACATCTTTGTTAGAATAAGGAATCTGTAAATCATTTGACAACTTTTTTGAAGAATCTTCAAAAATCTTTAAAAGATATAATTATAAAAATTAAAGATTAAGTGGTCTTATTGATAAAGAATTAACCATTTATAAATCAAAACGAGCAAGAAGGATAGATGATGTTATTGGGAATATAAAATTAATTATATCAAGTTATTATAAAGAAGGATAATCTTTTAAATTTTAACAGATTTTATATACAATATTCCCAATAATTGCAAAAGAATTGAAAAATGCAACATTTTATCAAAATTAACTATTACCCAAAAATTAAAATTAAATTTATTTAGAATTAGATAAATAAATATTCTCTATCAATAAATAAGAAGTTGATTAGATAATAAATGAAAATAAAGAATCAATTATGAAAGATTTTAAATTTGATATTGATTTGTAATAAATTAAAGAAATTATAAATTCAGAATTACCAAATCAATTAAAATTTTTAAACTATTTTCTTAATAATGCTAAATTTGCAGATTAACACATTAATAATATCTTAAGTTTCATTAATTAATTCAAAAAAGAAATAATTCAAAAAGTAATCATATCAACATTAAAAGATTATTTAAATTTATAGATATTAAAATTAATTCAAGAATTAATATGAGTTATATTCTTAACAGATGTATTCATTTATTTATTTATTTCATAAAATATAATAAAAAATAATTAATTTAGATAATAAAAAGAGATTTAAAATCATATATAGTTTTAAATTTCATATTCAAACACCATATAAGATAGCTATATAAATAGTAATAATTTAAGAATCTACTTAAGATTTATAATGATAGATGTCTTTTTGTTCTAATTTCCTGAATAATTATTATATATTAATTTCATAAAAAAGTTTATCACATCATTTATTTTTAAATTAAAAAATGTTTTGTTAAATAAAATTAAGTTATTAAATTCTTTACTACAATTTTATTTTATTTTGTATAATAAATATTATGTAATATATTTTGTTATTGATCAGTCTATGCACAATATTTTGTGGCCCACCATCTGATCTTGTAGATCCCTTTTAATATGAATACTTTAGAATTCCTTATAATAAAACTATGTATTCAGGATATTTGGAACCTCAAGATATTCCTGATCATCATTTTCATTACATATTTTATCCAAATGATAAAAGTGATGCTCCAGTAATATTATGGTTAAATGGTGGACCAGGATGTTCATCTCTTACAGGAGCAATGATTGAAAATGGTCCATTTGTTTTCATAGGAGGAACTCCAACTTTTGAGGAAAATAAATATTCTTGGGCAAAATTTGTAAATAATTCTAATAAAAATTAAAGGCTCATATGCTTTATGTAGAGACTCCAGTTGGCGTAGGGTTTTCATATAAAGATGATGGAAATACAACTACAAGTGATGATGTCACAGCATAAAATAATTATTATATGTTATTAGCATTTTATCGTAAATTCCCAGAATATAAAAATAATGATTTATATATAGCTGGTGAATCTTATGCTGGAACTTACATTCCAACATTAGTGAATAAGATTATCGATAATAGTTAATCAAATATTCGAATTAGAGGAATGATGATTGGAAATGGATGTACAGATGCTGCTGAATGTACAAAAGAAGCAAAATACTTTCCATATTACAAATTTTAATTTCTTGCAAATCATAATTTTATTAGTCAAAAACTGAATGATTTAATAGAAATTCATAAAGCAAGGTGTTAATTCAATAATGAATAATTTTGTTAAGATTTATATCAAGATATTTTAACAGAAACCAATTTAGATGGATCCTATGAATACAATCCATATAATGTTTATGGTACTTGTTTCTAACCTCCAGTGGAAACACCTTAAGGTGAAAGAATTCCATATGCTAAAAATAAATTTGATCCATTTGACATAATCTAAGGACATATTCCTCCTTGTTCAGATGCTGTTGGATTATATCATTATCTTCGTGATGATGAATTTAGACAAGTAATTGATATATTATATTTTTAGTATTTAAATATTCATCCTTAAAGTGATTAATGGGCTAAATGCCAATCTCTCAATTATACAAAAGATCCAAGAGCTACTTATTATTTATATCCCAAAATAATGGCAAAAGGAATCAAAATACTTAAATTTAGTGGTGATGTCGATGGTGTAGTTCCAATAACTGGAACAATATATTGGATAGAAAAACTTTAAAAAGAATTAAGTACTTCTAATTTGATAAAAAAATAGATTTACCAACTATTTAATAATGGAGACCATGGTTTAAATCAAATAAATAAAATGCTGGTAATCTATGGGAGATTGATGGTTTATTATTTGTTAGTGTTAGAAATGCTGGACACATGGTACCTGCTGATTAAAAAGAAGCTTCATTTATTATGGCCCATAATTTCATTTTTGATGTTCCATTTCCAGAAGAATGATTTCGTTTTCATTTAGATGAATTAAACATATTACTTATTTATTATTCTCTTTTTACTTCTATAGTTTCTTCCAGTTTATCTTTTAGTACATAATCTTAATATTTTATAATTTTTATAATATATAATTCAAATAATTTAATAAATTATCGTTTTTCTCAAAAAACATAAAACTTTATCTTAAATTTAAAAAGTTATTATCTATTTATGAAGAAGAAGACATTGATTTTTTATATTTAAACTAAAATCGATAAGTTTCATAAATTATTCAAAACTGTATTTAATATTAAATCAATATATAGAAAGAATTCATTTATTTTTCATTAAGTTTGTAATTATTTAGGTAAATCCTTAAAAAAGTACTTAAATCCTCTCTTTTGCTTCTGGGAAAAGCTCACTTTTATCAATGATACCTGAAATCCTTTATTCTTCAGGCCAAACTTTAATGATTTTTTTCCCCATTATTCTTTTATACTTATTTTTTACAACAAGTTCCTCTTCAATCTCTTTTGGGATTATTGACTCTTCTGAGTTTTTAAGACTTTTGTAATATCGATTCTTTAACATATTCATTGTTTTTCCTGGGAAGTACTTGGTAATCTTTTAAAATTTAGGTCCTAATTTTTTGACCAGAAGTAACAGTATTCGATCTTCCTCAGGAGTAAATGTGGAATTATAGGCTTTTGAATTTAAATCCAAATAGCTTCTTTATTTTTCTTTTATGTATTTATAAAGTGCGCTGCTCCTGTCTTTGTCTCCATAAATATAGCATTTTCTTCGTGAATGAGTTTTTTTTTTTATTGTTTTTGAAATTGTGGCATTAGTTTCTTAGCTTTAAGTAGTTTGGTTGAATAATAGAAAGGAATTCGATACTTACTCACAAACATTTAATTCTTCTGAGTCTTCATATTGATATTTGAGAGAGATCATGTTAATTTAATTAATATATCTCGCCAAAAATATCTTATATATAGTACTAAACAATAATTGAGGCAGATAAAATTGGTTGAAAACGTTTTTAAGTTCAGATAATATATAAAACATTTTCTTTTATTATAAGACTTAAATTATTATTTGTAATAGCTTATAATTCAATTTTAATTGGATGTTTTTTAATTAATATTATCATATGGCACATATACTTAAAATAATTCATTTATATTATTTAGTTATAAAATTAATTATGCTCTAATAAACTTATTCTTAAATTTCACAACAGATTGAAAATTGAAAGAGGCTTTAAATTTTTTAACAACATTATTAATTAGAAAAATATGATTCCAGTTTAATATATTTATAATAATTGGTCATCTATTAATAAATATAATATATTTATTAAATTATGTAATAATTAATCTTTTTTAATAATAAAATGTTCATAATACAATAATTTAATGGATAATATAATTTAATGACATACAAATTATTTTACTATCAAATTATTTTATAAATATAAATAAATCAAAACTCTTTTAGTTTTTAAGGATTTAATTTTCTCAGTTTGATTTAGAATTTATTTAATATAATACATACATTCGATATGGCCATTTATTAGAGTTTATATTCTTTAATTATTAGGCTTTGATTGTATTTAGAAAACAAATTTTGATATTTATTATTTAAAAATCATCTATAATATTTATAAAAGTTAGGATTGTTAAGAAATAAATTTTAATTTATTTAATAACATAAAAAAATTATATATAAAAAAATTTGGTAGATGAAATATCAATATTTTTGCATACATAGAGTATATCTTAAATGATTAAGTAGAAAGTATAACCACAAAGAAACAAATTTTGAAGGAGGTTGCTTGCATCTAAAACTAACTTCATTAAAATTAATTCATTTTATTTCTTATTTTTATATATATGGCAAGATTAATATTGCTAGTGCTTGAATAATTCAAAATGATTATTAAATGATGATGTTTTGAGATGAACAAAAAATTTTAATTCTAAGTCTTCCTAACTTTTAGATTATATTATTTTTTTAAGTCTCTCTTTAATTTGCAATAAATTATTATTAGTTAAAAAAAGAGCTTAATATTTTAATATAATATAAATATAAATTTAATTTAGATTTAATGAGAATTTTTTAATTTTTTTGTTGGATCTAAGCTTTGAAAAATTGTAATTCATATTTTATAAAAGAGCACAATAAAATTCAAAAAAATATGAAAGAATAATTATTTGTTGTCCATTTAAGTGTTATTTTTTTTTTTATAAATACTATAAATTTAATAAAAGTGTATGGATTTTTTATCGTTATAAATAATATTAATATCTAGAAAAGAAAAATAATTAGGTTTTACATTATAATACTAATCAAAACATTATGAAATTTGCTAATTAGCATCATTTTAATTTATTTCTATCCACTATTACATATTTTGGATTTAAGAAAAATTTACTTTTTTTAAGGTCAAGGTTGATTTGTACTTAAGTGAAAGAGATTATGAACTACTCCTAAAACAATTTGAAAACTAAACAATTGAAGGACAAGGTACTATCAATTTATATTTTAAGTTTAACCCATTTTCTATCTAATTTGCTAAAGTGAAAATCTCGAAATAAAGAACCTGACAACACAGTAATTTAAAATGCCCCTTATACTGAATAGCATTAGCACCAAATACATAATTTGGAAAGAATTGAATAAATTATTGTGTTTGTTTAATAATAATACTAATAATTTTTATCTATAATAATACATCTAAACTTAATTCTATATTGTTTAGCCTATTATAAAAAAATTTGCAAATATTTCATTATATTTATAAAGTTGAAACCATATTTATCATAAAAAAAGATTGATCTTAGCTAAAATGATTGAAAATGATATCTAAAATTTTTAGTTATTTGATAAAATCAAATATAATTTTAAATTGTCAATATTAAGCATTATAATGATTAGAAATCAAAACAGATAGAAATTCTATTGATATATTCTTTAGATTTGTTATAGAGTGGATATAGATATTTATATAGTTTCATTCCATTTTCATGAATATTTTATTCTTTTCATTACTTGTAAACTTAATAAATATTAACGATCTAGAACAATTAAGCATAGAAATATGCATAGCTAATGAAATTAACGACAAATTGTAACTTAATAGAATGCAATTTTTTTGTACTGTCTATTATGTTTTATATAAATATATATATAAAATTCATTTATCATTTTTGCATATTGCTAATGAGTTATTAAAATGAACTCAAGAATGTGTGTAGAATTTCCTTTGCTTCTGGGAAGAGAGGGCTGTTCTCTATCACAGAGCTCATTTATTTATGTTGAGGCCATAAATTAAGGATTTTCCTACCAATAATTCTTTAATCATTTTTGTTTGATAGAAGTTCTTCTTCTATTTCTTTTGGAATTTCTTGAGATTCTATGTATCGTAGACTCTTATAGTATCTGTTTTTAATCATATTGACTGTTTTTCCAGAGAAATACCTTGTTATTTTATTAAACTTAGGTCCTAGTTTTTTGACAAGCAAGATTAGAATTCTGTCTTCTTCAGCAGAGAATTACGAAATTTAAGCACGAGGCTTGTAATCAAGAAAGGCCTTTTGCTTCTCTTTGAGGTATTTATAAATAGCGCTGCTTCGATCTTTCTATCCATATTGTATAGTTTTTCTTCTTTATCTGATTTACTTAGATTTAAAAATTCCCTCTTCTGTAGGTTGAAGATGGAATTCAGTTTAGTAAGAGCTATCATCTTGATTGGAGGTTAAATTAGATTTAGATTATTAAGAGATTCCAGAAATCATTTTGTTTTAAAAAATATTAAATCCATTCTAATTATGGTATCCCATTTAAATTACAAACTAAATCCGTATATTTAATTAAAAAATTTAATGGAAAAATTGTTATTATTGCCAATAAACTGACATTTTCTGTCTGAATTTTTCAACAGCATTAATGTTTTTGAAAATATTGATTAATTTATTATAGTAAAATTGATAGAAAATATGCATCTAAAGTAAGTAAAAAGTTAATAAAGCCCATAATATTAGATATATTGGTGATTATATATTTCAAGGATAGCATAAATGAGATTTAAAGATAGATAAGGTTTACAAATATTTTATAATTAACGGGAATAAATTTACATGCACTTTGTTTAATTAACTTATTTTCTTTATTTCTATTTTAAAGTCAAACCACAGTGGAGATTTTAAGAAAAATAAAATATAAAAAAGGCTTCTTAAAAACTCATAGGAATATTAAAATAAACTCTTAAAAGTTATAAGAATCATAGACCATAGACAATTTCAATTTTTAAGATTACCCATATAAAGGAGAAGAAAGTCTATAAATCATAAATATTAACTACTTTACAAATTATAAATTACAAGAATATTTGTATTTATATAAATTGATTTTTTATAAAAGTAAATTAAGCATATTTGAACTTGTTCGGTTTATATATGATTTTGGATATGGAAAGTCAAAATTTTAGGAGGAATTAATTTAGAAAATTAAATACCATAAACAGGAGGACTTGGAGAGGATGTTTTTATGGATTTAGGTAGAATATATAGTGTGTAAGATAAAGTTCTTATAAATGTTTATTTATTGATCCAAGAGAAACTTGTGATTCTAGTAAAACAAATAATCATTAAATTTAGATTAATAAAAGGAAAATAAAGGGAATATAATGAGGACTATTTGCAAAAAGTGATGAAACCCAGACATTAAGATAAAAAGTATATATTTGTTTAATATGAATAGCCATATATTTATTTAATTATGTATAATTTTTACAAATTTTATGTTGGAATTAAAATGAATTTTGAAAAATAATGAAAAATAACTATAAAATTATTTTAATTTTTTTATAAATACAAATTAGATGGACTCTGGTGGTGCAAATACTTTTGTTATGGAACCCAAAGATGAAGAAAAGTGATATTTTAAATTCATATAATTAGATTTTATCCATCTAAAGTGAGAAAATTAATACAAGAAATAATGGATGATAAATTAAAAAACGAAACTTATGATGCTAATAATACTCCTAATTTAGCAGAAGAATTAGTAAAAAGAATTAGAAGTAAAGTTAGAGAATGTAAAAGACTAATTTCATGTTATTCTTAAGCTATAAAAATGCCAAGATATAAAATTGCAGTTTAAGTAGTAATTGGAGAAGTCAAAGGATAGGGATGCAAAGTAACTTCAAAGAATCTTTGGGATCCAACTTGGGATAATTATGCATCATATTCATTTTAAAATGTAATAATTCCTTTTCATCATTAAATCAATAGGAAAATATTTATGGCGTAGCTATAGTATTTGGAGTCTATTATGAATGAATTTAATTTTTGAGTATTAGATATTAATATACATATCATTTATTATAAATTTTGTTATAATCAACAATAAATTTATCTCCTTAATAAGGTTTAAGAAAATCATAATTCTAATAAAACTAGCATCTATTATTTCTTGGGCATTCAATAAATTTAGACTTTCTAGTATTTTTTGAATATTGATTAGGTTTGGCATATTAATTTTGAACCTATTCATCTAAATAGACAGGTTATCCAATCAATTTAAGATTTTCAAAATAGTCTTCTGGAAACAAGAGTGATTTAAAGTTTTTACATTTATACTTTTCATCCTTATAACAATTTCTTTACATATAATTAAGTCTTCTCCAAATTCTTTTTTAATCTTCATCATTAAAATCAAATTATGATAGTTATTCCTTTATAATATATTTATGTTCACATAGAGGATGTACTAATAATCTGTATTCAAAATCTCTGAATAATTCTTTCTTAGATCTTTCAATCTCAAAATGGTAATGAACTTCAGCATAAAATAAATCAAATAAAGCTTAGCTTGTCTATAAACTAAAGATAGTTCTTGCTCCTCCTAAGTGTTCCTTATTCTTTGTTATTGTATAAAGATCATCATCTTCACAAGGCATAATAAAATTCAGAAAACTATTATTAAATAGTTTAATACTCTTCATAATCCATTTCAAATTTTTTTAGACCTGTGTGTCTATATAAAAAACTATAAACAAATTGATCATCATGTTCAATTTAATAATGACTCCAATTAAGAAATCAAATACATTAAAAATTAGTTTAGACATTTGAAATTCATAGTAGGCATAGCAATTGATTCAAATATTTGTTTAGTGTCTATTCCCTTTTAGCTTACAAGATTCATTCTTTTCAAATCTACATTCTATTCTTCCTTTGCTATCAGTTAAAGGTGTTTATTTATTCTTGTTATTAAATTTTACATTTTAATTAAAATAATATGAGATTAATTATTCTCAAAATCAACTTCTTCTTAAATTATCAAATTATAAAGATTTTTCTCAAGATTTACACATTTGTATTACAAATAATAATAAATTACAATTCTATTTTAGATAAAAAAATAATTTATCATGATAAAAGAAATATTTAATTAAAATATTATATAAATCAAGTCCATAATGAATGTGATTTTATTTTTAAATTAATTTTAATTTTTTATATTAACAATTTTTCATAAATAACCTAGCTATATAAAATTTTCAAATAGATAGACTTATATTATTCTGAATTATAAAAATGTTTTTTTGCATAGATCTTATTGTTTATTGATTTTTTTGAACAAGTTAAATCATCAAGAATTTTATTAAAGATAGAGTTATTGTAAAAATTTAAGAAATAGAAAATTAGTCGTTATTGCTGGTTTCATATAATATTTAGTTAAAATTAAATAGATCAAGACAAAAAAAGATCTAGAATGTAATTATTCTGATAAAATTTAACTTAAGGTTATTAATCAACCTGGTATAAATTGTTCTTTGAATCTTAAAAAATTTTCATTAATAATTTAATAAAAGCTTTCATAATGCCAAGAAGAAGTGGATCAGCATCAAGATCAAGACCTAGCCCATCAAGAAGCACAGCAACAGCTGCAAGACCAGCTCCATAAGTTTAAGCTCCTCCTTAAACTCCTGCAAAATCAGGAGGAATGTTTTCAGGCCTTGGATCAACTTTAATGACAGGTATGGCATTTGGAGCAGGTTCAGAAGTAGCTCATTAAGCAATCAGATCTGTAATGGGTGGATCAAGTAGATTTAAATGTTATTTAAATAGGTCATTCTTAACCAGCTGAATAATAAACCTAAGAATAAGCTCCTCAATAGTAATAATAAGCTTGTTAGAGTGAAAGCCAAATGATTTCAAATGTAAATTTTTAAATAATTTTTTTAGTGCTTACAGACTAATTCAGATATTACAAGATGTCAACCATATATGGACATTTTCAAAGAATGCTAAAAGAAATACAACTTATGATGATTTATTATAGATTGAAATAGAAATTATATAATATATTTCATTAATTTGCTTAATTTGTTTATTTTAACTTTAGTTATTTCTACAATTGATCAATGATTTATTTTTCTCTCTTAACTTTTTATTCATAATTGAAGATCATCAAAGCCTTACCTTATTCAGCATTTAAAATCTACATTTCCTTCCTTTATCTTACAGCATTCATCTTTCGATGTTTATTTCCAGACATCACATATCCTAATCCTTCATATTTTTCTATATCTTCTGATGTTAAACCAACTTCTCCTCTTCTAGGAATACGTTTTCCTGATTAAATGTAATATGCAATTGCAGCTCCTTCCCCTGGTAATAATTGACTTCCATAATTAGTTCTATGTTATAAATTTTTATCGAATAATAAAGGCATAGGACCTATTTAGCAAGATTTATCATTTTCTTCTTTTTTCTTTTACATTTCTTCATTTAATTTTCTAACTTTTTCAGCAAAAGAATCATCAGAGTCAGTTTCTGAGTAACTTTAAGAATATATTTGAAAAAATACTATTATTCTTCTTCATCTTATTCCTAATCTATTTCTTCTTGTTAGTTTATTACTTCTTCTTAGATCACAATCTCTTTTTGTTAAGATTATTATTCTCTTTCTTATGATTTAGAAGGAAGTATTTTTTATAAATGTTCTCCTTTCATAATTGCATCTAATTTAGCTCTCCTTAATTTATCCTCTTCTTATTTCATTTATTCTTCAATAATAAATCTTTATTGTCTTCTTTATTCTTTCATAATTTATAAGTCTGAATAAATGATGATAACATTAGTACCTCTCCGAACTTCTTCAGAATCACTATTGAATTGCCAAATATTTGATTTTTTAATAGATTCTCTTCTTTATTTTCTTTGAAGCAAGTATTCTTAGTATGAAACCTTAGAACGTTGATTTTTAACTTCATCCTCTCTACTTCTAGAAGTGGAAGAAGATGATGATGAACTTCTTTTTTACTATTTCTTTTTCATTTATATAATTTTTTATATATTTTTATATAATTAATTATTCAATTAAAATGACGATTGATTTTGATTATGTATTTTTACATCTTCTAAACATATGTTTTAATATCTATTTAGATATTTAAATCATCATTCAAATGATTTAACTTATTTAATAATTATGTTATTATTTGCAATCCTCAGCATAACTCTAGCAACATTTACATTTGATGATAGCTAATGTACATGCAATCAATTAGTGGTTGAAACAGAATGTAAATTCAATACACAATGTACATGGGATGGAGTAGCTAAAACATGTTCTAGAAAATCATGTGCAGATTTGAAAGATCAATGTGCTTCAACTTAAGGCTGTGCTTTAGATTCTAATGGAAATTGTAAAGACTTTACCAAGTGTGCTGATTACACAGTCTCAGGATTAGGATAATGTCAATCCAAAGATAAAACATGCACTGAAGATTAACATACTTCAAATGGATACACATGCAAAACTGGTACATATGTGCCTGAATGCTAAAAAATTACAAATAAGGGAGACTGCAAAGGATATCAAACTTCAACATAAGTTTGCTTTTGGACAACAAATCCTATGACTAAAGTTTCAGAATGCATGCCCATTAAATACACCTCTTGTGAAGATGGATAATCAGATCCCAATTTATGTACTCTAAATTCTTCATGTAAATACACTATTGAAAAAAAATGTGTTCCAAAGACCTGTGCTGATGTTACAACCGAATTTTATTGCACAGCCATTCCTTAATGGAATAATTCAAAAATGACATTATGTTAATGGAATGGAAATTGTTAGGAAGCTTCTGGAGTTGAGGTCTTAACACAAGCTAAGTGCTACTCAAGTACATTAAAAAATTATCATTGGATTACTTCTACAAATAAATGTACGTTATGCGCTACTACAGCTGCATCATCTGGAACACCTACAGGTTCATCTACAGGCACAAGCACAAGTACTGGTACATCTACAGGAACAAATACTGGTACATCTACTGGAACAAGTACTGGTACATCTACTGGAACAACAACAGGAACATCTACAGGAACAACAACAGGAACATCTACAGGAACAACTACAGGAACAACTACTGGGACATCTACAGGAACTTCTACTGGAAGTATATATTATTTTAATTATAATAGCCAAACCAAACGATGCTTAAACCTAGAATAAATTTTCTTAGTTGGTTGTAATTTCATTATTTATGGCGTTAATTCAATGATAAGATTATTTTTAGACAAAATCATTATTTTATACCATTTCTTTTTATTTTAGTTTAAGTTTATTTTCCTCTAGGATATCACTTTGTTTAAAAAATTTATTTGTTAGTCTCAATTTGAATAATTTCTTTACTTTTTTTTGATGATTAATTCCTGTATTTTGGATTAGATATTATGGAATTCTTTTATTATTAATTTTGAATTTGTTTTATAATATATTTAATTTAATTAAGATGAATTCTTCTATTGAGTACTATAATCTACAGTAACATAAACTTTATGAATATATGGTTGGATTAACATAAAACGTAACAGGAGTTGAGAAAATTGTAAATATATGAAATAATTGAAGTTTGCAGAATTAATTGCATGCCTCCATGATTTTAGTTCAGCAATTTCAAGTATTGGACGAAAATTTCACTCTTAAATAAGTAGTGGGAATGAACCAGATATTTTAGTTTGCTTATATTAATAAGTGAGCAATTACTTATTAAGATTATCATAAAATTGGGATAATACAGCTCAAAAAATTAAGAGTGAGATTGCTGAACCTTACACTTAATTTGTTGTGAATTTCAGATAAACAAATAGAAGTTTGAATAGTGAATCCAAAAGGCAAGTAACAGAAATATTGGAAACAAGAAAAGAAATGTGTAAAACTTAAGAGGAATATTGGAAATTAATGAAGTTATTTGAATAGAAATCTGAATAGGCATAATAAATGATAGATCATATTGAAAAAGGAAATGCAACAAAGGAGGATTTTTAAAAATAATTTAACAATTCTCTAAGAATCTAAGAATTAGCAGATGGAATGGAGAAGGATTATAAAAAATTATTATAAATAACAAATGAAAGATGGAAATAGTTTCATTAAGAATGGGATACTATATTTACAAATGTTGGCTTAAATGAATAGAGTAGGTATAAAATAAAATGTAAAATAGGATTATGTTTACGAAGCAGACTGTTAGTGCATTATTGAAATTATTGCCTTTTGATTAAGATTAATCATAATTTGAAGAAAAAATATCTGATTTAGAAGTTAAATTGAAATAGGATCCAAAAATACCTATAAGAAAGTTAATTGAAAAAAGAATGCAAATTAAAGAGGAATGTATGAAATATAATTATAATCAAAGCTGTTAAAATTTCATAAGAAGAATTCATAAGTTATGAATAATGGAAGAAGAATCATTAAAATCAAGATTAAATAAATTCCATATAATAAGTGTAGAGTTAATGGACAATTGTTGGGGATAAAATTTCTGAAGAAGAGAAAAAGCTCATGGATAAATATTTATTATCATTATTTTAAATTGATTTATCAGATAAATGCGAATCAATAATAAAGATTAAGTAAATTCTTTAAAAATCTGCTGGAAGAAATTATTTTATAAATTAATTGAATAAATTACATATTAAATCATAACAAGAAAAATAAGCAAGTAAATTAATTAATTATTATAGAATTTTATTTAACATTAACAACTGAATAATTTATGGAATTATTATAATTAATTAGACATTGGTTAAATTATGTTGATTTGAATGAACTATATGAATCTGAAGATGTTTATGATTTATTATTAAAAGCAATAAGAATAGTAAGAATGGATGGAAAGGAACGAGTTAATTTAGCTTCATAATTATCAGATATTCCTTTATGGACTAAGGTTGATAGATGGATAGAATTATTTTAATTTATTAGTGCCAAAAAAGTTGATGAAAAGAGAAAGCAAGCCTAATCAATTATGTAATAAACCTAAAGCACTATTTTAAAAAAAGGAGTAAGAATTATTGGAAAAGGATTATCAATAATAAAGAATTTTGGAACTTAGTAATCTAATATGATAGAAGTAAATGAGAGTGAAATTTGCTATATGATATTAGATGAAATTAATCTATTTATTTATTCTTTGAAATTACCATCAGAATTATCTGCAGAAATAATTATTTAAATAGCATCACAATAATAATAAATAGATAAAGATCATGTTGTTAAATTATTAGAGAAATAGGAAGATTTGCATAATTCTTAATGGAAAAAGTTTTTCAAATCAGGCAAAGTAGTTTTAAGTCACAAAACTGAAAAATTTGAAAGAAACAAATTATACATTTATGAAAATAAAGTTATATAAGGATGTGGATCTTGTTTAAAGTAAATATTACTATATTATTAGATTTCTATCCATTCAAGATTAACCATAGAAATTACTTACTTTAAATAGCAACTTTAATAAATAGTTAAAACATAAAATTAAAAAATTCTATTTAGGTAATTCTTAAATACTTTCTGATGAATCTACACATTAATTGAGATTGAGATTAATGTCTTAAGCTTTAAAATTGAAATAATTGAATATTGATTATGTTGAGATGAAAACAAAAGTAGGAATTGAAATGGATATTAATAATCTTTATGAAGAAACTATTAAATTAGATGTTTAGAGAAGTCTTCACATTCATAAAGATAAAATAAATTCAAATGTTTTATAAAGTTTATTAAGAATTTATGCTTTTTACAATGAAGATGTTGGATATTGTTAAGGTATGAATTACATTGCAGGATATCTTTATTTAACTTATTAAGATTAAGAAGTAGCATATAAGGCTTTTGATAGAATGATGAATCTCTATTTTAAAGAATTATATATTAATGATTTTTCAAAATTGGTAAAATAAATATATTAAATTTTAGAAAACTGGTTTTTATGCTTTTGAAAGATTACTCTGTATCTTCTTGCCTGAATTATCTTAGCATTTGAAGGACTAAAAAATTGATGCCTCTTATTATGTTGCTTCTTGGTTTATTACTTTATATTCTAATGTATTTCAATATAGTTAAAGATCTGCCTTATTGAATGTAATATGGGACTTATTTTTAGCAGAAGAATGGAAAGGTAAAATATTATAATAAAATAGGATTCTATAAAGCGACATTTTATATATTTTCATTGTTTCAATAGCAAATACTAAATCTTGAGTTTGATGAAATTCTTCATTATTTAGGACAATTGATTAAATCAGAAATATTTAGTATTAGCACAGAAAAAGAGTTAATCTAATATATTTAGAAATTTGATAAATCCATTAAAGATGATGAATCAATTAAAAAAACTATACTATCAAGATTTAGAATAACTAATAGAATGTTAAAGAGTCTGGAATCAGAATACCATAGTTTTTAATTGAAATTGAATAAAAAATTTAATTAATGCATGAAGAGATGAATAATTATATCTATAATTTAGTATAAAAGTATTTTAGAATTATACATAACTCTTTATAAATCAAATTTTTTATTTAATGACTTCAAGAAAGAGAGTAAAAATCTCTTATTTATATAATAATCAAAATAAAAATAAAAATAAAATTTATAAGAAATCTTAATATCTACTTAAATTTATTTATAAAGTTTATGATAGATTGGGTACTATATTTTTCTAGAATTTTCCAATAATAACTAAAATTTTATTCATATCAATATTTTGTAATTAATTGGAATAAATGATTATTACAAACTTATTAATAAATAATTGTCTTTTATATAAATGTTTTGAAGACATATATCAATCAATAATATTAATATATCAGTGTTTTTTTGGAATTATTTAATTCAATCATAAACTAAACATAATTATATATAAAATTATACTCCTTCCATGATATTAAAGATAATTAATAATTTATTTATAAGTTCTTAAGTAATTAATACAAATAAATGAATATAGAAATGAAATAATTGTATTTTTCTATGACATTACTACTCTAATTAAAAGTAATTCAAAGAATTATACTCTCCTCTATTCCTGCTTTAGATCAGAAAATAATTTATTCATGATAATTGTATATATACCAATGCGTATACGTATCATTTTCAAATTAAAATTAAATTATTTTACAGATATGCCACCCAAGAAGACAATCGCCGAACCAAATGTCACTGTTCCTAATGGAGATGCAGCAAAAGGAAGAGATATCTTTGATTAATAATGTGCTGCCTGTCATGCTTTTGAAGGAGATGATAAGACTGCATCAGCACCTACTTTAGGGTAATCTCTTTATTTAATCATTTTAGAGGACTTGTAGGAAGAAAAGCAGGATCAACTCAATTCCCATATTCTAAGGGCATGAAGAGTGCAGGATTCAACTGGACTGAAAAGCACTTATTTATGTTTTTGAAGAATCCCTCAAAGTATGTTGTTGGTACAAAGATGGCTTTCGCTGGTCTTGAAAATGAATAAGAAAGAGCTGACCTCATAGCATACCTTTCTAACAATTGAGAAAATATATAAATATAAGATAAAATAAAATTGTGGCTATAAGAGAACCAAATTTAGCAGTTCTTTGTCATAATTATACATGATTCAGTCATTGTTAAATATTTGATACTACTCATCATTGTAGATGTTAAGTTCTTTTCTGGGGTCAAAGTTTGGATCTTTTGCTTTTTATCTATAAAATAAAAACAATTTTAACCTTTAAAGGAATTAAAGTTCAGTAGGATCATCCCTATTGATTGGACTTTTTGGCAAATCAATATGTTCAGATAGATCTAATTGTTTCTTCTACCCCCAATTGATATAATGTATAGTGCAAAGAGTTCTGGAACCCCAAGGACCTTTGGTAAAATTAGATGCAAATCTTGCACCACAATATCTACACCAATCCTAATTTAATAAAGGAAATATATTACATTAGTATACTTTGAATAATCAAAGTACTTAACTGGAATGATGCCCAATTCTTCATAAGAATAAGGATGAATATCTTATTTGAATTGTTTTCTTTAGACCTTCTTTACAATTTTTTCTTGACTATTACTTCTACTGGAATCTAATTATCTTCTATCATTGGGCATGGTTTCATTTTTTTTCTCAAAAATTCTTCTGGTTCTAGCTGTGGTTCCAAATTATTTAAAATCTAATTTTGCTTATTTCTATTTTTTTTAATAACCTTTAATTGAGATTTTAACAATCATCTTTCCCTCAAATTTCTCTTCCTTTTATTTAGCACACAAATCACAGATCATAACCTTCTTGCCTATCTTTTAAGTCTTAGATTTGACTTCAGGAGGTGCACATTTACTATGAAATGATCTACAACATCTAACACAATGGATTAAAGCTGTAGTTGTATTAGAAGAATTAACTTTACAAAATACACAGACATGAGATGGACATCTAAATAATTCTACATTTGAATCTAGAGTCTTAGATAATGGATTAGCTTAAATACAACTTAAATGAAAATATCTATTGCAATTTGCTGTAGAACATTTAGAAATAGCTGATTTATTTTTGATCTTCCTTACATTATCTTCAAGTGGATCATTTTCATCTGATGATGCTATTATTTCTTCTTTCTATTTCTTTTCAGGAGGATATGTTCCTTTAGTTTTACATAATAAACAAACTACTAAACAATTTCTACAATCAGGACAAGAATATCTAATATTAACATTTTCTTTCAATTATTCTTCACTCCAATTTAATTCTGGAAATGTATGATTATTAAGAAAATCTTAATCAGGTCCTTCAATATTGATATATTCTGTTGTTTCTAATAGATCTTTACAAGCTATATGGAAAGCCCTTCTACAATGTCCCATACAAAAAATAGAACAATTAGGTCTTTCACATACATAACATAGTTTTTTAATTAATTCTTCTTTACTTTTTGATGCCAATCTTCTTGCATCTTCCCCTTAAATTTCAACTGTTCTTTGTTATTTTCTACCTAAATCCATATCTGTTAATTTTTTAATTCTTCTTGAAGGTTTACTTAATTCATATATCCAATTCATAGCTAATTCTCTATAATTTTTTGCATAATTTGATGAATTAATTTTATTCAACAAATCTGTTAATATTTATTCATCATCAGTGCTATAATTAGATTAACTTAATTTAGATTCTATTAATTAATTCACACAATCTCCAACTTCCTCCATATATTTTTTTTATTCTTATAATGACATATGTATATCAAATAATTTAATTAATTTTTAACATCTACTTTCTTGACTTTTTAATATTATTTTCCAAAAATTTGGATCTTAAATACTTATTGATTTATCTGTTTTTTCAGAAACAAATGATTATTTTGAAACAGTATATGTTCCATTTATTAATGAATATTTTGCTGTTCTTGAATTCTTCTCTAATATTTCATCAATATTCTTTTCTTAAAATGTATCTCCAATTTAATTATGACTTATCAAACCTATAATTCCATTCTTTAATAATACTTCCATATCTTATTTACTCATTTTTTTATCATTCTTATTATTTTTAAATTAACTTTCACATGATTTAAATTATCCACTCATAAATATAGCTTAATCTAATCCTAATTTTTTTATTGCTCTTTCAAACATTTCTGCTTCATAAGTATCTTTAGTAATCAATCTATATACAGTAACTTCTTTTGATTATCCAATTCTATGTGCTCTAGCTGTTGCTTAAACATCATTTTAAGGATTCCAATCAGAATCATAAATTACTACTATTTCAGCAGCTGTTAAATTTATACCTTATCCACCTGCTTTTGTAGATAATAAAAAAACTTCTCTCTTTTTTTATGGATCATTAAATCTATCAATAGCATTCTATCTTTCTCTTGCTTTAATCTATCCATCTATCTTTTCATATTTTACTTATCTAAATTTCAAATATTCTTCCAATATTGATAACATCATTGTAAATTATGAAAATATCAACATTTTTTTTCCTTCATTTCTAAATTTATTCAATAATTTATCCAAAAGAATCATTTTACCTGAACTCTCAACTAATTTATTAATATAATCATTTTTATTTTAACATCCTTTTGTCAAATCATTTTACATTTCTTATATTAAAAATGGATGATTACAACATTTTCGAAGTTGAATCTCTAAATTATTTAATGAAGCAGCATTAGCAGCCCATTAAGAAAATCCTTATTCCAACATAGATTTATTTCTTTCATAAAGTGCTTTGTATATATGTTTTTATATTGTAGTCATTTCAATATCTATAATTGTTTCTTATAATGGAGGTATCATTTATTCTACATCTTCTTTTTATCTTCTCAAAATGTATGGTTTGAGTAATACATTCAATTTCTCTACTTAATCTGATGTCTCCAATTATCCATATTCTCTTTTAAAAGAAATTAAGTTTGAAAATTCATATGGTTCTATGAAATTAAGTAAACTAAATAATTCTTCTGTATTATTCTGAATAGGTGTTCCAGTTAATAATAATGTTCTTTAACAACAAAGCTTTTTTAAAGATTGTAAAATTCTAGCATTTGAATTTTTTAATTTATGAGCTTCATCAACTACAATATATTAAAATGGAATATTAATGAATATAGTTTAAAAATCTTACATAAAGACTTCATAACTAGTTATCAAGATTTAAAATTTATAAATTTCAGAAGCTTGGAGTACAATACCTTTCATACTAATATCAGTATAGAAAAATTCATATTATCTACATAATGCTCTACCAGCACTACTTTCTTAATCATAATATAGAACAGCATTTAAATTAGTCCATTCTTCAACAGTACGTTTCCAATGTTATAATGTTGATAATGGTGCTATGATTAAAAAGGGTCCTCTATAATTTTCAAAATTATATAAATGATTTAAAAATGCAATTGTCTGTATAGTTTTACCTAATCCCATTTCATCTGCTAAAATAACATTTCTATCTTCATACCAAGCTCTAATGAGCCAATTCAAACTATCAAGTTGATAATCTCTCAATAATCTTCTATCTTTATAAATAGTTTGTGTAAGTTAAGTATATTCATGAGGTGGTTTTCTTTGATTCAAGAAATACAATTAATTTCTAATCTCACTAATTTAAAGATTAGATAATTTCTTTTTTCTAAGTCCTAATTCAAAATCTACAAGAGTTTTATGATTAGAATTTTATTACATCATTAAATTTCTTGTTTCTTTATCTAAACTTCTATTAAATTATTTAAATTCTTAAATCTTTTATCTACAATCTATCAAAGATTCAGGTTCCCATGTAGCTTCTAAGTAAGATAAGTGCTTCCATTTGACCAAGTATAAACGATCAGGCTCTTATGATAATTTTTGTATTTCTAATTCAGTTAAGTTTTTGATTTCTTAAGTATCCATTTGTAACCAATCAAAAGATTTATCTCCTGGATTCCAAGCTTCTATATCTGGATCAACACTATCCATTTATTATTAGAAATCTAACATTTCCAATTACATTTCCTAAGCTACATCAACATCTTTGGTTTAGAGTTAAGATCTTAGATAATCTTCAAGATCAAAAAATTCTTCATTCTTAATTTCTAATTTTATGTTCAACTTATCTTATATAATAGATTCAATTTCTGATAGATTTTCTTAAATAGTATATTATTTTTCATCAATGATATTCAAGACATTAAGTACTAATTCATTTATTTTTTCCTTCTTTAATTCAGGCATGATATCATTTCTATGAGCATCATTAACTTTATTTTTATATGATTCTTCATTAATATATCTTTATTGAGATAATTTTTATTCATAATTCTTTTTGGCTTCTTCATACCATTAATTATAAAGAATAATTGCACATTCTCTTAAAGTATCACTAATTTATCTCATTTCACTATTTTCTTAAAATTCTTGATTAGCACTTCTAAATACTGTTCCCAATTCATTCCAAAAATCATTGTTTGTTTTGTACTAACCTAAATATAAACGATTATTTATGGTGCCAAAATCAAGGATTGCTTTACTTTCTAAAAAGTATACTCCATAATGAATTTGATTCCTACTAAAATTAAGTAAATGAGACATCACTTTAGTTAGACTCTCTGCCCACTTACCTTTCATTTCTGATCCTTTTTTTGGATGAACAATTGGAAATATTTCTGTACATGATAATACTCGATCAACTTCTTGAAATGCTGGATCAAAATACTGAGCATCTACAACTTCATCGAATTCTTCCATAATACGTTTATCAAACACTTTATTGAATCTGTTGATTTTCTACTTTCCATTCTTCTCGTTAAGGATCTGACCATTATGAATAAATTCAACATACTCTCAATTCATCAAGCCATTCTGTATGGAAATAGCTTCGGTCTTTGTATTTAACCAAATATTAAATAGTCTCTGTATGTGGGTCAGTTTTTCGCCACAAAATTTGATCAATCTCAGGAACGAATATACGCCTTGATTCACTTTCTAAAGTTGGTTCATTCATTGACTCTTCTTCCTCACTCATTGTAGCTGCATAATTCCTCTTGATCGCTCTAGCAGACCGTCTTTCATTACTAATTCCATTTTACTCTTCACGGTAGTTTTCTTCTTCCATTAAGTTGTACCTACTAATGTACCTAACATGTTATACTTTCTCTTCTACTTTTCTCGTAGTCTATCTGATTGTCTATTGGTTGGGTCATTCTCACTTTCTAAATCACTCATTTATAAAATAATAAGGGACAAAAAGGTAAAAAAAAAACTATATGATAAATTTTTCTTCTTTTTTTTGAATTTCAGATATATATGCTCACAAATCGGCGCGCATTTAATTTTTTCATATATTCTATATATACAATATTCTCATTAGTTCAATTTTCACAATTCTCATCTCTCTTTTAATATTAATATTTTTATGGATCCAAGTACACAATGGAAAGAATTAAATAAAAAATACTATAAGTTTCATTAATTCAATCCTATAACAGGTGAACAAAAGAACCTTGACTTTTACTATTAGCACATAGCTGTGGCTAAATGGGGTGGTCCTTTAGCAGCAACTAAAAATTATGATTAGGTTATACTTATGCGTACAGACGATATCCTAAAAGATTCCATAGTATTCTTTTCCAATAGTGGTAAAATTATGTCACGAACTCCATATAAAGAGGCAGATAAAGTAAAATCAAAATAATGAAATTAGATTCCATTATTTGATTTTCTTGAAGATGAACATTTGATATTACTCAAAGCAAGTGGCATTTATTATATAATTGATCCTTTCAAAGGAACTAAAAAAAATCATGATTTAGGTGAATAATTTAAATTAAATCCCATTTAAAGAGCACTTGTTGTTAATAATGGATTTATATTGATGGCAATGAACTTTGAATTTTATTATGTTCAGAATGCTCATGAACCTGAAGTTTAGTAATTTAAAGCATCTAATCTAACTTAATCTCCAGAGCATTGGTAAGTAATACCTTCTCAAAAATCTGCAAGTGGAAAAGTAGAATTAGTGATAGCCAATCCAGATGGAGGTATTCTACATATAATAGAGAATGAGAAGTCTAAAATTTATTATAATAAAGATAAGATAACAAGTGAAATTGATAAGAAACTTCCAGATCTAAGAAATATTAAAATGTTATGTCTATCACCAACTTTTAAAAATTTAGCCTTGTTATAATATTATGGTTAAAGATGGATTATGGCATTTATTTCTAACTATTTTGAATCCTCCGAGTATCGTCAGATGCCTATAGATTTGAAAGAGGATGATGTAAAAAAAGATGAAACAGCTGAGAAAGATCTCAGTATTTTGGAAAGACCTAGAATGATGTTTTGGTGTGGAGATGATTGTGTTGTTCTATAATTGTAATAATACATTGTTTTAGTATCTCAAGATTCTTATACAAAAATAAAAATGAATAATTAGCATTTTGCTATGAGATCTGAGTATGATGGATTGAGAGTATTAACATAAAAAAAGAATGAAATTTTAAGAAAATTACCTGATTCATATATAAATGTATTTGAATAACTTTCTGTAAAACCAGGTGCATAATTATATTGTGCTTATGAATCTTTTGAATAAAAGAATCCTATTGAAGATGATGATTTAAGAAATAGTAAAAGTCTATTAAGTGAGGCTGTAAGTGATTGTGTAAAATGTGCATAATTTGAAATTAATCCTGAATATTAGATAAAATTATTAAAGTCAGGAAATTATGGAAAGATATTTTTGGGAACTTAAAATTTAGATCCAAATATTTTTAATGAAACAGCTAGATATTTGAGAGTTGTAAATTCATTGAGAAGAAGTGGTGGTGTTGGAGGAAGAGTAATAACATATGAATAAGTATTATAATTAATCAAAACTCCAGATATTATGATAGGTTTGTTATTGAAATATAATTTACATTATTTAGCTACTGAAGTTTCTCATTTTCTTAAATTTTAAATAAAATAAAGGGCAGCAATTTATACACATTGGGCTTGTTGTAAAGTTGAAGTTCAATAAGATGATGATATATTATGTGATATAATTAAAGAAAAAATTAAAGAAGAAAGAGGTGTTTCATTTACTTAAATAGCATAAAAATCAATTGAAATTGGAAAATCATAATTGGCTTTAAAATTATTAGATAATGAATAAAGTCTGTCTAAACGAATTCCAGTATTAATTTGGATGGCAAATTTTTAATCAGCTAATAATAATAATTCTTATTATGAAAAAGCATTAGGGGATGCAATAATTTCAAAAGATTCTAATCTAATTTATTTTGTTATTATGAAATTCTTAAAAATTGAAATGAATGAAACTTATAAATTTAATACTCTCTCTCAAAATCCAATCTCATAAGCCCATCTAGTATATTATTTAAAAAATTTTGATGATAAATATTTGTAAAAATATTTACAATATTACAAGAAATTTGATGAATGTGGTTTATTAGCAATTAATTAAGCTTACCAACAAAATAATTTAGATGAGAAAATCAAATTCTTAGATTAAGCTTTAAAATATTTTGCAGAAGACGAAACTGATTAATTTTATAAGAGAATTATAGCTGAATAAATCATAATACTAAAGGATTTAAAATCAGAAGTTGAAAAAGGTAGAAAGAAACCTAATCAAGCAATTATGGAAGAAAGACCTATTAATTCAATTATGGAAGCCTTTTTCACAAAAGACAAACCAGAATTTGCTTAAGAATTTGCTAAAACTTATAAGATACCAGATCGTAGGTATCATCTTTAAATATTAATAGAATTTATTTAACTAAAGTTAAAACATTAATTAATAAAAAGAATTGGGATGAATTGGATAAATTTATGTAAGAGAAGAATAAAAAATCTATTATAATACCATATGAATTAGTTGCAGAATTATTGATTAAAGGAGATCAAGAGGAAAAAGCAATTTAAATTATTATGAAGATGCCTGATGTTGAAGTATTCATATTTTATTTTCTAGGAATCTTGTAGAACCTTAATTAAGATTGGATAATAGAGTTCTGCAGTACAAGTTGCAATTAACAATAAAAAAATCTAATTACTTTATGATATCAGAGGATTAATCTTTGATAATTCAGCCAAGGCATTGCTAGAAACTTATTTAAGCCAAAACCAAAAATGAATAGCTAAATATATAAATAACAAATCATTGCATATCTGTAATTCTCCATAAAGCATTTGCTACTTCTGGCTTACAAATTGATACAATATGTTAATTTTCAATCTTACTTTAGTATGGTTAAGTATGTAAATAAAGTCCAGTACATATATGTTTAAGTTCTATAATATATTAGAATAATAAAAACTTATAATAGAGAATTATTTGATTTCTTCATCATCTGCAATTATTTCCCATTCATCCATATCATGTTATAAACAACCAACTTCTCCCATATTATTAATAGTTTGTAAACATTTTAAATATGATTTTGTAATAGGATGATAAATATAGGTTTTATTGTTAATCTAAATAATTTACCACCAATCATATTCATAATTACAATTATTACAAGTGCTTACTTCATTTGATTTATTATGTTCATGTTTAATTGCATGAGAATGTAAGTATCTTTGAGTATGTAAATTATATAATTTTATTTAGTGATGCTTTTCCATCTTAAGTCCTTCTGGCAACCTAATCAAATGTATAGTTGCACTTTGTTCAATCTAAAATTATGAATTTAGTTCAAATGATGAATTTTAATCCTATTCAGTTTCTGGGTCTTCTTTTATAACAATGCTTTAAACTTAACTTAATAATCTTGACTTTTTCCTTTTATGACCCACATTATGATTAGAGAAATCTTTTTGAAATATTTCTTTTCTTGGTAAATCAGAAAGAGAGGAACGATTAGTATATTCTTTTAAACAATTTCCCATTATTATATAATTATTGATGAGTACTTTTTAAAAAATATTACGTAGTATTTGGATTAAAATGTCAAAATATTAGAGTTTCTGATTACTATAATTTAATATCTAAATATGTATAGATCATTCTTTTTTTGAATTGAAAAAACCAAATACTGGAGCATCTGAAAAGGCTTTCTTCAATTCTGGGGGAGGTGGCATAGATGATGTTGATTATTTAACAGGAGAAGAGGGTTTTAAATTAAACTACCTCTGCTATGGTTTTTAGTTATTTAGATTTGTGCTATTATTACTTTTGATTTGTGTAATAGGTTTATCATTTTATTATTTCCTTTAATTTGGTCTCTTGCTCTTTTGATATGGTTCTTAGATATATATAAATATAGATACTTGAATAAGCAAAATCATAAAGATCCTCATTTACAACCTATTCTGAATCTTTTAATAACTTAAATTAAATAAATTTAATACATCAACCAATTATTTGGCTATTCTAGGATCCATTGCATCTAAAGTAATCATAGTTATGCTTCTTCCTTTATCACCAGCTCTACCTGTTCTTCCAATTCTATGAATATAATTATCAATTTAATTAGGGAAATCATAATTGATTACTAAACTAATATCTCTAACATCAAGTCCTCTTGATGCAACATCAGTAGCACATAATATTTTACATTTTGAAGCTTTGAATTCTTTCATAACATAATCTCTTTGTTATTGAGTCTTATCACCATGTAAAGACATACAAAAGAATCCATGTTCAGACAAATAACTGGCCAAATCCTCACAATCCTTTTTAGTTTCAACAAAAATTAAAACTTTATCTTTATTGGATAATTCTTCAAGAATATAAAGTAATCTAAAAATAGATTTTCAATTTTATACTCTTCTAATTTTTCATTTTGATATAAACAAATTGTTTCTTATGTAATATTTTTATTAATGGTGACTTCTTGACTACCAATATATAAATTAATTGGTTCATTATGACATAGATCACATGCTAAATTTTACACTGTCTTTGGCCAAGTTGCTGAAAAGAATACTGTTTGTCTATCTTCTCTTATATAGCTATCTATTTTTCTAACCTATTATTCAAATCCCATGTCTTTTTATATATAAATTATTATACCAAGCATACGATCTGCTTCATCTAATACCAAGTAAGTAACATTATGTAGATTTGTTACTTGAGCATCTAAGAAGTCTATTAATCTTCCTGGAGTTGCTACTACAATATCTGGATCTCTAGCTAGTGCCATTTCTTGAGGTCTCTTGTCAGCACCACCATAAATACAGGCAGAATTCAAATTATATGCTTAAGAAAAATAAATTATATGCTCTAAAAATATGTGTTCTTTTAGTACCTTATATTTGCATTGCTAACTCTCTTGTAGGCACAAGTATCAACATCATTGGGCCACCCTTTTTTCTTTGACATTCTATATGAACAAGTCCAGGAAGAAGGTAGGCAATTGTTTTACCAGATCCAGTTTAAGCAATTCCTATTAAATCATGTCCAGACATGATTATAGGAAAAACTAAAAGTAATTATAATAATTTAAACCTGATGCTTGGATTGGAGTGGGTCTTTAAAAAGCTTTGAGTGATATACGCTTATTCAATTGATTTGGAAATTGGCAATCTTTCCACTCAATAAATGGTTATGGCACTTAGATTTAATTTGATTCCACCATAATTTTATGTTCCTCAAGATACTCACTGACTATTATGTCTTCATAGATCCTCTAAGTCGGGTCAATAAAGACTTTCTAGATGGGCGTCGAGTTTATTTATGGTCTGGTCTGGGGGTTACGATTTAAAAGCACTTGGCATATTACGAGCAGAAGATACCAGCAAAATCTCTTTGCTTTGTATTATTATTTTAATGGTCCATTAGTTAATTATTAATTATTAATATTAATTAAGAATTATGTTCTAAGATAAAGATCTTTTTTAAGCAAATCCATATATGCAGAGTAGTAGTCCTTAAAATTAAATGATAATGGATTCACCTACATTCTTAAAATAAAAAATTGATTACGAATAGCAAGAATTTTTAAGATCCCCTTAAGTCATCTATGACATCAATTCTCATGAATAATTCCAAATAAATTGGAGTATCTAAGCGTCCAATATAAATTTAGTTGATTAATAGCCTTTGATCTTAAGATCAGGGAAATCCTATTGTTACAATAATGTTAAGTAAGACCAAACTCAATCATAAAATGAATATCATTAAGAGTTGGAAGAATAAGAGGATTAAGAATGCTTATTATAAAAAAATGATTAAGAGCACGTTGCTCTTCTTCCTATAAAGAAAAAGAGTAAAAAAGAATAAGCATTTAAATTTTAAAAAGAAAATAAAATTTAAAAAAAGACTAGTTTCAAATTTCAATAACCTTGTAATTGTAAGAATAGTGGATGTATCAAACGATATTGCCGTTGCTTTCATAGTGGAAAAACATGTTTGCCAGAATGTTAATGTTAGGAGGGATGCTTGAATTAAGAACATAATAATTTTGAAAGGGATTAAGCAATAAAACATGTAAATGAAAAATGTTATAGAAACAGAAAGATTCCAAAGGAGGCTCTATTTAAATTGGATATAATATATGGATGTTCATGTTCCAAATCTAAATGTAGAAAAAGATACTGTGAATGTTATTTAAGAAATTAGAATTGTACAGAGAAATGTAAATGTTTTGATTGCTGCAATCGTTAAATATAAAACTGAATGACCTAATCTGAATAGTCTTCATCTAAAATTTATTTAAATTTAATTTATTTAATTATGATGCGTCTATATTACTAAGCATTCAGCAAACTTATCAAAGTAGATCGTTTAGCATTGACTCCTCATCAATATTGGATAGCAGCTGGTAAAGGAATGGAACGACCTTATACAGGAGAATATTGGTTTGTAAATTTAATAATCTATATCATCAGAATCAAGAAGTTGGAACATATCATTGTAAACATTGTGACAATCAATTGTTTTCTTTTGATTCTAAATACAAATCAACTACAGGATATGCATAATTTTGGAATCACATACCTAATAGCGTCAAATTAGAGGAATCAAACATTAAAGTATTAATTCTTATCAACACTCTTTTAGGAAGAAAGAGATCTATGTTGTGCTGGATGTGATAGTTTTGTTGGAAAGGTCTCTTTTGATGGACCTCCTCCAACATTTATTAAATATAGCATTAATTCAGCTGCATTAAATTTCAAACTGAAACTCTTTTAGGAAGATCCCTACTTTAGAAAAATTGCTAGAAAAGAAAAATAGGCTCAACGTTCTAAAAAAGTAGAACATAATTATTTAGAAAGCAATAGCAATTTGTGATTTATTATATTAATAAAAATTATATATATATAGTGATGAGTGATGAAATAAAATAACATAAGTTTAAGAAAATTGCGTTATTGATTATCATGCTTTATTAATATTATTTGTAATAATATTATTTAATAAATAAACTCAAGTTAATTATATCTATATAAATCAAAATAAGAAACTTTTAAAGGTGAATTTATTTAATTTTATTTAATTCCAAATGATAATAAGTTATCTAAAAATTAGAAAATATATTTTATCAACTTATATATTTAGTTTCTAAAAATTATAATTGAATTACTATTACAAATGTTTAATGCACTTAACAAAATATTCTAAACTATCATAAAGTATTTATAATGTTAACAATATATAAGTAAAATGATGTATAATTATTATTTCAAATTTATAAATTTAATTTAATAATGTCACACTCTCTTTATCATATTTACTATTTCAAATTTTATTTGTGTATCTCCAATTATTCTACTAAAAATGCATATACTAAAGGAAAATACACTTCTAGTTAAACATCTTGTACCACAATATCAACAAAATGAATTACTCTTGTAAGTTCATTTTCTAATTCTGTCAAGTGATAATGAGAGTATCGTTTCTACAAACGAACGATACAATGTGCCAGCTTGCTCCTCAGTATAATTAATTGATTTAAATTATAGCGAAGATCATCAGGAATATCGTCGGATAATTCTAATTATCCTATGATATTAATGAAATTCTATGCAATCATAATAGGCAATTTGATTTCGTTGATTTTAGAATTGTGTGGCTTATGATTGCTGGAAGAACAAGCCAGTCCCATTTTAAAATAAATTAAATTTATATAGATTATATCAATCAATATTAAGGGGAAACTAATAACTAAAAAAAACATTTATATTCTTAAATACCAACAACAAATTTTCATTTTGCATTAAACATATTATACTTTTGCAAACTAGCTTTATTTTCAATTTTAAATAAAAAATTAGAATGTTCCAAATGCTATTAAAATATTATACAACTAATTTTTTAAGTCTTTCTAGAATATTTGCTTTAAATTTCAAATACTTTGAAAGCAAAATGTTGTTATCTATTATAATCAAATTATTTTCCATATATATATAAATATAAAATTATAAATTAAGAATGATGTTATTTTTGATAGTTAAAATAAAATAATGCTTGAAAATAATATTAATATGCTGATAAGTATTAGTTATAGAATTTAGATTGGAAGTTTTAAATTGATTATAAATAAATATGAGTTAGTTTTTGTATTATTCATTCGTTAATTAAAATATAATGATTGCAGGCTAGATTATTGAATTCTTTTGGTTAATGAGTAGTTTAGTATTATTTGGATATGCAATATTATCAAAATACAAATGGAAAGAGAATATACATTAGAATCGGAAAATTAGAATGAATAGCTATAAATCATAGAATTTACCAAGAAATTAATTTGTGATTGAAGGTGAGATATATTATGTAATTATTAGAGGCAGAAGAATAATAGTAATGTAAAAGTGAAGAGGATCTTTCATAGCAATAGTAATAATAGATTGAGGTAATAAATTGAAATGAATAGTATAAGAATTAATCAATAGCATAAATTATAAGACCAAAAGTAAATTATTTGATTAATGTTCATTTTGTATTATCATCTGTAGGAATAATAAATATAATAAATGGAGGAGATAATATATTTTTATTAGTCATGGTAATCTTATACCTGATTAGTACAATTTTAATTATTGCCAAGTTAAGTATGAAATGGTTATTCATTCCATAACTTATGATTTTGGCCATGATGATAAACTACTTGATAGTTATATGATTATAATATATTCATTTAGTAAATTTTAACAATTCTATTAATATCTCTTTGGATAACATATTTATATCTTATGTATTCAATATCTTCTATTTATTATCTAGTAAAAAGATCATAGCATTGGCTTTTAATTCTTATGCAGAGAATTTATCAGCCAAATTGACAACATCAATTACATTTTTTAATGATATGTTTTTAATCTACAAAATTGATAAATATTAATAAATACTAAATGATCTTCACATAAATTTTTAAGTCTTTATAACATATATTTATCTGCCAATGCTAATAAATCATAAACAATATGAGAATCAATAAAAACTTCATCAGTATATATATATTATAAGATTGCTTATATTATTATATTTATAAAATACCTTTAAAAACATTAATAGATGTATCAGTTATAGCTAATTTATCTCCTAAATTGAATTATTCATTTAAAAATAGAGTTTTAAAATATTCACAACGAGATGCTAAAATAATTTTATGTGCATGAATTTCTTGATTATCAATAAAGAATGTAATATCACTTAAAATAGGAGAAAATAAAATGCTAGAATAATCTTATTTGAGTGTAGATTCTGCTAATTTTATAATTGATTATTATTTAAGCATGTAAACATCATTATATGATTTCTCACTATCATTACCTCCAAAAATGACTATAGTATTTTTATAAGCAATAGCTGAATGTCTACATCTAGGTCTTGGAGGTGATGATTATTATGATGTATTATTATTATCTTTACTTTAATTTCTAAAATTAGATTAATTATCTATATTATTAATTACAATATATTCCCATTAATTTTCTGTGATATTATACATGAAAACATCATTTCTCCATTATTATCCATCATATCCTCCAAATAAATAGATCTTATTATTCATCATAACAGCTGAAGCACTTACTCTTGGAGATGGTGTACTACCTTTAGGTTATAATCTTGTCCAAATATTATTTTCAATATCCAATTAATATAAATCATTTAATTAATGAGATCGATCAGGTTCACCACCAAAAACATAAATTTTTTAATCATAGATAACTGAACTATGTTATAATCTACCTAAAGGTTTCTATCCTGTAGTTTCTACTTAAGTCCAATAACATTTAACTAAATCAAATTTATATAGATCACTCAACCACATCTTACCATCTCCTCCTCCAAAAATATACATAAAATCTCCACAAATATTAGCTGTATGAAATTGTCTTTTTGGAGGAGTATTCTCAGATTTTACATGTTACCAATCTATACAAACAATATTCATTTATTCGCTTGGAGTCATCATAATAATATCATCTAATACAGTGTATCCATTCCATCCTCCATAATAGATTATCTTATCATAATAATTTTAAGCACTATGTCCCATTCTTACATCTGGTATCTATCCACTTATCTTTATTTAAGATGTCCAACTAATTTCTTACTAATAATATATTACTTTAATCTTTTTAAATCCAAAATATGAATATCATTACAGAATTTCTTTCTACCTTCTCCTTCTTTACCACCAAATATTATCATATAATGTTTAAATGTTGTAGCTGTATGACAATTTCTACAAGTTGGCAATTATGAAGCAGTAGTTGCCTTAATATTTTCCCATTCATAACTAGCAAATGTAACTAATTATTTATTATATATTATTATTACCATCATCTTCTTTATTATCAGTCATTTCTGTCTTACGAATACAATAATCCATTTATAATTAATTATTATTTTTTTATAATTAATACTCATTTTACTTTTACTTATTATACTCTCTTGTTCTTCATTCTCATTACTATATATACTAATAAACTTATTATTATAGTCCCTATCCATGGAATAGATATATAATATGGTGTATCTACATATTAAATATTTCCAGCATCCTTCAAAAATTTTATACTTATAAATGTTTCTGCAAAAAGAGTCCAAACAACTAAATATCTACATTAACCTGATTAATCTTTATTACCTTTCAAATCATTCCATTATTCTTACCAACTTAATACTCCCATTCCAAACCAAACAAATAATCTATATGATACCATCCAACATTTTGGTGGTACCCATAATTAATTCATTAAGAAAAATCCAGTCAAGAAATTTATTGTCACTGCTAACCATGTACCAAATGCTGCTCCAAAATACTTATAATCATGCCAAACCAACCATTAAGTAAATGATTTATTCTTTCTACCTAACCAATCAAATTATTCAATTCCTAATTTCTTACTAACCCATAATCCCAAAAACACAAATAAAGTATTACCAATTAATACATCTAATAAAACATGATCCCACCAACATTCTCTAAAATGAGGTAATATATGTTGCCAAGACAATTCAATTATCTCATCAAATATTTACCAGAAATTTAATAGCCATGCATCTCTTAGTAAAAATGCCAATAAAAACCAATTTAAACAATGTAATAAAAAATAATGATCTAAATTATCTACTATGTTAACTAATTCAAATTCACAATTATCATCATAAGTGTGCATATCTTTTGTTACCGATCTTCCTAAGCTTTCATCACCAAGTTTCATTAATTATCTTGCTTCCTTTTCATTTTAGAATATCAAAAATATTAGAAAAGCATTATAACATACTCCTAACCAAAACATAAATCTCCAATATCCTTAAAAACGTTTAATAGGACCATCATATGATTTTAGTGAACCCATCATGCATATAAATATTATGGATCCTAATACTCCTCTATATCTATTTTTTATATTATCATAATCATTTTCATATGCGAAATAGATTAATGTGCAAGCACTTATAAAAAATAAAATTTATTCCTAATATCTCATTTAAATGAATAATTATTATTAATTTATCAACCAGATATAGATTCCCAAATAACAATTAAACATCTAAACTACTCCTGAAGTTATCAATTTTAATGCAAACAGTAACACATACATGAATAAAATCAAATGTTAAACTCAATTAACAAAAGAAAATAAAATTGAATAACATATTAAGATATACAAAGATTAATCAACCTAATATGAACTAATAACATAAGATTAAACTACCTAATGTACTCAACTATCTTAACATGAGGAATAATTTATGTAACTTGTACAATCTAAAGTCACATATACAAATGATTTACTCTTATAAATGGAATCCGTTGATATCAATGATTTCTAACCAAGATAAGCAATATCTATTTAATAATCAATATAATCATCTTCGACATTGATGACTTATTTTTAAGAAAATAATAACAAAATATATGAATAATTGTTAGCAAATCAAAATTAGAATTTTATAAATGTACTATCTTAATTGACTAATAATAAAACATTAAATGATTTAAAAATTCAAATATAACAATATTTAGATTTACTTATCTTAATAAATCAAGGTTTAATTGTCTAAAATTTTAGAAAAGAATATAGTATAGTAGGTTAATTATCATTTAATGAAAACTGCTTTGAACAATAATCTCCAGGATGGTTATTAACACCTACTATCAAAATTACAGACAGTTAGAACTTTTCTTCTGATTCGCTGATCATTAATAAATGATTTACTATCAAATTATAAATAAGATTAAAATTCAATTAAAAATATCATCTACACAAGTTACTAACATCCTTAATAATTATTGATTTTCTAAAAACATGATATGAGCTGATCTACCAATCATATTGTCAATTGTTCGATTTCTAATTAATAAAATATTGTTATTCTTACTCATTTAAAACAAAATTAACATCTAATCTTCTCACTTATGTTGCTCTCATTCCTTTAAAAATATTATCAACCATTTTCTCATATTTTCGAGAATTCTTATTATATTAATAATCAATAATACTTAATCACTTCTTTCAAAATTCTTAGATATTCTAGCACTTTCAAATGGAACATATGAATCTTATGCTGAACTAACAAATAATAAATTCTAGAACCAATTCAAACCATCTTATCTTGATAACTAATAAAGAAATGTATTTTCTATTTATTCAGCATCAGTCATTGCTAATTATTATAAAGATACTGATTTTCTCATTCTTTTTAAAAACCATAATCCAGCATCAATAAGCAAACTATTATTATAACCATATCCTAAATGTGGACTTGATAATGATATATATGTATTCATATTTATCTTGAATTCACTCAAATGTGGTAAGGCAGCTCTAACAATAACTCCTCCCATTGAATGACCAAGAAAACTGATACGAAATGGATTATTCTTTACCCAATCTATAATATATTATTTGACTTCTTAAGCTAAATTTTAACCCATATCAGAGAGATTTCCATCAGTCAAATCTTCATTTGCTCTACTCATTAAATAATGATGATTTGGATATTCTAATTATAGATTATTCTTAATCAATCTCATATCCAAAGAATTTCCTTGAAATCCATGTACCAAAACAATTAAATGCAAGATTTATTCTTATTATATTAAAGGTTAACTAATTTAATAGATTTCTTCAAATAAAACTGTTGCCTATTTTTAATCAGAGAATAGACATTCATCTATTATATCTAATTATTATTCCATTATAATAGGTTTTTTTCTTATTTGATCACTAACATCTTGATGTTATTTTTGACATAAAGTACCATTTGAAAAAGAATTACATTTAATGACTTCTCTAAAATATGTTTCTCCCCATTTATCTTTTATTTTAACTTGATAGTCTTATTATAATAATATTCTATATTGTTTTGAATTGTTTTGTATAATATTAATTAATAAATTTTGTAATTCAAAAAGTACAGAGGAATATTAATTAATATCATTTTCAATAAGAGTAGATAATAGATTTTGATCACGAATATTTTTTAAATTTAATACATCAGAAATTAATATATTACCTTTTGTATTAATATTTTCTTTTATAATAGAAGATTCTTAATATTGAATATATGAGAATTTAGGTATAGTAGGTAATTTTGATAATTCCTCATATAATTTTAATTAACCACAAAGTTTAGCCACTTATTATTAAAGTGATTCACTTGTTAATCTTAATTATCCAATATAATAATCAAAGAATTCTTAACTTTTAGTAAATTTATTAGTGTGTTTATGAAGGAATTCTGTAAATGTTTTTGGTTAAATTGATATTCTAGAGCTATTTGCTTTTTGAAATTCACTTAATCTAAACTTAAAATCTTAAAGATTAGAATTCACAGTACAATGAACCTAACAAAAATGATTGTTATCAAACATTATTGGAACATATTCATGTACTCCCTTATATGAATTACAAATTCGTCCTTAAAAGGTAGCCACACACTTAAAAAGTGATTCTTCATTTGGAGGACCTCCAATTTTGGCTAAATCTGCACACATCAATTCACATATTAATTTGAATTCATGTTCATAATGTGGTGATGCTGACACTTCAATTTTAAATATGCAACTTTCATCTATCTCTACTTCTTCTTCTTGAAATCTTATCATAAATGTTCTAGTTTAAAAGTATTATTCATCAATCTAACTAGGTTACCATGATTCTTTTTTCTTATTATTATTGGTTTCAAAATAATTATAAGGAGTAGCTTACTCACCATTAGATTTAATCATAAATCTTAAGTAATAGAGTCCTTGATTGAAGAGATCAATATTTTTAAATGACTCTACATGAATAATATGTTCATATGTTGCTCTTAGCATTTAATAAATTAACTGTTAAAAATATAAATGGAATTGAAATATCTGAATAAATTTGTAGAAGAATACAAACTCAACAAGAATGATAAATTAATTAAATACCTTCTAATTCTTGGTATAGGCTTTGTAAAGTAAAAACTAGAAGATATAAATTAAGAAGCAATCAAATTATTAGCTAGTAATTTTCATATATTATGTAGATTCATTCAAACAAAAGTCTATTCATTAAGAATTGAAAAACTTGAGAAATAAGGTTCTCTCATTAGAAAAACATATTCAACCAGAATAACAGATTAAATATCATAGTCAACCTAAATTAATGCCTCCTAAAGTTACACCAAAAATCACTGAATAAATTCCACTTTAATAGAATGTTAAAAAAGCAGTACCTTTTAAACATCACTTAGATGATTCAGAAATGTATAATATTTAATATACTATTTAGTAAATCAATATTATGGAATCAATATAATGAAAATCATCATTAAATTATCAATTATGAATCTTAACATTAACCTTAAAGAAAGCAAACAATTGATTAACATCCAATAATCCCTAAGTATTTACCAAGAAACAACTCACAAACAGAAATATATCCCTTATCATAACGTGATAACAGTGCTAGATAGATTACTTAACGATCATCTCATCATTCTAGTTAATTTGACAGTTTGCATAATAGAAATTCTCCAAAATTTAAAGGAGAAAAGAAAAAGAGCATATGTAAAGAAAATAGAACTCCTGCTAATGTTGGAGTACCTAAACATCTTAGATAAGTTTAATCAAAAATCAAATCGTAAATTTAATATGACAAAGAACAATATAAATCTAATAATAGTTAAAAAGAAGAAGAATAAATTATTAACATAGCGAATAGTTCGTTAAATCCATTTAATAATACTCCATAAAATAAATTATTTTAACCTTGTCATTCTACTCATTTTGGTAGTGGTTAAGTTTCAAGTGCTAAAATTTAATAATAATAGATATAGATTTAAGATTTAAATAATATTACAGAAAAGAAAGTATTTAATGTTGATGAAATTGCTTCATCATTTTTGAATTCTCCATTCATGAAAAGTTAAATATCACAAAGATTATTTGGAAAATAAGAATCAGCCTCATCATCATCTAGTACATTCTCACTTTTTAATCCAAATAATGAACTAAAAAGTATTAACATTATTTTTTAATTTATTAGATTTCTTTTAGTAATTAGATAAGTAAGTAGGCAACTCCTTATCCTTTTAGTTTTGATTTCATTTATTTTATACATGTTAATAAATATTATATTTATTACATTACTTCTATGATATAGTGTTATCTATTTATTAACATTTTTAAGATATTTATATAGGAATATTTATTATGAATCTTTTGAAGTTTCTTTATGGAGAATCATCAAAATAAGAAGCTAATTAAAAGATATAAAAACATATAATTTACTCAAATGATGATGAATATTAAGGTGAGATTATGAATGATAAACGTCATGGCAAAGGAACCTATAAATTTGCGTCAGGAAATCGTTATGAAGGGTAATGGAAGAATCATCAAAAACATGGTAAAGGTAAGTTATATTACAAAAATGGGGATCTCTACATAGGAGATTGGATTGAAAATAAGAAGTGTGGATAAGGAATGCATTTTTATATAAATGGGGATAGATATGTTGGAGAATGGAAAGATGATGAAAGGGATGGTTAAGGAACTTTATATTAAGCTGATTAAAATATATACTATGGTATTAGAAGATAGATTATACAGGATATTTTAAAATGAATAAAAAGTGTGGAGAAGGCTATTACTTTAACACTCGCGAGAAGAAATATTACCTATAACATTATGAATATGACATCCTTTTAGATAGTGTATAGATTGAAGATGTTCCATCCTTTGTACTTGAAAAATTCCATATAAAACCTGAAAGAAACCATATTGAGAGTGAGAAGAGTGAAGATTGCATCATTAAAATAGAAGCTAGTCCTACAGTATAGAATGATAGTGATAAATAAAAAGATCTATAACCTAGTGGATAGAGTGGTTAAGGGGAATCTGATCCTTAATTAAAAGAAGAAGGTAAATCTTAATTAAATTCTCTTGGGAATTCCTAATAACATGGATTTTTGAGTTTATAAGTATTGGAAAAATTGGAAGAATTTGAGAGTTAAAAAAATAGTAAAATTATTGAAATATATTAAAAATATAGTGTAGGAATGGTAATTAGAAGAAGTTTGCAATTGGTTAGATTAATTATAATTAAGTGAATATAAAGATGAATTTATTAAGAACTAAATGACTGGTAAAACTCTTTATACTTTAACTGATAATGATTTAAAATAAGATTTGGGAATATCTGTCTTGGGACATCGAAAGAAGATTTTATAATCCATAGAAGAATACAAAAAATATTATGTGAAATTTATGGGAGGAAGGGTTCGGATGAAAAAGCCTTTGGAATCTTTAGAAGAAAGAAAAGGACTATACAATTCTATAGAACATTAGAGATTTAAAAGTCTATTTTCATATATGGAAAAGATTGAAGAGGAACAAAATGAACATCATGATAATAATAAAAGCGACTCATGTAGTGATTCTCCTAGTGCGAATAAGAGAAAGAAGAATAATAAAGATAATCCAAAATCACCTACAAGATCTATATCAAATGATTCAGATTAAGGAAATTTAAGTGATAATAATAAATCATTAAGATTGAAAAGACAAAAAAGTAAAAGAAGTAAAAAGCAATAGAGAAAATAAACTGTAGATATGTTGAAATCTGGAGAATCTGCAGACGATGAAGATGGTAAATAACATCTAACTTCACCTGTTTGTATTTGATATTTTTTATATATTTAGAATCTCCAAATAAAGCTAGTAACAATGTAAGTGATTAAAAGATTGAGATTCTAGTATTGAATGAGTGTTCAAATATTGGAGAGGAGAATAAAGAAAAAGATTTTTATGGAGTGAATGAATTATCTAGATAATCTACAAATAAATAACAAGAGATATCAGAATTCATATCATCCAAAAGTCCACCTTAAATTATTAATAATAATGAAGAAAACATTACTTAATTATAATCTATTAATTAATAGTTGTAAAGATAGAAATCAGAAATTAATGGTATTAAATTTTAGGATTAAGACTCATCAAGCTAAGAATCTGATGTATCTGGAAATGATACAAGTTCAGAATCATCAGATGAAGAGAAATATAAAAATCAAAAGAAATCTAGAAGATTAAAAGAAATTAATAAGAAAGAAAAAGAGAGGGATGATAGATAATAACATCATTTACCAAAAAAACTACTTGTTATGTTAAAAGAGTTTGGAATTAATGAAAGAGTATTAATAGTATTTCATGAATTAACTATTGGATAAATAATTGGTGAAGGTGGTTATGGTGTAGTTCATAAAGGTAAATGGCTTGGTTAAGATGTGGCTATTAAATCATATGGAAAAAGAAAATCTTAAGGAAATTTAAAATACAAATTATAAATGGCTGATTTCTTGAAAGAAGTAGAAGTTATTTCAAATCTACGTCATCCTAATATAGTCTTATATATGGGAGTGTGTATAAGAAAATAGAATTATTATTTGATCACTGAATATCTGGAAGAAGGGAGTCTTTTTGATCATCTTCATAAAAAGAAAACACATATAGATTAAAAAGCTTTAATGTAAATAGTGGAAGACATTGCATTAGGAATGAATTATTTACATGGTAGAAAAGTAATGCATTGTGATCTAAAATCATCTAATGTTCTTATAGATTAAAATTGGAATGTTAAGTTATGTGATTTTGGTTTATCTAGAATAAACAAAAAAATAGATCATAAAATAAACAAAGGAGCTAGAATAGGTACTCCTAATTGGATGGCTCCAGAAATCATGAGAGGAGAACCATATTAAGAAAAAGCTGATGTTTATAGTTTTGGAATGATTCTATGGGAAATTATTACTTAATAAATACCATATGAAGGTTTATCATAAACTTAAATAATTGGTTCAGTTGGATATGGATAGGATTAAGTACCTATTCCTTCAAATAGCAATCCTTCAATTTTACTTTAATTAGCCAAAAAATCTTTAAAGAAGAATCCTGATGATAGACCTACTTTTGCTGATATTGTAAATGAAATTCAAATGGGATAAAAAACAGATGCCAAACTAAAAAGTAATTAAAAATATTATTTAATTATAGAATAGGCTATAAGATAACTTATGGATTTTTTTGAATGATCAAAAGAATGAAAAACATTAATCATATTATTATTCAAATTTATTTGATAAGTATTTCCTTTAAATTTCTTTCCAAATACCCATCTCTCAAGAAAATTTAAAGTGGTATAAAGTACACAATCCTTTTTATTAATTAATACTGGTTAAACAAATATTTTGGGTATAATAAAATTAAAGCTAAAATTGTAATGCCACAAAATACCAAATAACTTATTGAGACATTCTAAAATATAGATAATATTTACATTCAATTATTTCAATGTTTCTTCTGTAATTTCTTTGAAACTACTCCTAAAACTATTTGAAAGTGCAAAAAAAGCCCTTGTAATTATTTAAGCTCCTTCTAATTCATACTTATGCATTTCTACTCTTTTTGTAAAATTGTTCATTTACTATTAAGTTTATATTTAATTGTAAAGATAACTTAAAGTAGGTACAATTCCTTTTGAGAGTATTCCTTCAAAAGACAATTAACAATATTAATCCATTAATGGTTTAAAATTCTAAAAAATATAGTATATTATTTATACTTCATCAACTTATGAACACATTTCATTAACTTAAACTAATTCTAATAAATCTATGAAATTTTATGTTAATAAATAATCATCATAATGAATTGTTTCAATTAAGGAATTAAATTCTTACAAAACATTTTAAGATCTGTTTAATAAAATATATAAATTTTCTTGATCTGATTTTGTAAGAAAAGGATAACTAGAAAAACGAAAAAACAATTCTCTATAAAGAAATCCATTACCTCCTCGAAATTTTAAATCCTAAATTAATTTAAAGAAATCTGTTGTAACATTGTATTTTGTTAGATATTATTAAGCTTATACAAATACTATTATTCCATAAATTATTATTAATAGTAAGAAAATTATATTGGCTATGTTATATTTATATTGTGGATATTATTAGGCAAATTTATGATAAATTAATTAATTCTATTTAGCATTTTCAGTTGAATTTTATATTTTAATTATCATAAAATATTCTTTTTCTAAATGGAATTCATCAAGCATAGTTGCTGAAATGATATTTAATAATGTCTTCTATCTTGATATTTCATTCAAAATAATCTCATCTGTATTATGCCTTAGTAATCCTATAATTAGATCATATGAAGCAAAATATTTCCTTTGATAATAAAATACTATCAATAACAAAAAAATAAACACAAAAACAAAGCATGTTAATAGAATTGACCACTTTATATATATTTAATTACATTTCTCTTCAGAATACACTTTTATTTCCCTTGTCAAACTTTCACAAGTATTCTACATTATTAAATAATTTGCTATTAAAAATACTTAAAATGGTTAACCAGCAATAGCTCTATTAAACATATAAGCAGATAATTATTATTGTTAATATGAAAGCATAATGAATAAGTTATCTCTAAATGTAACATCTTATGAATATATTACAGAAGAATTTTCCCCCATGAACCAAACAGGGATTGTTACATCATTTAAAAATTAAGCTAAATAGGGATTAGTTAATTAAGTGTAAAAGTTATCTTGTAATTCTTAATAACCTAAAGGTAGGTATTAAAGGAAAGGAGTGGTGAGGACTTAGAGTTCTTTAGCATTAATAAATCCTTCTCTATATTGTATTTAATAGGATGTTACAGTAATTCTCATTGAAAAAAAGAGATCATGAGGACCCATAATACTAGCATGCAATTATAACATTTCAATTTATTCAATTAAAATATTTAAATCTTTATTGAATTCATACATTATAAAAATTGGAATAATTAAAAAAGAAATTAAAAGTAAGAAAGTGTAGATTAAAAAATGAACTATATATTTTGGTTTTGAGTTTTACATAATTCTATGAATGATATCATATTTCTTCCATAAACTATCTTTTGAAATATCATTCAAAGTCTTTGTTTTTTATTATTTTACTTATTTTCTTGTAAATTAAGAAATTATTAATTCATATGATGAACAATCTTTAATTTGATCATCATGACAAAAATATTATTATTAATTGTCTTTATTAGAATGTAATAATTCTTTAAATTCATTAATATCATTTTTATCTTGATTATTATGATTTGTTATACATATTCTACCTGGACTTAATATTTCTTCTTAAATTTAATCATTTGTATAATTGGAAAATAACTTTACATTTCTTTACATTTATTTAGTAGAATTATTAACTTATTTTTAAAATTCTTAAAATATTTGATTTCTATTTTTTAATTCTAAATCATTGATTTCACTATCAAAATCACAATCATTAATGATATTTGATCTCTATCTATTAGTTGAATTTTCTAAATTGCTTTCAACATTTTATTATTTTTGAATATAGGATATATGCATTACATAATAAACAAAATTAGAAATTTATCTTTTTCTAATAGTAAGATCACAAATATATTTAATATTTTAGATTGTATTAGATCTAAAATAGCTATTTCGAATATTTTTCAGAGATTGGAAATCATATTATTTTTAAGATAATTTTTCAGGAGGTTTAGGAAAGATTAATTCAATTTGACTAAGAGATGTTTCTGTTAATTTAATAAGAGATTCAAGAATATCTAAGAAATCTGGCATTATACTTTCTATAGAAATCTTATTAATATCATAATTAACTTTAAACCATTAAATTTATTCAGAATTCCATCCAATTTAATTTAAAATACTCTTTGTAAATAGACATTAATGTTTAACTCCATCAACTAAAATAAACATCAAATCTTCTGTTGGAGGTTAAAAAAAGGCTGAAAATGTTAGATTTGATTTAACAAATAATTCAGTTACATCAACATTTAAATAGATAGCTTAAATAAATTGATCTTTAGTAACTATAAAATTAATATCAAATATTTTAAAGAATTTACATTATCCAGTTTCTAAAAATTAACCAACAAAATGATGATGATAATTAACTACTGCTAATGGTATAAGATCTTCAAATTAATAGTTTTCTCCTTTATTTCTAAATACACCAAAAAGATCGAATAATTAATTAGAATGAGTTAATATGTTAAAGTGTTACATATCATCTTATAATGTCATTATTAAATAATAAATATCTTTAGAATTTACATTAAAATTCTTAATTTTTAAAAATTTTAATTATCTTTCATCTAAGAATTTTTGACTTCTTGAAAATTACATGGCTTTCTCATAATCATTTTAAATAAAACAATAAAATACATTTAAAGCTTGATGTAATATATAACTTGGATGAATATTATACATTTCTATAATCTTAGATTCTCCATCATTAAATTATTTACATTTATCAATTAAATTTTAATAGCTTTAGTGATTATCCCAAAAATTTACTTTTTTATCATCTGATTTAATTTTCATCATATCTTCATAAAATTTTATTTTTTATTTAACTAAATTAATAATTATATTTATTGACTATTAAACTTAAACCTCATTTAATAAATATTAAGTAACAAAATCAGATGTAATAGATTATTATTAAACATAATCATCTGTTCCAAAATTTTTCTATATTGTTCTTCTTGCTTCTTCTAATGTTACTGATATAAAGATTGACTCAAGCATACTAAATTTAATTTAATTTAATAAGATATTTATTTAATATTACATATTTGCATCTATATTTTAAGGTTAAGACAAATTAGTTTGATTGTCTCCAGTCACATAATGGCTATTTCTATCAGAATATGAATTACTTTAAGGTAATGTACCTAAATGATTTTTTAATCCTTTCAAATTTGATTACTATGTTTATTAAGCATTTTTTAATTAATGTAAATACTATAATGATTACATTATCCATCCAAAGTCATATAATAGAAACACATAACTAAGAAATCTTCTTTTTGATTTTTTGCAACTTTATTAATCAGTAAAATTTAATTTTAAGGACTCCTTTAAAAGTATAATCAATCTTGATTATATGAATTCTTTAAAGATTTCTATAGTAATTCCTTATGCTGATCGAGTATCTAATATATATTAATGTCCACAGATTGAACATGATAGATTTTAACATTTTTTGTAATGATATTATTAAATGAGAGATCTTTGAATAGTACAAAATTCGAAATTTTATTCATTTAAAATGCTTGTAATATGATATATGAATCTTTTAGGTGATACAATTTGATCATTAAATAATGTTACTAGATTTTACTTTTAATCTATTTGATAATATTTCAATAAGATTTAAAATAAAATAGGAGTTAAAACAAGAGTCTAAAATATAACTCTTGATCCATATTTATCTTATAATTCTATTATTTCTATTAAAAAATTAACTATTATTGAAAATGATATTCCACATATTAAGACTTTAATTAATTTTCCATTTACAAAAACATAATTTGTAAATTAATCATAAAGATCAAGACAACATTTTAATAAAGATAATCCAATTAATAGATGTAAAGTTGAAGGTTAATCCTTTTGAAAGATATAAAGAAATTAAACAATAAATTCTATGATCAAAGATACATATCTTAATGTACTGGTATTCTTTCTCTCCAATCCCTATATTTTCATAGTAATTGGTTTTTCTATTACCTTTATGTGTAAAATATTATCTAAAACTACTAATATTAAAGTTAATAAAACTAAAAATATTAGAAACAAGTTTAAAAATTATTGATTAATAACTATCTAATCAAAAAGATTTTTAATACTGCATACACAAATTAATACACACCATTAATAGAGTATTAAAGATATAATTTATTAGTAGAGGCTTAAAATAAGAATAGGAATCTTAATATAAAAATTATTTTGTAAATGAGCTAATAGATTGTCTTAGTTTAGAATATAATAATACAATATAACTATGATTATGAGCTTTGCTTTTTAAAACAACATTATCACAAGCACAATTATAAACAGTAGGGATTATTATTCATTTTCTTTCTCTATTAACCATATATCAGGTCTTATAAAACTCTTTACAATTTGAAAATGTATTGATTCTTTCTTTGTATTTTCACTTAATCTCAAATCTAATGTCAAAATTAGAAGTTAAATGTAAGGGATCACTATTATTATGGCTGATGCTAATCTTGTTAACTAATGTTATTTCTTTAATATGATCATCATTGTAATATATTATTCAATAAATGTTAATCCTTTCTTTTCAGAAGCCAAAAACATGTAAATTTATTGAATTAAAAAGTTCTTTAATTAAATAAATATTTTATAAAGATTCTTAAGGCACACAAATTAGACTCAAAAAGGATTATCATTGAATATATGTATACTTATAAATTATATGAAATAATATCTCGAATTTTCAAACATTTTTTATGAATTTTACAAATTAATTTTATAAAAAATAGATAATATAGTGATTTTGAATTTAAATGCTTAAATAACAACATTTACAAATCTCCTTGTTTCTGAAATTTCTAATATAAATTATTGTAGTAATATAAAATTTTATAAAATCTTTTACTTATTATTTAATCTAAAAATATTCATAAACAATTTAGATAGAGATGCGTTTTTTTAGTAAATATTGAAGTACTATTAAATTATATTTGATTTATTTGTTTACTATAATAAATGTCATATGTTTATATATTATATAATCATAAAAATATGAAATTCTTAAATATATATTGTAGTATTTAGAGTTGCTAATAAGAAAATAAGAAATTAAACTATTATAGTATATCAAGTCATGTTTAATTTAGAAAGTGTAGATGGAATAAGAATAATAAATATTTTGATTTAATTTATTTATAAAATTTTTGATATTTTTCTAATACAAAATGAGATCATATTTGAATAGATCATTTTATATTAAGAAAGATGTATCAAAAGAAGACACAGAAAGAATTAGTAGTAGATAAAAATCAATGCATGCTAGAGTAACTGCAATAAAGATGCCTCCTTTAACTAATAAAACTATTACACTTTCTGATTAAAAATAGGAACCAAAATTTACAATTTCAAGATTTTCTAAAGCAAAATACTTGCGAAATGATCTTTTAGATACAACTTTCTAATAAAGTAATGAATAAGGAAAAGTGGAGGAAAAGATGAATTAATTATTGACTATAGAGTAATACTTTTTATCCTAAGGTTTTGATTTTTCACTTTAAATTCATAAAAATGTGTATTTGCCAATTGAAAAATTTGAAGATGATACATTATAAAAATATTCTAATGATTAAGTTATTGAAATGCTTAAAACATAGAAAATTTAAATTTTTGTAATGGAATAGAATAGTTTAGGTGATTGGTTTTGGTATAGAGCTGAATTAATTGGATATTCAAAATTGTTTCATTATCAAAGAAAGAATAGAGAAGGTAGATGTGCTAGAATTCATTTTATTATGGATTTTGAAGATAAGTAATTGTATATTAAGAAGTTAAAATAAGCATTTTATCTAAGAGATTAGATGGATAGATATTTAAAATTTAATTGTTATGTTGAGAATATGCCAACGAATGATTTAATTTAATTAAAAAGTGAATAGAAAAAGAGAATTAAGAAAAGATTAGGATTTGAGTTTCCTTCATAATTAATAAAAAAAGAATTTATTGATGTTAACATATTAAATTTGAAAACATAAAATGAAATCATTTTCATACATTTTTTAAAAAATAGTGAAACTAATTAAAAATTGAAAGATCTATTAGAAATATTAAATAATTAATACATTAAATCCTAAGTTTCTATAAGAAACATAATATAAAATTAATTAATATATTCTGAAGGGATATTGATTTAATAGATAAAAACTTCATTTCAAATATTAAGATAATCTTATTTTTTGGCATCTATTTCTAATATCAAACCTATTTAAAAATGTTTATAATATATAAGTAACTAAATTGCAGATTTGTTATAATTAGAATTGTTTGTATATTAATAATAACCATTTGAAAAATTTAAATTTTCTTAAGAAATGCATATGAAAACTGTCTTGTCAGGTATTAAAATAAAATGGATTTAAGAGATTATTGAATTCTGTAGAATAAATTTATAAATCTAAAATAAAAAAAGCATTATATTAACATAAATTTAATTGGATAGATTTTTTCAATTGATTAGAATGAGATTACAAGATGCATTGCATAATTTTTTGAAGATTAATTATGAAAAATTCATTAATTACTTAAATAAACATATTCCTGAAGATGTATAAATTTAATCCTATTCTTAAGTTCATAATATTTATACTAACTAATATGCAATTATAAAGCCATTATATACCATATAAATTTAATTTAAAGTAAATGAAATATGTTATTCTATCAATCCTCTTCAATTCAAAGATATAATAATTGGATTTTTTGAGTAAATCTATGAATCAATTGGAGATATACCTGATCCAGAAACTAGATTAATTGAATATTTTCAGAAAGAGTTTTTATATGAGATGAATGGAAATTTAAAAGCACCTGAAAAGGAATAATATGTAAATTTTATCATTATATTCTCATTAGTATTTTGATGCAATAGATAATTTATCTAATAAAGTAAGAAAATCCCTATTTGATTATTTGAAATAATTTGAAAGTTTATAAAAGTTATAGTACTAAAAGTCATTTGAAATAATTTTAGCTGAAACTCTCATTCTTGATAATAGAGAAGATATGAAATTAATTGACTAGATTCCAGAATTTATAGAAGTAGGAGCATTTTTAATTGTAATATCAGAAATGAAGAGTTATTTTTATTAATTATTAAGGAAAAGAGAATAATATTATATTGAATAATTGTCAATTTATCATAAAGAAGATTGTATGAGATTACTAAATGAATTTGCTAATTTAGAATTGAAAATAATAGAGAAACCATAAAATATAGAATAATTAGTAGAAAAAAGAGAATTTTTAGAAGATGCATTTCCTTAAAAATTAAGTTTATTATAGTAGGAAGTTTAAAAAAATAAATTTTATTTTGATTTGTTAAATTCTGTAATAGAATGTTAAAATATAGTTTATATTAATTTTTATCCTATTAGAAGAGAGGATACACATAAATATTATCGTCTTTTAATTTAAGAATAATAATTATTGAAATTAGCATAAAGTTAAAAATAATTATTAGAAAATTAAAAAGAGGAGATATTTTAGATTTAAGCTCATGAATAATCAAAATTCAAAAAGAAAATTAAATAATTAGAATAATAGGTATATAAATTTTAAGAATACTGTTAATTGGAATAAAGTAAAATGGCAGAAGATGAAATGATAATTATTAATAATTAATTTTAATAATATTCAGAAGAAGCTTAAAGATTTAATAAGAGAGAATAATTGTTTGGTTTAGAATAAACAAATTATGAAATACTTTTATAATTATAATGTGAATATAAACCATTTGAAGTAGTTTGGAGAGTTAATTCAATTTGGTAATATTAAAATATAAAATGGTTAAATGATTCATTGAATATAGTAGATTATTAAGGGTGTGAATAATTTTTTAATTAAGATTATAAATAATTTATATAAGTAGTAGATAAAATATAATTTTAAGAAATATTTACATTGTGGAAAAATTTAAAAAAAGAAATAGATTAATTTTAAATGTATGTACCAATATTATTATCTTTAACAAAGAATGGATTAAGAGAAAGACATTTTAATTATTTGGGATAATTATTAAATATTCAAGATGATTAATTAAAAAATTATATATCTTTATAAAAATTGATAGATTTAAAAATAATTGATTATTAAGAAGAATGTATAGAATTAGGATTAAAGGCTTAAGAGGAATTTGGTATAGAACAAGTATTAAAATAAATAACAGATGTTTGGAATGAATATAGATTTAATTCAATTATAGTAAAGGGAGTTTAAATATTTAAGAAAATAGATGTAATTTAAGCATTAGTAGATGATCATTTAATTTCATTAGAATTAATGATGAAATAGAAAAATAATACTTATTTCATTTAAGAAATTAATACTTTATATGAAGATTTGAGACGTATTTCATCTTATTTGGAAGAATGGAATAAGACTCAGACATAAATAGTGTATATGTAACCAATATTTGATTCAGGAGATATTTTAAAATAATTACCTGTAGAATATAAAAAGTATAGACAAATAGATAAGTTTTATAAGGAGATAATAGGATTTTCAGATAAGGTGATAGAATTTGGATAACAAGATATATAAAAGGTTAAATAAATAAATAATTTATTGGATCAAATACATAAAGAATTAGGTAATTATTTGGAAAGAAAGAAAGAGAAATTTAGTAGATTTTATTTCATATCAAATGAAGAGATATTAGAAATTTTATCAAATGGATAGGATTTAGTATTTTTATAAAAATATCTTTATAAATTATTTGAGAATATTGTTAATCTAAAAATGAATAAATATAATTAAATTTATGCTCTTTAAACAAAGGATTGTGAATTAAAATTATAAGATAAGGTAGATACAAATAATAAATGTATAGAAGATTGGTTATTGGAAGTAGAATAATAAATGAAATAAAATGTAAAATATAATATTTTGAACAGAAATAATGAATGTGGTAATTAAATCATGATGATTAATTTTGAATTAGATCATACATATAGAGTTGAAGAAGATATGAAATAAGGAAGAGATCTTAGAATATATTTAATGGAATTGAAGGATAAATTACATAATAAAAATCTAGATGTTGCTAATATAATATTATTGGCTCATCATGTTGAAGTATTAAAATAATTAATTGATTATAATTAATAATTGATTCCATTCTATTGGAGTTTATAATTAAGATATTATATTAAGAGTACTAATTGTTAAATTAATTCATTGGAAGCTTCAATACAATATGGATATGAATATCAAGGGAATATAGAAAGAATTATAATAACACCATTAACAGAGAGGAGTTTAGTAATATTTTTGAATGCATTACATTATAAAAGAGGAGGAGCAGCTGTTGGATAAACTGGTACTGGAAAAACAGAAACTATAAAAGATTTATGTAAAGCAGTAGGATATAGATGTATTCTATTTAATTGTTCAGAATTAGTTGATTATATTCTCATTTCATAATTTATTAAAGGAATTTACACTAGTTAATGTTGGAGTTGTTTCGATGAATTTAATAGAATAACAGCTGAAGTATTATCAGTTGCTGCATCTAAATTAATGTAATATTAACCAGATGGAATATTTGTAACAATGAATCCTAATTATAAAGGTAGACATGAATTTCCAGATAATTTGAAATCATATTTTAGAATGGCATCTATGATATCACCAAATGTTTAAATTATTTTATCAACCATTTTATCAATTTTTGGATTCAATGAACCTGCAAAACTCACTTCTTAATTAATGTAATTGATATCAATATCAAAAGATTTATTATCAAATTAACATCATTATGATTATAGTTTAAGAGCTTTAAAGAGTGTAGTTATGTTAGCAGGTTAATTATTTAAATAATCTCATGATCAAGATGTTAATTAATAAAATTATATTCTTAAAGCTTTAAAATATGTATTTGAACCTAAATTAATTTAAAATGATTTAAACTTATTTCATTAATTATTAATACAATTTTATCCTGCTTAAGAAATCAAATCTGTAGAAAGAGATGATTTTAGTAATTTTATAGTTACTAGTATATTACAATAAAAAGTATCAGAACTTAAACAAATTCTCAAACTTAGACATGGAATCATGATTGTAGGTCCTGCAGGTTCAGGTAAAAGTGCTTGTTTAGAAGTAACACTTAAATAAACAAATATGACTAATATACGATTGTTTCCAAAAGCAATGAAGGTTTCTGAATTGTTTGGATGTTTAAATATAAGTACTTTAGAATGGGAAGAAGGAGTATTACCTAGTCTCTTAAAATAAGAATAACAATAGGATATTTATATTTTTGATGGAGCTGTAGAGACTGAATGGATTGAAACTATGAACTCTGCTTTAGATAATAGTAAAAGATTATGTTTAACTAATGGATGTATAATCAATCTAAATTGTTCTATGATTTTTGAAGTTGACAGTCTTAAAGGGGCAACTCCATCAACTATATCAAGATGTGGTATTTTATATATTTCTGATGATCCTTTATTGGGACTTAAGTAATTTATATCAAATAAATGTGATAAATAAGCATCCAAATATAATGAAATTATTGAAAAATTGAGAAGTAAAATTATTCAATTAAAAATACCTTTGAGTTATTTCTCTAATCAATTAATTACTATTATGAAGGAAATATAAAATGAATATCATAATTTTAATTTGTAATTATTTATATATTGTTTGGCATGGACTATATTACCATAAGTAATAGAAAAGAATGAAAGATCAAATATCAATCAATACTTAATTAATCTAGGTAATATAATTTGTGATAATTTACTAATTTATAATGAATATAAAGAAGATATGAATAAATTTTAACTTATTCATGTACCTACAATTTTGAAATTCACTAATTTTGAAGATATTTATGTTCCAAAAATAGAAGATATGGCTTATTTAAAAATTTCATAATCTCTTTTAAATCGATCAAATATAAGATTTGAAGGTATAAGTGGTGCTGGAAAAACAAAACTAATTAATGAAATCCTACATAATTTTTAATATATAAGAATCAATTGTTCATCATCTACTAATTCATCAAATACATAAATGACATTAGAATCAAATTTAGAGAGAAGAAGAAAAGGTGTATTTGGTCCATAAATGGGTTAGAAATGTATTATAGTTTTAGATGATTTTCATATGCCATAAGATGTAGAATTAGTTAGATAATTCTTACATTAAAAAGGATGGTATTCTAAAAGAGACACTCATTCTATTCTATAAAAAGTTGAAGACACAACTATATTAGCAGCAATGACTCAATAACATTAACATAGTGATAGAATGTTAAGATTATGGACAACATTTAAATTTTGTTAAGAAGAAACAATCTATTAAACTATATTTAGTTAGATGACTTAAGCATTTCAAATGTAACATATTGTTTAAAAGACCTTATAAGCATATAAATAAATAAAGGAATAAATAAAAGCTACACCTTTTAAAGTTCATTATCAATTTACTATGAGAGATGTTTGGAGAGTACTTTAGAGTATGTGTACTAAGAAAACATAGAATGAATATTAATGGAATTTTGAGATGGCTAGAGTTTTTGTAGATAGATTAATAACAAAATAAGATAAGATATTAGCATAATCAATAATTGGAGTAGATACTGTATAATTTTGTGAATTTTCTAGTGGATATAATGATCATTCATATAAAGCAGTAAATGATTTAGATACTTTATTATAATTAATGAAAGAACAATTTTAGAAATAAGGGATTACAATATATGAAGATGCTTTGAAATCATTAATTGCAATATCTAGAGTATTAGGATTATAATCAGGACATTTAGTAATATTAGGTTAAGTAGGTACAGGAGGAATATAATTATCTAAATTAGCAGTCTTAATATAAGAGAATGAATCTCCTTAGATTGATAGATGGAAAGATGACTTGAGAAATATAATAAAGAAATGTATAATGGAGAATAAAAAGATGACAATAATTATAGATGATTAAAGAAATGCACATAATTAACCATAAATATATTAAGATATAAGTACTCTATTGAATTCAGGTGATCTTGATATATTTAATAGATAGGAATTAGATGATCTTCATTCAATATTTTAAGAATAAGCACTTTAAGAATAAAAGGATTCTAAAATTAATTTAAAAATTCTATTACATAAATTATATGTAAATAGATTAGTTAAAAATTTACATTGTATAGTATGTATAACATCTACAATTAAATTTCGACATTATCCAAATTTAATTAATTGTTCTACAATACTTGCATTATAATAATTACCAGATTAAGCATTACTTAGTATTGCTTAAATGTAATTAAAACATTTAGATATTAATTAAAAATAAATGAGTGAATTATTCAAATTATTTCATTAATCTGCTTAACTTATTGATAATCATTAAAAAATATAAACTGTTACTTCAATTCATTTTTAAGATCTCATTTTTACATTCAATAAACTATATTAATAAAAAACTAATGAATTATAATCAAGAATTACTCGTATTAAAAATGGACTTTCTAAAATTTAAATTGCTAATGAAACTATATCTGAATTAAAAAAAGAATTACTTGAAATTACACCAGAAATTGAAAAATCATAATAAGAAAGTTCAAGAATGATGGAAAAATTAAAATAAGAAAAAGATTAAGCTTTTTATTAAGAATCATTATTAAGTGAAGATGAAACATAAGCTAATGTTTAATAAATTTAAGCAACTAAATTAGCTAATGAAGCTACCTAAGCAGTAAAAGAAGTTAATCTCTTATTAGATTAAACTCTCTAAGATGTATCTAAATTGAAAAAAGAACATTTAATAGAAATCAAATCATTAGGAAAACCACCTAAACCAGTAGTCATTATTTTAACAGGAGTAGTCATCTTAAATCTAGATAATTTAAGATAATATATTACTTAACCTCTTACTGCTTTAACAAATTAAGAATACTTTGAAATTGCTAAGAAATATTTATTAAATGATCCTAAAGAATTATTAGAATTAATAAGAAATTATGACAAAAACAATATCAATCCTTATAATATTAATAGACTTGAGAAGATAGTATTATCAGAACCAGATTTTACATTTGAAAGAGCAAAATAATGTTCTGCAGCTGTTAAATATTTGTATTCATGGGTCAAAGCTATGTATGAATATAATAAAGTGTACATTGAAACTAAACCATTAAGAGAAAGATTAATTGAAGCATAAAAATAATTAAAAGATAAAACTGATATTTTAAATGAAAAGAAATCATAATTAACTATAGTATTTTAAAAAGTTAAAGTCTTATAAGAAAAATATGATTAACAAACATAAAAGTGTGAATTTCTTAATAAATAATTAGAGGAATCATCAAATAAATTATAACGTGCAATTGGATTAACTTCAGGATTGGAATAAGAATAATAAAGATGGTCTCATTAAATTAATGTATTATAGAATTCATTAAAAAGTGTATTGGGAGATTGTGCAATAGCAGCTGCTTATTTGAATTATTGTGCTCCTCTTTCAGAACAATTAAAACATTAATTATTATAATAATGGTCTAAATAAGTTAAAGCTAAAATTGGATATGAAAATCATCCTTTATAGTTTTTAAATCCATCCTAAATTTAAGATTTAAATTAAATAAATTCTATATTTTTATAACATACTATTAAACCTATTTTATGTATTGATCCATAATGTTAGGCTAATGAATATATAAGAAATAATAATTCAGTAATGGATGTTAATGATTAACATTAATTTGAAGTTGCACTATCATTAAAATAAAGTATTCTTATTGAAAATTTAAATAATATACCTGATTGGTTAACTGAATATATTAATAACAATCCTCATCCAAAAATTAAAATTTATGTTACCACAATGTAATATAATTTTTAAATGACTTCATTGAATTATTCATAATTTTATGTTATCAATTTCTAGATTACTAAATATAATGCTGAAGAATTGATCTTAAATTAAATTGTTAATACTTAAAATCCAGAATTATATAAACAATAAGTAGAATTGAAATAGATGGAATTTAAGAATGAATAGAAATTAAAATAAATTGAAGATACTATACTTTCTATATTAAATGTTGAAAATATCAAAGATTTACTAAATTAAGAAACATTAATAAATTAATTATCTAATTCAAAGAAAACATTTAATGAAATACAATTGGCTTAATCAGAATTTTAATAAATATAAAAAGATTTAATAAATACTAAACATTAATATAAATAATTAGCTTCTAAAATAACAGACTTATATTTCATTTCTTAAGATATGTAATGTTTAGATCCTATGTATTAATTTTCATTAGAATGGTTTATTACTTAACTTCTCTATACTATTAAAAACACTAATAATCTAAAACTTATTTTTTCTAATTTTCGTTTAAGATATTATTCTTGTTTAAGTAGAGTTCTAACTGAAAGACATAGATTAGTTTTAGCATTTCTACTTGCCAAATAATGTTTAGTCTCTGTTGATCATGAAGATTGGTAAGCCTTTATTGGATATTCTAAATTAAAGACTGATGATTTTTAAGCTAAAATAAATCCATTTACATGGATAGATAATGCTAATTATCAAAGAATTTGTTCTGAATTAAATCATTTTTAATTGGTAACAGCAAAAATACTTATTAATAATTTTGAATAAATTAAATAATTTTATTTAAGTAAGAAATACTAAGAAACAGAAATACCTCATTTAGATAGATTAGATGAAATGTAAAGAATATTTATAGTCAAAGCAATTCGACCAGATTACATTTAAATTATGATCAAATAATTTATATATAGAATGTTAGATTTTGATATTGATAAAGTCTAATCAATTCCACTTGATATTACATTTAATGAAAGTTAACATAATAAAATATTGTTATATGTACTTTAAAATAATTAAGATCCTATTGAATAAATCAAAGATTTTGCAGTAAGTAAAAATTTTAATAAAAAATTATGGACTTTATCTTTAGGTTAAGGTTAAGGAAATAAAGCTGAGAGACTCATAAGAGAAGCTGCAGAACAAGGACTTTGGATTGTAATTTAAAATTGTCATTTACATCAATAATGGTTGAATGAATTAGATAAATTAATTATGATTGAATCACATACAGATTATAGATTGTGGTTAACATCTAAATCAATCATTTAATTTCCAGGAAGAATTTTACAAAAAAGTGTTAAATTAACTTATAATACGAATGATGAGAAATAAATAGAAATGACAGATATTGCTAAATTTCATTTTGGATTATTGAATTTCTGTAAATTAGGATTGTTAGGTTTTAATAAAAAATATTAATTTACTTAATATGATTTAAATATAACTTAAGAATAAAGCAATAAGATTGAAGTAAGTGACTAATTAAAACCAATAGCTTTGACTTATATAACATCTTAATTACATTATGGAGGTCATATTGTAGATGAATAAGATTAAATCATTCTCAATAAACTATGTTGTTATTATTTAATAGATAAAGTGAGTCCAGTCAATAGCAATCTAATTTAAATATATGTTGGAGAATAAATGTGTCAAGAATTTGTAAATGATCTATTGTACAAAGAATATGGATAAATAGATCAAATAAATGATGAAATAAATAAAACTATTTTATATTTAAGTTCAAATTTACCAAAATAGATTATCTTTGATAATTCCAGGAATCATAAATTGGATCCTTTTTTAGTTTAGGAGATTTTATTAATAAATTAGTTAATTGAATTAATAGAAGAATCTATATGTTTAATTTAAAGAATATTAGCAGGAGATTCTTCTCCTAATACAATGATAGCAGAAGATATTAAGTATTAAAGAGTGCCATAAGAATGGATGGATATTGGATTCAGAAGTGATAAAAAATTAGGATAATGGTTTTAAGAATTTTTAAAGAGAGTGAATTTCATAAATAATTGGAATGATTAAGGGATACCAAATGCAATATGGTTAGGAGGATTGATGAAACCTAATAGTTTTTTGATGTATGCAAAATATAGTGAGGAATGTTTAAATAAAAAAACAATATATACTATTTTAGATAGTATTCAAATAGAACATATAACAAATTGTCCTACAAATGGTTATTATTTATATGGATTAACTTTATAAGGAGCAAAATGGAATTAGAAACAACATATATTAGTAGAATCTAATTCAATGTTAAATGAATTCCCAATCTGTTATTTGAATTACAAAGAGGATGATGAATATTAATTATTCTATTCATGTCCATTATATAGATTAATAGATAGAAAAGAGTTGATAGCATTCATTCCAATGCCTTGTGATACCACTAGAGAATGGATATTGAGTGGAGTTGCAGCTTTTATTAATATTAATATATGAATAAAACTTAAGTATTAAAATCTCTTGTGTTAAGACAACCAAAAGAAAATTTAAAAAGATTGCATCCAGTGGCATAATAAAAGAGAGAATAATACTCTTAAACTCCAGAACCACTATAATATAAAACAAGAGAAGAGTCTCCATTTAGAATATTGAGATCTTAAAATGGTAATCTTCCAGTATACAAAAAATATTTTGTGAGAAGTGAAGTACCAAGAACAGTAATAAGACACATTGAAGGAGATGTGAATGAATTTATAAAAGAATTAAGAAAGGTATGTTCAAATGCAGATGTAATTGAAAAAGTATAAAATTGATGCAAATAAATTAGGTTGGAAGAGTAGAAGTAAATGGTAGTCATACAATAAGTGTAAGAAAATGGTTGACATAATTAGGATTCTGAGGATAATATGTAAGACAAATATTATAATAAATTTATGTGTGTTTTTTACTTTGTTTTTATATAATTCTCAATTGCAATCTAAACATTCTTATTCCAACATTAATTATTTAATATTAATGGATCGATTTATTCTTATAATTTATTCTTTTTCTCCTTGAATCATATTTATCCATTCTGGATACTTCAAAATTAATTCATTAATGATTTTCTATAATCCATTATTGAAATTTAAATCAAATTTTTATTTGATCAAGTACTTTTCTACATTGATCAAATACATATTAGATACATCTCTAATATGAAAATAGTGCTATAATTGAATAGCAATAGATCTTAATTGATTATTTTTTTAGTAATCTTATTAATCTCTACATATATTTTAAGTCATTTGTGACTCTTATTCTTATAGTTTTATATCTTACTACTAAGTATTCTCAATATTTGGTAAAGGAAATAATTCTATACATTCTCCTTATGTTTATATATAATTAAGCAATTTCTATTGAAATATAATATTCTTATTATCATTTTGAAGAAATTGCTAATTATTAATTCTTACTTCTAAACTAAGTTTATTATTCATATGATGTTTCCAAGCCAAAGAAAAAGAATCATTCCAAATAGATAGGAATTGCTATAAATATTAAACTTTAAATTCTATTTAATAATCCTATTTAAATTAAATAACTATTTCTTAAAATGCTAAAGTTTAATTGATTAATATTTTATTTAAATTTAAGAACATCTTACAAAATAATTAGTAATAAGGTATGGCCAACAATTACTAAATGGTTTTAATACTTTATATTCTCTCAAATCTTTGTCTTAAAGGTTCTTTAAATAAAATTATTGATATATCTATTGTTGATTCTCTCTTCTATTCTAACTTTACCATCTTTTTATAATTTTCAAATTATTCTATGCTATTTATCGTTAATGAGTCTTCATATAAACCTTTAATTATTAATTATATAAAAATGTACTCTTATTTTTGGTCATACTTTTTTAAACCAACTATTACACATTGCCCTTTACTTTTGCTTCTTTTTTATCCCTTTTAGTGATATGTTAAGAATTATCTTTGTTTTTATGTTGACTAACTCCATTTCTTGAATAACTCATTAGATTATTTTATTATCTTATTTTAATATCTCTTCTACAAGACTCATCATATATCGATTAATATAATGTGCATTTTAAAAAATCAAAATCTAGGTTTGAAAATAGTATAATTTTTCATTTAACCATAATACATTTCCTCCCTTTCTTCTATATTCATATATTTGCAATCATCTCCTACAAGTCTCTCTTAAACAGATTTATAGAAGTTAATCACATGTGGTTTTTAATTCTCCTTCCTCATAAACTAAATAATCATACACCTACAAAATTACATCTAATATCTAATTAATTGGCACCCATCTATAATCCATCAACTCTTATTCACATATCTTTATCTATTATTCATCTAAACATTTCAATTTAAATGCAAAGTATAAATCAGTCTTTCCAAATCTAGCATCATGCATCTCTCTAAAATATAATACATCCTCCACTTTACACTATTATTATATATATATATATTAATTATTACATCTAAATTTGTTTCCTCCTTCACTTCTCTTAAAACTGCTTATGTTATTGATTCCTTTTTATCTACTAATCCTCCTGGAGTTCCCCAAGCTCCTTTTCTTTACCCATTCTTTTCTTATACAAGTAATACACAATTATCCTTAACAACTATCCCACCAACACCAACATAATGAGTTGCTTAACTTGGTAATCTGCTTTCACAATCAGGAAGCCATTTTGAAAATTACAATATATTTTCACTAACTCTATGCATCTTAAATCCTTATTCAATTAAGGTCTACATATAGATTATTTTATACAGGAGCTAAACGCAATTAATCCTTTTATAGGTCAATCCAAATTGCTGTATTATTATTAGATTTACTCGTTTCTATTAAATCGATTAGATGTTATTTAAATAATATTGGATTGTTTATGTATTATTATAGATTGCTCTTTCTGATATGATTTGCTTATTTACATATGACATCCTTTGTATGAATCAATTATCACGTTATCAAAATTACTGATTTTACTAAATGAATGGGCAAGCAACATAGCACTCATAATTTTTTTCATTTTTTTTTAATATTTATTTATTATTACAATAGTACTTATAAACCTAAAAATAAATAGATAAGTAAATGATTTATTCTTAATAATTGTAAATCTTTTTCATTTCTATACTTAATTTTTGTTTAAATTATTCATTTTTAAATCTAGAATTACATTAAAATTCATCAATCATATTGAGTCTTACAATTAATCAAAGCAATTCCTATATAAATTTATTTGCATTATAATAATGGTTATATAAATCTAAAGAACAAGTATTATTGCGTAATAATAAATAAAATAAGATCTTTTATAAATAAGAAAATTAATGGAAGAATAACGCAAGAGATTGAACTCTTCAATGACTTATGAAGAATATTTAAACACCTTTGAAAAAGCACCAAAAAAACCTTGTTTAAAGCCAAAATAAGAACCAGATGTTGGAATGGATGATTTAGATTTGCTTAGTGATACTTAAACAAATATAGTAAGTAAAAGCTATATAATCTCATAGCCTTAAGTGAAAAACAAAATATACTGCGATCCAAACACTGTAATTTAAGAAGTTGAAGAAGATGGTAAAACACCTATAGTTTGGGTAGATTAATAATTAACACCCAGTCCAATGAAGACAGTAAGGTAAAGAACATAAAGCGAGAATATTTAATTTACTTTTATAAGTTTTGTTGAAAGAGAAATTGAGAGAAAGGGATCACGAAAGTTTGAATGAATAAATTTTGTGCTTAAATATTTTTATTATTTATGAATAGTCCTTTAAAGGACAGACAAAATAAATTGATTTGCATTAAAACTCTTATCACTCCTATATATGTAAAATTCAAATGATGTAAAAATCAAACAATTTAAGTTGAATAAGAATGAAATACTTTTTAAATGATAAACTTAATATTTACTGAAATAAGAGTAAATTAAGAACTTAAAATTTGTTACATAATTATTTTCATTTAAACTTCATCCATTTAAAAGGTATTATTATGATCTATGTTATCAAACTAAATCAATAATTTTGTCTATTTTTACATTCAAATAATAAATGCTAATCAATTTTAAAACACCTAATTATATTAATGTAAATTTAATCAGACTATTATATAAGAGTTTTAGAATAGTTTAATTGAGTTTTCAAAATTTAAAATTATAATAACATTACTAATTATGAAAGTATCTAAGATAAATTAGCTTAAATTATATGCTAACCTTCTATTTTCAACAGTAAAAAGATATTTATTTACACAATGAATAATCTATTCATAAAATAAGTTAACTTTTAATTGATGCTTGTTGTCTGCAAATAGGACATGTCTTTATTTAATTAGATGATTAATCTAACCATTTAATTATACATTCTTTATGAAATTTATGTTTTCCTTAACACAAGTAATAAGCGATGAGATCTTTGTATTTGAAGTAATCATGACATATTGGACATAGCTCTTTATTAATTTCAATATGTTCATTCAATTATTAAATTTCAATGATTTTTTTCAATTACTCTTCTAATATGGATTTCTCTAATTTCTTATCTAAATATATTTTGATTGATTATTTAACTACTTGAATATAAAACAAATAATTAATTGTAATTCTAAAAGTACATATTATCAATATTACATTATATAATTGATATCTTCATCTTAACTAGTAATGGAATTCCATAGAAATTAAAAATATGCTAAGAAATATAAAATTTCTAGCAAACATTATATTTCATTCATATAAAAATTCAAATCGAAATTTAAAAATTGTTCCAATTAAATTATAAAATCTCTTTTGTTCTTTTAATTTAAAGTGATTAATTAAGGTATAATTAATACATAAAGTATTGATGTACTTAAACTTAGTATAAAAATTAAAAATAAATATGAGCATCTAAACCATGCCAAACTGAATGGCAATTTTCCATTTATCAGATTATCGAGATAATATTAACAAAAGACTGTTCCTTAAATTAAATTCAAAGTATGATTCTGTATCAAGTACCATCTAAACTGATTTGGTGCTAATTAAAGCTTATCATAATTTAACATAATAAATTATTAAATTTAATATATTAAAGCTATGTATCAAATAAAAATTAATAGAAAATATTATCAAAAAGATAAATTCTAATAGTTGTTATAAGTTTTAAACAATATTTAATTCAATTTTATATCTATAATTGTTATAATTTAAGCTGACTGAAGTTTTATTTGATCTTTATTAAATGGTATTTATTGCTTAATCCTAATTTTTAGAATTTCAGATTTTTTGTTAAGGAAAGTGAAATCTATTCAACAGATTTGTCTTTAGAAGCATTATTAATAATATCTTTATTTTCAAAGATATTACTAAATATTCTTTTCTTTTCTTGATCATTATGAGGAAATTTCATAGATTTACCACATAAAACTAATTAACTTTAAATAATCTCATGTTCATTTCGAATTTAACTTTCTCGAAGTATGAATTTTTTATTCTCACAATTAATTTTTTATTCTCTTGTTTTTGATGAAGTTAATACAATATTTTTTAAATGATTTAAGATTTCACCTTAAGATTCTATACCTACTGAATTCCCTATATAAGGTTCTTTGTCAGTCTAAAATCCATCTTAAAATGTTCTTGAATTTCTGCCTTCATTTTCTTATTTGCTCAATCTCATTTTGTGAAATATATTTCTTTTATTTTATTTTTATTATTGTCTTATTGGTAAACGATGTACTGAACATATTATTTATTTCTCAAGAGTAGATGATATTTATTAATAATTTTTAAAGTAGAATTTTGTTATTCTTTTATTAAGAGCATAATTCTAATCATTTAATATTTTCCATTATTTTTCATACCTAAATAAAGTTATTTCTTGTGTGCTTTCTATTGGAATAAATACATTTTTTGTCTTTGTTAAACAACAAACATAGCTTTTAAAACCAGATGTTAAATATTCTTTTGTAGATTCATCTAAATTCATTATATCATAAGGGTCATTTTTTTAGGAAGGTTTATTGAGCAAATAATAAGTTAAATGTATATGATTTAAGTAATCCAAACTCTAAATAGGATCTTAACAAAACTTCTCATTTCTATTTGTTATTAAATCAGTTCTAAATGATATAAATTAGGATACTATAATGGCTCATTTCTATTTATGGATTTAACTAAAGAATCAATCTAACGAACTAGCCTTTCTTTCTATAGATTGATAATTATTTATATGATTTCTGTAGAACTCATTGCAGTATTGCCAGCTATTTTGAATAATTAGTTTCTTTGCATTGGTAAAAATTATTTTCTTTAACTGAATATTGGAAAATATAACTATTTACATGTCTTAATACTTGCAATTTTTAGTAATAATAACCTTGAATTTTTATATATTTTTTCACTAGTTTCATTAAGAATTTTCTGGGTTCAGAATAATTTAATAATGTTTGTGATTCTATTTAAATTCTTCTCTACTCTACTCTCAATATCTTGTATTATAATTTTTACACTAAATTCAATCGATCATTACTAGACATTGAATTTATCTGAGCCTCTAAAATTTAAAGGTGAAATATATATTCTTATCTGCTAGCTAATATTAAAATTATAGAATTCATTATATATTTTATTAATATTTCTGAATAATAATCACAAAAAAGCAATATGAAACTTTTTTATTAGATACCAATTCTAGATTCACAAACTATTGTATATATATATATATACCCAAAATAAATTTAACTTTTAATTAACATTTAATATTTTGTTAACATAATAACTAATGGTAATTTGAATGTCTATATAAATAGCAAAGTGAATATCCTGAGAGAGCCCAGCCTTTAGCTAATGAAGAAGTAGAACCTTAAATTCTAGAACTTGCATAATAAGCAGCTGCCTTAAAATAAGTAATCCTGTTTACAATCAATAGTTAAAAAAAGGTGCCAATGAAACAACCAAAACTTTAAATAGAGGTATTGCAGAATTAGTCATAATTGCTGCTGATACAACACCATTAGAAATTGTTCTTCATTTACCATTATTATGCGAAGACAAGGTATTCTAAATATTGACCCATAATAGAATGTCCCTTATGTTTTTGTAAAGAGCAAAGTAGACTTAGGCAGAATGTGTGGTACAAGTAGAAATGTTGTGGCATGCTCAATTATCAAGGATAAAAATTCAAGAATCAATTAAAATATTACATACCTTAAGGATTTGTGTGAAAGACTCCAAATAAATTAAGAAGCATGATCATTATAAATATGTACATTAAAAATTTATCTAATACTATGTAAATTGCAATAGAAAATATAATTTTCATTTTTTCATTATTATTTAATTGTATTGTGATTATTTTTTATCTATTTTATAAATGATATATATATTATATAAATGATAAATGAATTAGTGATATTAAACTCTATAATAATGAATTTGTGATCAACATAGTATTGATATATATTTATTATTAATTTTGAAATTATATTCCCATAATAATAACTAAATAATTCTAAGAATCGGATTACTATTTATATTAAAATAAATTTATGAAAATTTTTTTGGTAAGCTCAAATTCTTATTAAATTATTTATTTTTGTTTGAATTTCTCAATTTTATTAATAAAGTGGAAGTATTACATATAAAGATATTGATTGTCAAGTTAGAACTCGCATTTTATGAAATTCGAGCCTTAATTCAGCTCTTTAAACTACATGACTATGTCATCTTGTAATGTTAATTTGATTAGAATTTAACTGCCAAAACTTAATAATTATATTAATTTATTGATTAGCATGTTAACACAAAATGTTCAAGGTTAATTATTAGGCCCTAGACCTAGTGTAGGAGTCGGTTAGAATTTCCAAATGGGATATGGGATGATTTAACCAAATTTTGGACTGTAATCATAAAATTCTTAATAAACGTTTATGCCTTTAAATACTCCCTTGCCATACCCTAGTGTTGGGTAATTTAATGGATAAATGCCATTATAATTTTCAACGCCAAATTAGGGATATGTCTCTTAGCAAATGAACAATTATTAATAACAGCCATTAGTTGCTTAAAATTTAATTTATTCTCAACCATAAATCTAATATCAATAATAGCTTTATTAACCTCCTCCATTATAAATAACATAACCAGCCTAATTAGAGAGGAAGGTTAATTATATTCCTTAGAAGAAATAAATAATAAAGATGGAAGAGTAAGAAATTGAGGAAATAGTTCCAGTTGAGAGAACAATTTTAGAATATATTCCTGTTTAAACAATTATAGGTATGAAATATAATATAAATTATAGAGAAAGTACCAATTCCTGTAGAAATTCCTTATGAAGTTATGATACCAAAACCCTATTAATAAGAGATTAAGTATCCTAATCCACAAAACTAATTTTATACAGATGAAATGGGAAATCCACCTAAAAATTATGATGATTTATCGAAAAACAAATTCCCTTCTACAACAATTACTAGCTATTAATAGAAAGAATCAAATAATAATGATGATGAAGATGATGACAATGGTGATGATGATGATGATGAAGAATAGATTGAAAAATATACTAGAATTATTGAGGAAATTAAATAAAGGAGAAGACGAAGAAGACAAAGATAAGGTTCAAGTTCAGATGATGAAGATTATTTCGATTTTAGTTCATAATCAAAATTATATGGAAATTAAGGAAATAGAAGTTATGGTTATGGTTATGGAAATTAAAGATAATCACAAACCAGAACTAGTAGGGGATATCATGGAAGAGATAAAAGTGCTAAAGATTATTTAAACTAAAGAATATGAGAATTATTTATCACTTTAATATTATTTATTATTTAATGGAGCTTGATTTTCTTTCACCTAAGGCAAAAGAAATAAACAAGAAAAAGTTAAGTCTATTGTGTTCATTGAAAAATTAGAATATTGAATGCAATGATCCAATTAATGAAAATGTTTCCTTTATTAAAAAACTTACGATTGATCATCCATTAAATGAGATTATAAAAGAATGTCAGAATAATGTTAGAGAGGGTTTCTTAACTCCATTGACTAATGTAAGATTTAAATATAATTTAAGAGGTCTTCCATTTCGATTGAATTTACTGCGAACATGTTTGTTGAAGAGTTATTAGATAGTATAAAATTTAAGCATCTAAAAATACTGTAATTGGATGAACTAATTAATAATTTAAAAAACAACATAGAAATTATCCAATAAATAGAAATTAAATAGTAATCACAAAATCTCAAAGAACTTTGCGAAATCCTAATACTTAATTAACCTAACGATGATAATTATTAATTGTACTTAGATGATCAAAAATTATACCCAAAATAATGGCATTCTTTCCCATTTGATTCCAAAAATAAACTAAATTTTGTTTTATTTACTTAATAAAATAAAATGTTAGAATTTATTTCATTTGACATGATTTATGTATTATAATATAGTTAATCAATAGTAAATTGGCAATAATTGTGTGAATATTAAATAGAATGAATACCATCAGATACTCCGTATTAGATTTCTAGAGGAATCAAATGATCCAATTATATATGAGCTACAGTAATTCTAAACACATTATTATAGGATTTCAATATATTTCAATATGACTTATGATTTAAAAAAAAAGATGATCTAAACTTTGAAAGAAGAAATTTAAGAAATAGATCATAAAATATTAGATATGATAGATATAATAAATAGAATGTTGGAGCCATTCTCTAATAATGGATTCAAATATTTAAGATATGAGGGTATTATTGATAATGATACCATGTTCAAAAATAGAAATCACTGTTGTAATATTTTCTGATTATATAACAACTATGTCTTATTTATCAAATTTGTTGTTATATTATCTTACATGAGATTTATAATAAAGTTCTAATAATCCTTTTTCTCATCAAATATTATTAAAAATAAATTCTTTTAATTAAATAAGTATCTAAATTAATCATATAAATAGACAATAAACACATTAAGAAATATTCAAGATATTTATAATGAGAAAGTATCATTCAATACAAGGCCAAAGAGTATTAGATCAATTAATTATTTAATCTTTAAATATTTAAGTATTTATATAAAGCACATCAAAGGTTTTGAATATTGTGAATACTGTAAGAATATTCAAAAAGGTTTCTGGAACTTAGTATAGTAAAATCTCATTTTAGATTTACTAAGATGTAATTTTAAAACAAAATAGAATAATGTATCTTAATAAAATAATATTAAGGCTATTAAAATTATATTAATGAGACTTATTCANTAAAAAACTTACGATTGATCATCCATTAAATGAGATTATAAAAGAATGTCAGAATAATGTTAGAGAGGGTTTCTTAACTCCATTGACTAATGTAAGATTTAAATATAATTTAAGAGGTCTTCCATTTCGATTGAATTTACTGCGAACATGTTTGTTGAAGAGTTATTAGATAGTATAAAATTTAAGCATCTAAAAATACTGTAATTGGATGAACTAATTAATAATTTAAAAAACAACATAGAAATTATCCAATAAATAGAAATTAAATAGTAATCACAAAATCTCAAAGAACTTTGCGAAATCCTAATACTTAATTAACCTAACGATGATAATTATTAATTGTACTTAGATGATCAAAAATTATACCCAAAATAATGGCATTCTTTCCCATTTGATTCCAAAAATAAACTAAATTTTGTTTTATTTACTTAATAAAATAAAATGTTAGAATTTATTTCATTTGACATGATTTATGTATTATAATATAGTTAATCAATAGTAAATTGGCAATAATTGTGTGAATATTAAATAGAATGAATACCATCAGATACTCCGTATTAGATTTCTAGAGGAATCAAATGATCCAATTATATATGAGCTACAGTAATTCTAAACACATTATTATAGGATTTCAATATATTTCAATATGACTTATGATTTAAAAAAAAAGATGATCTAAACTTTGAAAGAAGAAATTTAAGAAATAGATCATAAAATATTAGATATGATAGATATAATAAATAGAATGTTGGAGCCATTCTCTAATAATGGATTCAAATATTTAAGATATGAGGGTATTATTGATAATGATACCATGTTCAAAAATAGAAATCACTGTTGTAATATTTTCTGATTATATAACAACTATGTCTTATTTATCAAATTTGTTGTTATATTATCTTACATGAGATTTATAATAAAGTTCTAATAATCCTTTTTCTCATCAAATATTATTAAAAATAAATTCTTTTAATTAAATAAGTATCTAAATTAATCATATAAATAGACAATAAACACATTAAGAAATATTCAAGATATTTATAATGAGAAAGTATCATTCAATACAAGGCCAAAGAGTATTAGATCAATTAATTATTTAATCTTTAAATATTTAAGTATTTATATAAAGCACATCAAAGGTTTTGAATATTGTGAATACTGTAAGAATATTCAAAAAGGTTTCTGGAACTTAGTATAGTAAAATCTCATTTTAGATTTACTAAGATGTAATTTTAAAACAAAATAGAATAATGTATCTTAATAAAATAATATTAAGGCTATTAAAATTATATTAATGAGACTTATTCATTTTTAATTGAAATATTTGACTAATATAAATTAAAATAATAGGTAAAATAAACTTTTTATATTTATATCTTTTAGTATATAATAATTATCATTAGATTATGATTCAGAAGTCATTTATTATTTTAATTATTTATATTATAAAATGAATTATCAATAAGAGAAAAGAAATTCAGTAATAAGATAAGATAATGTGAGAGCCTCTGCTTCATAACCAATTTAATCCCCTTAAAAATAGGAAGTTGTCTAAAGTAATGAAAGACATACTGGGTGCATTGAGAGGATGAAGATACTTACGCAAGAATTGCAACGAATGACAGAAGCTCTTAGATAGAAAAACTAAGATGTAATGTATTTATAATAAGAATTACAATATGGTAAACAAAATTAGGTATAAATACAAATATTGATATATAGTAAAATAATCAAGGCAATGAAGACTTAATCCAAAAATTACAATTGGAAAGATAAAAGTTAGATTAATTTAAATAAATGAAGGATTAACAATTAGGTGAATTAGAGGTAGAACTAAATAGAGTGCATATAGAATTGAAGGATGAAAGATTATAAAAGCTTGATTATGTTAATCGCTATTAAAAACAATGTGATGAGGTAGTACGATTGTAAAAAGAACTTGAAAAAGCAAATTAATATTCAATAAAACCAAATGAAATTGATTAATTGCATGCACATATTGATGATTTACAACATGAAAATGATGAATTAAGATCAAAGATGAATAGTCTTTCAAATAAAGTTCAATAATAATAACAACAAATTGCCATTCTAGAAGATTAGCTCACACAATAATAATCATTTCAACCTTCAAAATTGCCACCATCTGGACCTACTACTTATTAAATGCCTTAGACATAATATTAATAATAACTCCAACCTCAAACTTCAAATTATTAAAAGACAACTACTTATACTGTAGAAAGTAAAGGAAATAACAAACCAACTGAAGTAAGGAAATAAGTAGTCTCCACAGTAAATGGAAAAACTGATGTATATGAATACTCTTCTGCATAAGACCCACTCAATCCTAGGGAGTCAATAAGTTCTAAATTGGATTAGATTAATTAGAAAGTTAACTAGACTTATGAAGTGAGAAATTCACAATTACAAAATAATACATCTGCTTCTTAATTACAAAGAGGATCTAAATATTTACCTGAAACATACTAAAAAGAATTCACTGATTTCAAAAGCAAAATTGAAACTAAACCTATAACAGAATTTAAAACAACAACAGTTACCAAAACCAATAATAAATATTAATAATATTGAAGAATATTAAAAATATTCAGTATATATTTTATCAAATCATCATTTTATATAAGGTGTTTAAACTTTACTAAAGTTTCTACTTGTAAGAAATCTATAAGATAGACTTCTAGATTATTTTGCCTTAGGAGTAAAAAATCCATTAACTAATTAAAATTATTTAGGATTTTCATATAATGTTCTTGTTGAAGTTTTTCTTGGTGAAGAGTATACTAATGTGTTATTTGTAATAGGAAGAGCCTTTTTATTTGGTGAGATCAGAAGGTATTAATTCTGATTATTATATATATGATTTTGAGTAGAATAAGATTTTTTTTAATCCATTCTATAAATATTAATTGTTTAAGGTTATTAAACAGTCTACTATTGTGGTTGATAGAAGAGAATTGGTTATTTATGGATCATTACTTTAAATATTTAAGAAATATTTGGTCTTTTTGAATCATCATATTATAATAAGCTAACTACTATATTTATCAAATATTAAGAATAATATTGAAAGAAAGATCCCAATAAATTTAAAATTTGCTGATAATTTATAACTTCCTTATAAAAATCCGTATACTTTGTTAGATCTTAAAATTATTTTTAAAATATTACCTTTACCACTCATTTTTGATACTAAAAGTATTCCAAATGAATAAGAATCCTATTTGAAAGGATTTATTTATGAATAAGTTTGAATGGATTTTAATAATCCTTCATCTATTAAGGACTTAAAGAAATGTTCGAATTATAATTTCCTAACGTTTAAGCATAACTGGATAATTATTTTGGTAGAGTCCATGATACTATTTTTAAATTAGGTTATACTAAAATTTTCACATTATGAGCTTAATCAAAAAAGAGACTATCAATGTTGATATTGGAGTGATATTTATTCTTACTATTTAGATAAGAAAATACGATCGAAATTTAAGTGATTAACTTATAGAAATATTTTAATTACTTTCCAAATAAAAGACTCTTTAACATATTAGCCTTAATATTGATGATCTTTAAGGACCATTGATAAATTGGTTGGTAAATATTCATAATAAATTCTAATTCTTTAATTATTCCTTAAAATGTCTGCTCTTTAATTGTAAAACTAAATTCTTAATCATAATTATACAACCATAATATTTCAATAAATATTCATGCTACATTTATTTTCTTTAAGCATGTTTAAGAATGTATAAAATGACAATCAATATCAATCTAAGAAATCTTATCTTGCTTAACAACAATTTATACTTTCGAAAATATCCACTCTTGTGGATTTAATTTATTTTTCCATAATTGGATCTATCCTAAATACTTATGTTACTTAGAGTTAACATAGGTAATTTTATCCTTTAATATATTGGATTTTAGGTAGTCTTCATTTTCTAAAACAATGGTATTTCCCATTTGAATTTTAAGTTAAAATATTATTTAATTTAAACCGAAAAAATTATCGGCAATAAAATATTATTTAAATTAAGGAGTTATAGTAGCTAAATTGTTCAATCTACTAAATTAGATTATTTTTAGTTGATTTTTTTTTCATTTCCTCAAATACTTCAAATTCATTATTTTATTCTCCTCAATATCCATGGCTAAATTTTTCAAGTAACAGTTTCTTATATATCCTTCACTATCCACTAAAAATTTAACAAGTTGTCCTTACAGAAAATATTAAGATTGAAAAAAGCAAATATCATATATTTATTAATTCACTCATAACCTATTTCCTATTATTTTCATTTTCCCTTTCTACAAATGTACTTTTGAGATTTGTTGTAATCAAACCAAAACTGTATTCTTTGACTAACATATATGATTGTTAATATTTGAAAAACATAGGATAAGTTCAGCTAGATTCACTAATCTATAATGATGTCCTACCAGCTAACGTGATTTTATAAAATAATAAATATTATTTTGTATTGTACATTTATTGATGGTTAAGCAAGTAAAAAATTTGATGCTATTCTTAAGTTTCATCATAACTGGATATCTACAATTAATTAATATTTATTACTTCACAACTTTCTATTTAATTTAATGAAAATCCTAAAAAATTAGTACATTCAAAAAGTTATCATAAAAACTGAACCGATTAGTGGGCCAGGATATTGAAAGTTTAATGTCTCATAAAATTTTTAAATAATGTTTACCCAAAACAAAACAAAAAATACAAAAGCGTATAACAAAACTAATTCAAATATTAAACTTAGAGGCAAGAGCACTGGAATAGATCTCCAATTTACTCTAATTTCTTTAATCTCTTCTTTCAAATAGCTATAATCTGTTGGGATTTTGGCTCTATACTTTTAAGATCGTTGCATTTTTTTAATAAGTTCGAATAGTCTAAAATTATCAAAGAAAAATATACCATAATTCAATCAATTATTTCAAGTAAAATTTTGTTTCAAATTATGACTTTATTGTAAAATTTTGTCATCAAAGCGAAGGTCTTTTTAAATTACACCTTCTAAATCTTAATAGAAGGCAATAAATGATCATCAAATAAATTCTTTAATTAGTAAAAATACCAAGAAGTATTCTAGATATAAAATTTGAAATATTGGTGATTTTTTGGTTACTTAAGAAGGAATCACTAAACATAGTCATCTTTCTGAACCAATATGCATAACTTAAAATAAATTTTTCACTACTTTATAAGTTAAGAATTTATTAGCATCAATTAAAATTAATCTAAGATTGAATCATCTATTCATTGATTTGTAGATGAACTTGAAAGGTGCTAAAAAAAGAGCAGTTCTTTTACTATTTTAACTAAGAAAAATATGCTTAATTAGAATTTATATCTGTCAGATATTGTGGAATAAACACATGAAGAATTCTATTTAGTGCAACTTTTAAAACCTAATTTTTGTGATTGGTTATATTCTCTAATATATGTAATTACATTTAGATTTCATAAATAGTAATTATTATATTAACAAAATGATTTTATATAATTTTTAGAGTAATTTTAGAATCATATAATGTTATAAAAGTAAACCGAAAAGCTTAAGTGTGAAATGAATTTAAAACTAATTCAATAATCTATAAAGTCTCAAAATTTGAAAATAAATTTAAAAATTTCAAACAGTATAATTTTTAAATAATTTTTTTTATATTATTATTGTTTATTCATCCATATATGAAATTATTTTTATGGTTCACAAAATGAAAATGAATTATGATAATTTAAATAATTTAATTTGCCCCTTTTAACTAATGAAGCCTTCATAATAATTGGATGACTGAAAAAATTGATTAAGTAAATGAAGAGCATACCTAATTTGATTTATTAGAAAAACATATTTATAATTGAAAAAAGTGAATAGTAAACTTCTATTTTAATAATTTGATAAAAATTAAAATGTTCGTTTTTCTAATTAAATAATATTAAAAATAAATACATAATATAATTGTTTTACTATTCTAAATTATCTTAAATTTTATTTAGAATATGATAATTCATCATATAAATTCATACAAAAATGTTATTTACAAATTAATTAGGATTAGAGAATATAATAGTAATTAATGATAAATTTGTATAAAAATTAAAGAATATTCAAGGTCCTAGCATTATACAACAAAACCAATATGCCAAACCTTTACTTCTATCAAATGGTTCATATAGAAAAGATTCTGAGTCTATTAAAAGCTTTAAAGATGGTAAAAGACAGTGTGTTGCCCCCCAAAAACATAAATTAACAATTATTAATAAAATTGAAGAATCATACATAGCTCCTTCCTTAAAATAAGTTTAGAATTACCACATAATAAATTTTTTTATTTTATTTGTATTCGTGTATGGCAGTCTAACATTCTTCATTTGTAATTGTAATAATAGCTTAAATTGCCATTAATAATAGACCAACCCAAGAGAGAAGCCTAGTCAAGACCGCAAAATTTCTTACATAAATACCTAAACAAGCCCAACACATATCTTCAGAATATATATATATAAAAATACTTAAATTTCCAAATTTTTCACTTGGCATTTTACCAAAACAATAAATACCAAGCATAGCTAAGAAAATTAAACCTATCACACCACAATAAAGTAAGATAATTATAAATGGGAGTGTAACCTTTCTTATTTTAATTAGATTACTAATGAATTTGCCATAGAAGTATCACTCACATTTGAATCAGCGGTTGTAGTATTATCAGTTGTAGTAGTATTATCTGTAGTAGTAGTATTATCTGTATTAGTAGTGTTATCAGTTGTAGTTTATGATGCTACCAAATAATTGATTTATTCTAATGATTAATCAGGATCATAAAAAAGTAAACGTGCACTTGTATATTCAATAGGTGGGCAAATGTCATATGTATAAGTAGTGTAAAACAATAAATCATAAATAATCAGACCTATAAAGACAACAACAATAAGACAATAGTATGATATTAATCCCATTTTGATAAAATTAATATAAAATCAAAACAAATTTTTAAACATTTATTTATCATAAAACTTGATTTTATTTATATTTGAAAAAGTAGCATCTTAACTTAAAAAGTTTTGAGGTGAAACTTGTTATTATGTGAAACTGATAGCTTAATTTCTATCTTATTGAGATTATTATATGCTATATTATCTCTCACGAGATAATCTTTGATAATCTATTGAAGGTCTTCCTGTAAGAGATGTCATTCTCCCTCTATTTTTGATAGGTAACAATTCTTAATGTTATGGTGTTGTCTCTTATTTTGATTGCATTTATTATTTAGAATATGGGTTTTTGATAATTATAACAACTGGTTTGTTTGATTAAGTGGTAAATTAGTTCTATATGGTATTTCTAAATAAAATAAAAAATTACTTGTTCTAAACTTTAACATGATAAACCTGTACCTGGCCTAAGATTTATTATAAAGAAATATCAGTTTATTAAATGAGTTTTTTAAACCTTCCTATAATGGAACATCTTGATAGTTAGTTATAATTTCTTAATTGTTTTTAAATCCAAGAATATCAGAGTTAGGTTTTCTAATAGATTTAATTTATCCTTCAATTCTTTACAAAACTTCTTCTTCTAACATAAGATTTTAATAATGATTAATGTCAGTTTAAGATGCCTTGTCAATTTTGTTTAGCTTTTTTTTGACCTCTATAACTATTTGGTTTTATTTCTTCTAATTCTTAAAGAAAATCTTCTTCTGGGTTTGAATCACTTTCTGAATCATTTTCACCTATTTAAAGTTAGCTTAAATCACAATATTTTATTAAATTATCTAATTCATCATTTTATAATTAGGTTAAGGCTCTAGGCAATATGCTAGATTTTAGAATGAAATAATAAAAATTATTTATACCATTAAATTTTCAAATATTTAAATATTGATATGGCAACATCTTCACCTAATTACTTATATGAACATTCAGTAAAATCTTGAGATTCTAATTTGGTGCAGGAAGTAAACCTTAAAATTACATAAGATAATATAGAATAAATATTCCATATATTATATAACTTGACTTGTTAGAGTTTATTAGATTGAAAAAAATATTAAATTGAGATAATCATTTGAGAATTAACAGCTTCTTCTGATTTTTGCATCAATAAATAAAATAAGTAAAATTCAAAACAATAATATATAATCAATATCATTTTTTTAAAATTAATAATCTATATATGAATATTTTGGTTTGATTACATTTAAAGGCTTAATTAAAATTCTTAAATTTTAAGCCTTTATAAATTATCTTTGCATTTTAGATCTTTATCATGTTATTTAATTATGTCTTTTTTTAAAGAATTTTTATGTATAATTTAAAAATTAGTAAAAATACTAATAAAATTTATGATATTAAAATAATAAATATAAGTACATTCAATAATTTTTATTTTATGGTTACTCTCTTTTAACACAACCTAAAGCTACTAAAATTTTATGCATAAATGATTCATTATCAATTGATTATGATGTTTATGATCTGATTTATTTTCTTTGTAAATCTGAGTTTCTACTGAATCTCTAAACATTCATTTCAATTGATGTATCATTCTATGTTTCGTGAGTCATTATATGATTCCTAATTACTGAAGATTATGATGATGCAGTTGATTTATTGAGGTATTAAGTTTGAGAATGAATTGAATATGCATTATATGTTTTATTTCGTCCATGTTTGATTTGATTTGAATGATTCTATGAATAAAGTTTAAACCATTTGTGATTTAATATTAATGATAGACTGAGTCTATCTTATTATTTATATGTGAGTAAACTCTTTATTAATTCTTTAGCTTCTTTTGTTAATGATCCATCAATTTAATATTGAACTTTGACTATATTCTAACATTTCTCAATATCATTCTTACCATCAAATGGAGCATGTCCATGTAATAATTCATATAATAATACACCTAAACACCATATATCTAATGTGTAATCATGAGATTTATCTTCTATCATTTCTGGAGCCATATAATCTATAGTTCCACAAAAAGTATTTCTTTTAACTGATCCTAGATTTTCAGCTGACCAACCAAAATCACATATTTTTACATTATCTTAATAATCTAACAAAATATTTTCAGGCTTTATAATAATGAAAATAATAATACTTTTAAATCTCTATGAATTATATCCTATTGATGTAAATATTATATTCCTAAACAAGTTTACTTAAAAAATTTCATAGCTTCATCTTCACTAAGTCTTCCTCTCCTTCTTAAATATTAAAACAAAGAACCATGTTCTGCATATTCTAATATCAAATATACACTATCTTTATCTTCAAAATAATGATAAAGTTGAGTGATATTAGGATGATAAAGTTTACGTTGTATTCTTATCTCTCTTTTTAAATTCTCTATAGAACAATACTCAAATATATCTTTCTTGTTAATCTTGTATTTTTTATTTAATATGTACAATCTTCATTGCATACAATTATTGATTAGTTTTGTCTTTTACTAATTTAACTGCTCCAAAACTTCCTTTTCCCAATTATGGATAATCATAAATTAACTCAAATTCTTCTGATGTTCTCTTCATTTGTCTTAAAGTTGAAACCTTATCACTATTAGATATCTCTTGAGAATTAATCATTTTCTCTGGAATACATTATGATTTATGTCCTGAAGTCCTAAACATTTAATTTTTATTCATACCAGTCTATATCTCTGCATCTCTGAGAACAATAATAAGTCGTTTTACAAAATGGACAATAAATCCTATTTTTAGGGATAGGAACCATCTAACCAATACTTAAGTTATATTGGCAATATCGTGAACTGCAAACGTTCATTTATTTTTAATATATATATATAATCACATAATAATATTTCATTTTTATAATGTCAATTTTATACTCTTCACTTGAAATACTTAGAACCTTATCTTTTTGTTTCATAAAATATCATCTCTTTAAATATATATATAAAGATATAATTTTTGATCATTTTTTTTATTTATATAAATAAAATCTGATTTATCAATAGTTTTATGAAATTTGTAAAATTTTACTCACTTCAGCTAAATCAAATGGTAAACTTATATATTGATCTATTCCATATTTATAATATTCAATTTTTGAATGATATTCTACTAATCCTGTAGTACCTATAATATGTCCTTTTTAAGTCATTTTATCTTTAATCTATTTACTTAACCATAATCCTCCTTTCTTTGGCAAATCAACATTTATAAAAAATAAAACAAAACTAGAATTTCCACATTTACACTTTTTTTTAGTTTCTATCATCTTTAAAACTTCATCAGTGCTAAAAGCCCTAGATGAAAGTATTTTAAACTTTGTTAAAATCATTTCTAAAATCTAGATATTTTAGAATTCATAATCAGCTATCAATACTCTAGAACAACACTTTCCAGAAGTTGAAAATTTAATAATTTCTCCTTACATTTTTACAGGTCTTGAAACAGGTATTTATATTTATGAAGGTGCATCTACTCCAAAATCAAGATATAAATTTGAAGAAGTTGGTTATTTAATTTCACTTATTTATTATTAACTTATAAATGTTTATTCTCTATCTCTTCCATCAATATTCAATGTATTTCCATAAACTACACTATTATTATTTATACTATTATTAATAGTGGCATCAGGAAAATGAGGTAATTAATATTTTGATTAAGAAGGTGTCGTTTAATAATTTAATCTTTAGAGATGCTTAGTCTCATCATCTTAATGAAATATACAAGATGTTTAATCAGCTTTAATTTTTGATATTTATGAAAAATAATTACTTTGATATTCTGAATACTTCTAACTAAATTGTTTAGATATTCTTGATTATGAAAAATGAAGTGAATGATCCATAGATACTTTATTTGATTCTTCTCTAAATAAAGTATATGTTTTATCATTCTATTTTGATGTATCTTGCATGACTAACATTTAGCTAAGAGATGTTTCTTAATAGTGAGTTCCACTTATCAATTTAATAGCTTTCATTTCTTCATTATTTAAATTGAATGATTAAATAATAAAAGTTATTGCTGTACCTTATGGTTCTACAAAAGATATATCTAATCCTTTTTTTGCAGTTCCAGATAAATATTATGCTAATATATGACAAATATTGAATTCTGAAAAAGAAGGTGTTGGTTTTTTTAGATTTAGTTTAAATTAACGTAAATCATCAATATTAATGGGAGTGTAGATGATAACCTAATAATTTTTGGAAGCTAAAAATTTCCAAGTAATAGTTATATTTTCATCTTTTGTTTGTATGATAAAATACCTAATTAAGGGTAACATCAATTATTTTAACTAAATATCTAAGAAATTTACAATACTCTTTCTGCATCTGAATCAATTGTTTCTATGGATTCTTAATCTATTTTAATCTCTATTCCCTTAGCTCTAGCTGAATCCTAAACCATTATAATCAGATCTTCACATATTGTACTTATATCAATAGTAGATACTTTTAATAAAAACTTCTTCTAATTATGTAAATTGAAATCCCTCATATTTGCCAATTATAAATAAACAATTACACTTGCTACTCTAATTGGATAAAGATATTTTTCAAATACTAAATCATTTACTATTGTATCTGATTCTGCTAACACAGATATAGTCATAATTGAGTTAAGACTAGGTGTAATGTATGAACAAAACAAATTAAATGCTTAATAAGAAGTTTAAAAAACTATCTCTCTTTATTCAATTTAAACAAAAACAAAAGTTTTTTTCATTTTTGCTACCAAAAATATTTTAATAATTCTATCTTACATCCATTATACATCTACTTTATTTATAACAAATAGATTATTCTTATATAATTCATAGTCTCCTATAAGTTTGAAAATTAAATCTTTAATTAGTAATTTTGATTAATTAATAGTACCACTACTTGCCACAATATCTTAAAAATCTCTGTTTCCTTAAATTATACCAAGATTTAAGATAGCAGCAACACTTTCATTTTCAACAGAATTACTAAATGAATTTTTAGAAATATCAGCAACATTAAAAGTTTAAATGACTACATTTACTTATTCATCTAAGACTATGAATTATTATCCTTTTATCCAAGCACTTAAAATATCTTGTAATAAATTATTACTATTCTTCAAATATGATGGTATCCATGGATCTTGATAACTCCTTTAATGGAGAAAGTCCACCATATACTTAACTTTTAGAATTTAATCCATTGAAATCACAAGATCTTTAAAGATCCAAATCTTTTTATGGTAGTGCAGAAATACAAATACCAAAATCTTTATTATTTTCAGGTAAAGCTTAAATAGTTTTTATAGATTTAAAAGAGTATATTATTGATATGCAAGTAAAAGCAATAGCAATATTCTTGAAATTATCTTAAAAAGTTTAAACGAAAAATACATTTCCAATTAAAAATAATTATGGAAGTTTAGATAACATTTAGTTTTGTAATTAATCTTAATAGAGAGAATATATAAATAGTAGGTTTAAATAGACTTAAAGTATTTCTGCTTAACAAAAATAACTTAGAGTTATTTGTATTGATATTCGAAAACCACTTAAAATTGTTAGGATTGTGCTATTCTTTTTTGTACTTTTCACATAAAACAAAACTCTAGTAGTTATTATCATTGTTATCAAATCAATTATCTTAATAATTAATGATTCATTCTTATTAAATGCTAATATAATTTTGAAATTGAGTTTACCTTAATGTTGTAATAGTATAATACAGATTTCATAATATATCAATAATATTAATGAGAATATTTCTTCGGTCATAAAATAAACTGCTCTAAAATATTTTTGATTTTATTGTTATATATATATATTTATATACTTAGAAGTATAAACTTTAAATAATCATATTCAGTTCACAGCAAATAAAAACTCGGTCATCAATTATTTACCTATTTTTCCAAGAAGATTTTCAAATAAGTTCATAAAATATTATTAATAATTTTTTTTGAGCTATGATATTGAATACTGTTTTCCAGCTTAAGATATTTTTATATGTGATAATATAAAATTCTGAATATCTACATCTGAAAAATCCATATCAATTATTGTACTCCCATCTAAATTGATACTATAACCTAATTATCCACCCTTTTCTTCTGCCAATCTTACATCTTAAGCATACTCTGTTATCTTTTTAATCTTTTCTTTTATTTATTTACTTAATGGAATCCATCTATAGGTTTAAGGACATAATAATTCACATGGTGTATAATCAGCCTTGTATGCCATCTTTTTACTATCCATAATATAAAATCCCATATAATAATATTTCAATTAAGGATTCTCTTTCTAATGTTATTTAATGTACTCTATTTCTTATAAAACACCATAAACACCTAAAGAATACTTTTTATAAGCAGGATCATAGAAAAAGTAAACTGAAGATAATGATTATGGTAATAAGTCTACTACACCAACTGCTATAAGTTAATTATCTAAATAATATTTCATATGCCAACATCCTAATTCTTTACTATCCAAGGCATCCACACATACAAAATTTAAATAACTTTATTTACTAACTCTTTCTTTATCATGAATAGCTTTTTAATATCTTTTATAGACTTCAAAACTATCTTCTTAAAATTATGCCTTAACCCATTTAATTTCAATTTAATGATTTTTCTTTTCCTTAACTTAATTTTAAGTATTTTAAACATCTGCCTTTTACAAATAGTACAACACTGTTGATTTAAATATTTTTTCTTTTATTGTTTAAGGTGTTTTAATTAAAATTTAATTATCCCATTAAGACACTTTAAATATAAAGTCTATGTTTGATAAATATTTAGAAATTAATTAAATATATTCTTTATTTTCTTCCAAAGTTTAGAATTGTGGATATAAAGATTTAAATTTGGTTTGTAATTTTGAATAAAAATATGGAATAAAATTACATCCAAATCCCCACTCATTTTCTACTTTATTTATTTAACCTCTAAATACAGTTATTTCATATATTGAAAATTCTTATAAACTTGATCTAAAAAAATTGAGAAGGATATTCTAGTGTTCATCATTAGTAATTAAAAATACTTAAGATAATTCTTGAATTGTAATTTATGATAAATTATTTATAATAATTTATTTGAATTATTTGATATGTTCTTCTTCTTTGTATTAAATGCTTTTAAATGTAAAATGTAATCCAACCTTTGAAAGAATGACTAAATCTTAAGTATCAATATCAGTCTATATTTGAGATAAGATGGATTGAGTAAATTAATCTTCTTTTATTTCTGATTTAAGTTAAACTTTTTGATGAAGATCATTAAGATCATTTTGAATAGGTTAAATTCTTTTTATTTTCTTAAGGACCTTCTCATGAGTTACTCTGTGTTTAAAATTTTATGTATCAACTCTTAATGCATAGGCTTGACAACAACTCTGGGCTAGAGCTGGCCTATAATAATAAACTCCACATCTTCTCCAACCTCTATCCATTAATTATTAATATTCATCCAACTTCATTTTGTAACAATAGAAACCTGATGTAACCCATAGCTTATTAGATTTTGCACCATTACAATAACCGCAATTTGTTTCATTCTTAATGGAAACAGAATTTAACTAGATTATACTACTCATTTTGAGTGTTTACAATTATATATTTTAAATGGAAATTGGAAGGACAAGTTTTGAATTCATTAATAACATCTCATTTTAATATGGTCAATATTGACTATTACTATATTTTATTTCGCATTAAATATATTATCTAATAATTTATGAAAAAAACATTTACTTTTGCTGATTTAAGTACATCCATTTAATCAGGAATAAGTAATCGTTAAATTTACCAAACAACTTCTTCCACTTAAATACGATCTGCTAGTCTTCGAAAAGCTATTTCCAGACTTAAATAGGAAAATAGAGTTTCTATTATGGGAATCAGTTCAATAACTAATACAAATGTATTAAATTGATTCTATGTTTTAGGTTCCTAAAAACTAATCATACTTTCAAATCAAATTAGAATAAAAGCATAATAGAATATCTAATCCTTCATAAGAGCCCCATACTAATATAAATTAATTTGATCATAAAAAAGAAACCATAAGAAAAATCAATTAACTATAATAATATTGTAAAAGTTAAACAGCACTTGAAATTGCTGCTTAGAAATATTCAATTAAAAAGTCATTTAAAGGATCTTCTGATTTATCAACTGTTCCTACTCTAATCGATAAATTAAATAGAGATATTATAAATAAGAAATCTAGTGTAATAAAGGATGTTATGAAGGAAGAACTAAAAAAGAAAATTCCTAAAAAATAGAAAGAAATTAATTATGAACTGGATTCAATGTTCAAAAATTATAAATCATTCTCTTAATTATGTCTAAATGAAAATAGTACAATTCAAAAAGAGAAGATCTATAATGGATATTTGAAAGTATATAATTCTGGAAAGAATGATACAATATTCTTAGATAAGATTGAGGAAAGGAAGAAAAGTCTAAGTGATGAATCTGAAGAGTATAGAGCATTTCTTGGAGAAATTGATGAAGCAACTATTCAAAGAGATGTATATAATAATAATATTCGTAATCCTTTTTTGGATGATAAAATAACTGTTATTTAAATGAAAAAGGATGGATATCTGAAAAGAAGAATCACATAATCTTGATTATATTGATTAGAATGATTATATTTATTATATTAATTATTCTATTATTATTATAATTACTAAATGAATTATTAATATATCAATCGATTCTCTAATTTTTTATAATTATATAAGTATTTTATGATTAATAAATTATTCTAAATTCTTTAACTACTCTTAAAAATTGTAACAAAATTATCATAATCTAAATTCAAATTTAATGGTTCTTTTGCATCTACAGTACCTGTAATACCCATAGAAATTAGATTATTTAAAAACTGTAGTTGACTTATATTAAGGAATTATATGTAATTAAAAAAACTTAATATATAAAATATATCTAAGAATATGTTGTCATATTTATTGAAGTTAAAATAAATTTTATTTCTTGTTTTAAGAACAATCCTGATATTAATTGGTGGTTTCATCTTAATCAAATTAGTTTAATTTTAAAGAAGACACAGTTTATGATTATTATTATTATTATTATTACATTTCCTTCATATTTAATTATTACTAAATATCCNAAATAGAGTTTCTATTATGGGAATCAGTTCAATAACTAATACAAATGTATTAAATTGATTCTATGTTTTAGGTTCCTAAAAACTAATCATACTTTCAAATCAAATTAGAATAAAAGCATAATAGAATATCTAATCCTTCATAAGAGCCCCATACTAATATAAATTAATTTGATCATAAAAAAGAAACCATAAGAAAAATCAATTAACTATAATAATATTGTAAAAGTTAAACAGCACTTGAAATTGCTGCTTAGAAATATTCAATTAAAAAGTCATTTAAAGGATCTTCTGATTTATCAACTGTTCCTACTCTAATCGATAAATTAAATAGAGATATTATAAATAAGAAATCTAGTGTAATAAAGGATGTTATGAAGGAAGAACTAAAAAAGAAAATTCCTAAAAAATAGAAAGAAATTAATTATGAACTGGATTCAATGTTCAAAAATTATAAATCATTCTCTTAATTATGTCTAAATGAAAATAGTACAATTCAAAAAGAGAAGATCTATAATGGATATTTGAAAGTATATAATTCTGGAAAGAATGATACAATATTCTTAGATAAGATTGAGGAAAGGAAGAAAAGTCTAAGTGATGAATCTGAAGAGTATAGAGCATTTCTTGGAGAAATTGATGAAGCAACTATTCAAAGAGATGTATATAATAATAATATTCGTAATCCTTTTTTGGATGATAAAATAACTGTTATTTAAATGAAAAAGGATGGATATCTGAAAAGAAGAATCACATAATCTTGATTATATTGATTAGAATGATTATATTTATTATATTAATTATTCTATTATTATTATAATTACTAAATGAATTATTAATATATCAATCGATTCTCTAATTTTTTATAATTATATAAGTATTTTATGATTAATAAATTATTCTAAATTCTTTAACTACTCTTAAAAATTGTAACAAAATTATCATAATCTAAATTCAAATTTAATGGTTCTTTTGCATCTACAGTACCTGTAATACCCATAGAAATTAGATTATTTAAAAACTGTAGTTGACTTATATTAAGGAATTATATGTAATTAAAAAAACTTAATATATAAAATATATCTAAGAATATGTTGTCATATTTATTGAAGTTAAAATAAATTTTATTTCTTGTTTTAAGAACAATCCTGATATTAATTGGTGGTTTCATCTTAATCAAATTAGTTTAATTTTAAAGAAGACACAGTTTATGATTATTATTATTATTATTATTACATTTCCTTCATATTTAATTATTACTAAATATCCATAATCACTATACCTATCTTTTAAATTAATTCTAAACAATCACTTATTTTTAATAATTTTATAATTCTTATTCGTCATTTTAACATCCAAATTAATTGATCCTTATTTATTGTTCCTTAATTTTTTGTTGTAATTATTGTTTTTATGGTTTAATCACATAATGGCCATTATTTTTATTTATTTAATCAGATTCCACTTTATAATTCCTCTTTATATCTTTAATAATTGATATTATAATTACTTGATCCTGTCCAATTATCCTATAATTTAGATGCAAATTCAATAAATCTTTTATATTCTCCAGAATCTTATAATGGATATATTTTAATAAAATCTCCTAGATTGTTATTTTCATACTCATCCCTAAGTTTTTAATATTTTTAAATTTAAGCTTATTTTTCTTCTTATGTAATTTTTTATTTTTTTCCTGTTAACACTCTCTATTATAATTACTCTCTTCTAGATTAAATAATTTAATTTTTTGCTTTTGTATTGACATTCATCAATATTAATGTGTCCCTAATAAGGTTTTTTTTAATAATTGAATCCAAAGGTGTATCAGTTGTAAAACTTGGAGTATGATTTACTTCCAATAAATAAGGTTATAGCTTATGATTTAGAAAAATATCAAAACCTAATATTTCAAAACACATATTATTAGCATAATTATCTGGTTGACATGATTTGTAATGATGATTTAAGATAGGTTGAACTGAACAAAATGTTTTAATAAATAATTTGTACATATCTTACCATAACTTTTCTATATTATATCCTTCTTCTTATAATTTACCAAAAACTGATTTAATTGATCTTTTATGTCCAACATCCATTTTAGATGCATCATTATTAAATATAAAATTAGGATTTTCTTTATTTATAGCATAATTAGTCAAGTGCATACAAACATCATCAATATTATTAGAGGAAGGTGGTACATATGGTTAAGTAGCAAATCTCACTAAACCATCTTTATAAACATATATTCTCAAAGGTTCTGTACCTGCTAATAGTACATATACTCTTAAATCAAACTTTAATCCATCTATTAAAAATGGATTATCTAAATATCGCTATGCTACATAATGATCAGTTGAATCAATATCATTAATGTTTCTAGTTAGAAAAATTCCTCTTCCTTAACTACTAGCCTCTGGTTTAATAATAAATGTCTTAATTTTGCCTTTTGTAAACTAATTTCTAAATTCCCCATAATCAGTTGGTAGTAACCAAGTTAAAGGAAAGAATTTATACTCATAAGGAAATTCTTTCTTCATTTTCATAAGATTTCTTCCTAAATGATTTTTACGAGAAAGTGAGAACATACCTGGAAAATGGTTGATTTTTTGATGAGCTATTAAGATATATATTTATAATATAAACGTTGCATTTTTCCCAATGTTTCTGATTAAACAGAAGCATCAGTCCAAAAAATATCCCATAAATTTCCATCAATTTCATATTATAATTTCCATTTAAATATTTTCTTACCAACAAATTTTACAACATCATATTTAGTATCTCTCTATAAAAATTTTAAATTACCTTAAACATTCATTATCAAGGTTGGTTTTTTAATAGAGTTATCATCATTATCGTCATCACTATTTTCTTTAAAATATCCTTAAAAGATAGGCTCATTTTCTTTCTATTTTATTGATGAAATCATTTATAATAATAAAACAATTAATATAATCATTTAAGACGATTGATTGCTTCTGAAATTGTCTCATCTGTCTTACAAAATGCCCATCTTACTAAATTTTAACCTGTCTCTTTATTTTCGTAGTAAGGAGAACAAGGAATACAAACAACTCCAAATTCATTAATCATATAATGTGCAAATGCAAAATCTCTAGTAACTTTCACATCATTCTAAATAAAATATTTGTTAGGTATATCAATATTTGATATATCAGTTACAACAAAATATCCACCTTAAGGAACCCAATAATTAAAGTTTAATCTGCTATCTATCAATCCTTTTAATAACTTTGTAGCTTATTATTAATATAAATTTCGAAGAGAATAAAAATAAAGACCATCTGCTGTATAATCTAAACATCTTGCAGTTGCTGTTTAATTTACAGGATTTAAACAAAATATATGATAAGTTTATGCAGCCTTCATTCCTTTAATTATATCTTCATTTCCTATAGCAAATCCAACTCTTAATCCAGTTGCTGAAAACATCTTGCCAGCACTCATTACACAAACAGATTTCTCTTTTAATTTTGGATGAGTGATACACCTAGGATATATGAAAGGTTCATTATTCTAAAATGTTATATGATGATATGCAGCATCCTCACAAACAATTATTTTTGGGTATTTTTCTAAGATTTCTGCTAATTTATTATATTCCTCATTCTTAAATATTCAAAAATAAATTTAAATATATACTTTCCAATAGGATTCATCGGTGAATTTAAAATGATCAATTTCGTTTTTTAATTTATAACTTATTCTAAATGGGTGAAATCTATTTCCCATTCATCATCATTAGAATAAATGAATTACCCATTCGAATATCTTTTCAACATCATTTCTTTATTATTTAAAACTTTTGGTTTAATTGGTATACCAATATGTTTACCACCTGAGAATTCAATCAAAGGTCTATACAAATCTATTTTTTTATTCATATAATAATTACCAAAAGCTGGATCAAATACAATTACTTCATCATTTGGATTTAAAATACCTTACATTAAACAGCAAAGTACTGATTAGGCTCCTGAACTCACTACTATTTCTTTCTCTATATTTATTTATAATCCCATTCTTTTATAAAAGAAAGATGCTGCAGAATTAAGTAATTTAGGATGACCAGCAGTCATAGTATATTATAACTATTCAGTCAAGGCTTCCTCGGAGAGTGCTTCTCTCAAAAATTAAGGAGGGGCAAAGTTTGGAAATCCTTAACCTAAGTTAACACATCCTTTCTGATTAGCCAACATTGTAAATTTAGCATACATCTAAGGCTCAAGATAATTAAGCATTCTATTTGAAACATGTTTCATAAGATTGTTGTAATATTATTTATGATAAATATAAAATATAATATCATGAGTCCAAATTAATGGCTTTTGTTAATAATGGTTTATAATTTTCTATTTTATGTGAAACAATAATAACTGTTTTGTCTTGACAAATCTACATTAAAGCTTATATGATATCTGATTCAGATTGACTATCAATATTGGATGTTGCTTCATCTAAAATTAGAATTTTTGGATTCTTTAATATTGCCCTTGCTAATACAATTCTTTATTTCTATCCTCCAGATAATGAAGTTGTTCCATCTGATTTTAATTTAGTCTAATATTTATTAGGCATATTTTCTATAAAATCATGAGCTCTAGCTAATTTAGCTGCCCAAATAACTCTTTCCAAACTCTAATCATATCCATGATTACCATAGATGATGTTCTCATAAACTGTTGCATTAAATATGATTCCATCCTATTAAACATAAGATACATGTTATTAAATCCATTTAAAATCTTTCTTTGAAAGAGGTTCTCCATCAATTAAAATTTCACCTGATGATGGAGTTAATAATTTTGTCAATAAATTCAATGCAGTAGTTTTTCCAGATCCACTTGGTCCCTATAATAATACTATTTCACCTGAATTGATTTATAAATTGAATGTTAATGTAGAATTCTCATGATTTGGATAGGAATACTGAACATTCTTAAATTAAATACTTGGTGGTGGAATTGAAGAATGTTCATATAATTCTTACCATTCTTTAGTATGTTCAGCACTCTAAGGTGGATTAAGTAATTTAGCTTTTAAAATATCATCTTATCTAATATATTCTCTATAATTCTTAGTCAAATCTGATTGATTATACAATTCAGATTCATGAAGATTTGGATGGACATCAAGTATAGTTTTATAAATAGCAGCAGTTTTAACCAATTCATTATAGATACCTATCATTGCTCTTGTTCCTGAGGCCATATATACTGCTTAAATAAAGTATTTTGCTAACTCTGGATCTAAATGTCCAGTGGCAACTAAATAACAACCTTAGAATAAAATTAATATTAAAGCATATAAGCCTCCACCTTCCATCAATCCCATATTTAAAGCTTGCATTTTAGAAAATTAAGTTGCTTATTCATACCATCTAAATAACTATGCTGAATATCTTTGATTTTCTTTCTATTCCATATCAGATAATTTGATTAATCTATGTGCTTATAACATTTCTTGTGATACTTCACTTAAACATCCTAATTCCTGTGTTTCTTTTACTTTAAATTAAGACATATATTTTCCTAATAAAATAGCTGATCCTCCCATAACAGCTGCAGCAGCACTTGCAGATGCCAATAATGGAAATGCATAATATGATAAATATGCTGCTCCTCCTATTGTTGTAATAAAGCCTCTAATCATCACAAAAATGTCTTATGATAATCCAGTAGATACTAAACTAACATCATTTGATAATTTATGAACTAATTATTATGAATGCAACTACTAAGTTTCTCTTGTACTCATTAATTTCTAAAACATAGCATATCTCATCCTCATTCCTACTCTATTACTGATTTATGTATTTAGGAATCTACGAGCACCTCCTAAAAACATTCCAAGTAAGCATACACCTCCCCATTTTACATGATAATATAAATTAGTCTATTAACTCTTTTCTTTGTTTTCTTGATCATATTTTAATTCTTGCAATTTTGCTATATCAGTGGTCACTTAAGGTAAATAGAGAAGTAAAGCACTATTCAAACCAACTACGGTCATTCCTATTATACAAAATCTCTTTTCAGGAACCATTAATTTAAGAAGATTCATGATATCTTTTCCAAAGAATTTTTTAGACTTTTTGCCTTCTTGCATCACAAATAAATTTTATTATAATATATTTATCATATTCAAGTTTCTAAGACTATATTAACTTTTTAAATCTTTTTCAATATAAATATGATGACATTATTAAATGACGATGATCTGATCTTTATATTTATGACATTATCACATGATTGTCTTCACTATTCAAATTAATTGTTTATCGAAGACTTCTTGAATTATTTAATCTATGAATCTTTAAATGTTATTTAATCAAAAAAAATCGTTTCATTACATTTTTTCGAGTATCAGCCTTTGAAATTAGACACTTTCTTATAAAAGGGAAACAATAAACAATTTTTGGTAATTTTAATAAAATACCCTTTCTTAATTTATCAAAATATTGATCATTCTTTTTAATGAAAGTTTACATTATATGATAGAAGATATAAATCATCAAAAATAACAATATTATTATCATTATTAATTCTGCTATAAATTATACTTCTATTAAACCTTCAACTTTAGTTTCATAAGATAAACTACTGAAACATACAAATATTGAACATAAAAACAAACTAAGTTATTCTATTTTATTAATATTTGATTTCTCATAAGGTTTTTTAAGAGATATTGCAACAAAATATATAAATAAGATTAAAATGACCATCAAATTTTTGAATATTATTCTTAAATCATTCACATGTGTATGTATCACTATTATTATTTATCTCATTTGTAAATTAACTAATTCCCAATAATAAAATTATTCTTTGTAATCATTACATAGAAATCCATATATTCCAATTGTTGGATCAATTTTATGTATTTATTTATGTTTTTTCCTTATCAAAATAAAAGTACTAAGTGGAATAGTAAAAAATAGTGTTAACATTATTGGTAATATAAAGTAAAATATCCAAAAATAATGTTATTATGTTTCAAATAAATATGCCATATTAGTATCAATCCATTCTTTATTTACAACTCTTCTAGATGAGGTCAATAATGATAACCTAAATTATCATAATATTTATACTCTTCCATAATATTTGGCATTGAATAAAACAATAAGAAAAGACATGATGTTAAAGTATATCTGAAACTTTTATTTTTATCAATAAATAATTTTGAGCACAATTAATATAAAAATCCCAATAATAATATTTATCCAATTGGTATTAAAATTGCCCAAATAACTTTCAAATAAATTATAGATATCTAAAACTAATCAGCAACAAAATTGATTAAATATAACAAAGATTTTGAAGATTTACCAATAGGCCAAATTATTTAAGAAAAGTTAGAATCAAAACTTATACGAGGAAGTAAAGGATATAATATTTGCATTTAATGTATAAGTAATCTTATTAAAGTTGAGAATTGATCTGAAATTATTAAATTAAAATATTACCTATTTAACATCTAAATAACAATTTAAAGTGTTTTGTCTTTAATTTTAGACTTCTATAAAGTAGATTCATTTCGTATTTATTTCCTGAAATTGTATATGTAACTCCAAAAGTACTAATTATTAATATTATTATATACAATAGCATTAGGATCAATGTAATTATTATTATTCTAGGTTTCATTTCCCTTATTTCACATACTCCTTGAAGGGATTTTAAAAATGAAGATTCTCCCCTAATATTATAAAGATCACATTCTTTGCATATTGCTCCAATTGAACCTGTTTTACAGGAATCATAATTCACTTTCCAACCTCCAATACACTATTCATTATTTTCACATTGCTCTATATAATGTGAATAATAAGAATATCTCCAAAAACCTGGCAATAATTCTATTGATTAAGATGTTATTGCTTTGATTTTCTTAGGATCTAATCTTTAACATTCAATTGAATCCTTTTCAACTGAATAATATCCTTTATCAAAATCACATTTTAAACATTATTAATTAGTATAATATTCTCCAATTTCGCATTTTAATGTTGTAACATTAAAAATAAATATATGATCCTCACTCATACCTTCACAATAAGATTTTACTAATAAATATATTTATTAAGTAGAATAAGGATCTAAATTAAACAACATATTATCTAAACTATAAGATTATGTTTCAGTATTAAAAGATGAGATAGTCACATTCTCTTATTGAGAACTTATTAAAATCTCCTATAATTAATAACCTTTCTCTTAATCAACATATAATTATTCAAAATAGCATTTTCTATCTTTATTATTTATTAATTTTTCTCCAAGTTATGTATATATTTCAATACTTAAAGAGATATTATTTTTCACATATTACATTATTGACTTATCAAATATTTAAAAATCTTTAAGCATTTATCCACTTGCAACTTTAATATTTGTATCATTAATTCTTTGTTTCTTATAATTTACTAAATACTCTGGACTATCAACCACTAAAAATCCCATCTCTTATCTTTTTGTTTTTAAAACAACTCCATACATTGACAATTTCAAAAGATCTGCTTCTTCCTTTATATTGTTTAGACCATCTGCTGCTTTATTTTCATACAGCATTAATTAATTTATTGTATTTTTTTCCAATTTATACTATTCAGTAAATATTGCTCCACCAATTTTGGCACTATTATTTATAATTATAACATCAATTGCAATAATTGAAGAATTTAATAAATATATTGCACCAGCAATATTTTAAATAAAATTGTTTTTCAAGATAATTTAATTTAACTTAATTGAACTGTTTTAAAATTATAATATCCCATTTGATTATGCTATATTATTTAGAAACTTAGATTTATAAAATTTAATTGATTTACTTTTGACTATAAAACAACTATTGTTTCCACAATCATTATTCACAAAATTTATATTAGATAATAAGATATTTTAATGATCTGAATCACTTAAGAATATTGTCAATCCATTCTAACAAAATGGACATTTGATATTTGTAAGTTTAAGATTCCTAAACCTTAAATACTAAGACTCTTATGTTTGATTTAATTTGAAAAAATAGCGTAATTGATTTTAAGATTCAATGTTTAAAAGTATAAAATCTTCAATAAAAATGTTTTTCATTAAACTAGTTTCAACACTAATTATATGAGAAAGTTCAAAAATTATCATAATTGAAGTTAAAAAAAATTACTTTAATCTTAAATCTCCATTTTTTAGTTTACAAATTGGTTAATTTAAATAGCCAGCATAATGAAAATGAAATATTATCACAGGACTAAAATTTATAATAGAAGTACCTAAAACTTGATGTAATTATACCATCTAAATTACTTGAATTTTGTGAATTAGTATATTTAGATAACTTATTTAAAACTTATTCATCAGTATTATTAAAAGTAATATAATAAAGAAAGATCTTATTATTGTTACTATTAGAAGAAAAATCAAATTTGCCAAGAGCATTTTCTTAAGAATATAAGTTTATAAATGAGAGATTTTTCATAAAGATATCATTACTTAAAGTAGATGATATAAGATGTAGAAAAGCACATTTCTATTAAGTAAATATATTCTTTGCTTTAACATCACTAATTTCTAATTATATTGTTGATTATTAAGCATCAATAGTCAATACACCTCCTAATTAAGTTAAATATTCTTTTTAAGATGCAATAATTGTATTATCAAAAATACAATTTTGTATTATAACTTTGCCCTCTTATTTTAATTAAATATAAATGAATCCATAAACAATACTATTCACATCAAAAAGTTCAGAATTAATAAAATTTATAAATTCTGCTTAAAAAATAGCAAAGCCACATAATGACTTGATTAAATCTGAAAATTCAACATTAATATTTTAAACATACAAATTTTAAGCAAAAATTGAATTAGCCTCTAATAGTATAATAGATTCTGAAGAATTGTATACAATAAAATCTTAAAAGATTAAATTATTTAAAATTATTTATGATTTAGGTGATTTTATTTTTATAAAAGAAGATTAAAATAGGTCTTAATTTGGTTATTAATACCAAAATTAATTTGATTTAAATATACAATTTCTTAATTCAATAATAGACTCTGAATAAATTTAAATGTGAATAACTGAGTTAATAGACTTTAATAAATTTAAACTCTAATAATTTTGAATTACTAAATTTGTGATATTTACATATTTTTTTCCAGATTCATCAGATCTAATTTAAATCAATGGATCAACAATTTAAATCATCCCTAAAATTTGAATTGATTCGAATTCCAATCTATCAAAATTAGATATATAAATTAATTCATTCTAATAAATTTTAGTTGAACTAATTGTTGATTTAAAGCTTTCATTTATCTATTTATTTTTTTCAACTGTTAAATCATCTAAGATAATATTCATACAGTCCTCTAAACTTAAGAACTGAAATATTAAATCATTTTATATAACAAGATGATGTGCATTTAGATTTCCATTCTAAATATAAAATATAAAGTTATCACTTATTTTTCCATGAGAATATATCTAATCTATTTTTTTAAATTCAGAATATTTAATAATTACATCTATATTTATATTTTGCTACAAAGATATGATTTACAATATATTAGATCCATTTAATTGCAAACTTTAGCATTTTAATTAATTAACTAAGAAAGAAGTTGAGGGTGATTCAAATTAGTGATAAAAGAAAATACTCCTAATTGCTAAATTGTCTGCTATTTTTATAGCCTCTAAATTTATAGATGAGAAAGTAGATATGATTGTTGAATTAAGTAATTAAAGGTTGAATAATTTTACATTAGTAATCAAAATTACATCTTAAGTTTTTGGTATAAAGAATATTGTACTATTTTCTAATAAGCAATCCTCAATTAACAATTCTTCTATAACATATTATTAATTATGATTCTATAAAGATTAATTTATAAAAACACTATTTATAAAAGTGCAATTCTAGATCTTCACAGATTTTATGAGAATTTTATTAAATTCGTCAGATGTAAATTAAAAAAAGTAACTATCTTAGAAAGTACAATTTTTAAATTACAAATAATTCATTTCAATTGATGCATTCTTAAAAAAATTATTAATTCTTATGATTGTTGCATCAGATAAGTATAAATTCTCTACTAATAGCTCCCTTATTTTAACATTAGATGGAAAATTCATAGTTAAGTAATTTTTAGCAATTTCATCTCCTAATGTAAGATTCTAAATAATCACATCAACACCATAAAGAGAAGTTACAATAATATAAGAATTTTTATTCTTATAAATACTATTGAAAATGTGAAAATTAGTTATATTAAATAGTTCAACAAATCCTTATCCTGTCGTATGAACCTCAGCAATAATAGTAGCTGTATAATTTTTTAATGCATAGTAATTATTAAGAGCTTTTTGTTATTTTGGAATCATATTTTGAATAATATAATAATAATTTGATACACTTTTTTATAAAACAAAATTACCATTTTAAAAAGAGGTAGATATTTTCTAACTATAACTTATAAATTTCTACTTCTATTAAGTTAAATTATTGAATGGTTTAATTAATCCACTTCTTTAATCTATATAAGTTAAATTATTATCAAAGTTGATTAAACATTTATGAGTTTATTTAATACTTGTAGAATTAATTAAAAAATATGGATTATATTTCTAATATTTTATTAAATATTACATGAATTAAATCACTGTCTAGTGGCAGACAAAACTTACAAGGATAAGGACATTGATAGCATTAACCAGAAATTTAAGAATAAAAGTCAGTATTTTCATCATATTATGAAGAACACCTAATGCATTAGTATTCTCCATTGATATAATCACATTAATCGCAATTAGAACAAGAATCTATACATTTGTTAGAATTTATATCTAAAACCAGATTATTTGAGCATTAAGTAATTAAGACTTAGTCATAATTCTTAAATAATTAACTTAAATCATAAAAATCTTAAGTTAATTATTATAAATATCCAATAGTTTCTAATTTATACTTTTACAACATTTTATTATTTAATTCACAACTTTAAACATTTTCAAATTTCTGACTACATGCCATACATAAACCATTTAAATTATTATTAAAATATCCATCTTTACATTATAAACATACCATCAGATCAAATAAGTTATTAATACATTATTCACAATTAGGGATTTTATCTTAGCAATTAGTTATTTATTGAAATTTATTTTTTAATAATTCAAATTTTGTAGCATAACAAATAATCTCTCCATCTTTATTTATATAATATTAACAATTATTATCAATATTATTCTTTTAGCATAAATTATATTTAAATGAAAATGAATAACCTTGTTAACATAAAGCACATCCAACTAAATAATCATCGTTTACTTAACTTTATTCATTAATAAATATTGAATTTTATTTAAGATTATATTTATTATATTAAAAGCAATATTTGCAATGTGAAATTGAACATTACTAACATTATCCCATAAAATTTATAAAATATTAAGTTAAACTAGAACATTATAAACATTATTCATCCTTACATTATAAACAGTTATTTTGACAGGTTATACTATTAATTTTGAGTGGTTTTATAGAAGAACATTCACCATAAGCAAATCTATATCCATCTTAGCATTTTATATAAGTTTATTAATTCAAATGTTGATATTTTGATAAATAACAATCTTAATCTTCAAGTTAATTACATAAAATGCAACCATGACATGGTATCAATTATTCATTTTCAAATATAAATTAAATATTTGTTATTTTAGCATCATTTTATATTTTCAGAAAATTATTAGAAGATTAATTTTCATATTGATAATATGTTCCCTTGCAATTAGCACTTTTTAATACCCAATCAATCGGTCTCATTAAACATTCTACACATATGACCTAATTGTGTTAACTTGCTGACGGACTAGTTTAATTATAACAATACCATTAAAAACACATTTAATCAAAACTAAATTCCCCAAATTTACAGTAATCTAAATCTTAATCTTCTTACTCATCTACTAAATCAACAATCACTTCATTTTATGTAACAAATTAGCAACTAAAATCTGATGTTTCCGAATACCAAACCTTGCATCTACAAGTTTGATCAACTCCATTATAAATTCTATTTGTTGATTCTGGACAACTTAAACATTCATTTTATGATGGACCAAAACATGTTGAACATGAATAATGACATTAAATATTTTCATTATTACAATCATAATATGATATAAGTCCAAATGATCTTCCCAGAGAACTTAATTCTTCACTTGAACCACCAAAATATAGTCGATAATATATATTTGAAAATTAATAGACATTTTAATAAGTTTTTTCTATTTATTCATCCTACTTGTAATTAATTAAATAAAAATTTAAATTATATGGGTCGTAAGAAATTTGAATATAATGCCATGTACTTAATAGAAAATGATTTTAAATAAAAATAACATCTTCTTTTAAAAATGGATCATTATTATCTGTAAATTAAACTATTATTGGCAATCCATAAGAATAATATTAGATAATCATCATCCATTATTTTTATTCTGAGTAGTACACATAATATAAAATAAAAGAATTAGATCCTGTTGCTTAAAAATCTGTTGTAAATCTATTTGCTACTATTCTTAAAATATATATTTTATGATCAATTTCTGAATCATATTCTTTTGAAATCTTAGCCCAAAATGTTACTTTATAATAATGCAAATTCTAATTTTCAATCATATAGATTTGATGTTAATTAAACTCTCTCATCTCTAATTAACCTAATAGTAAAGTTGTAGTTTCTGAACATTAAGTCTCAGTATATATATCCCATGCATCATCCATATCTCTTTAATAAACACTAATTGCTGCCTGTAATCGACCTGGGAATGTTTTTAAATATAACATAGTCTAAGTAATTGGATGTTCAACCTATAATTAATAATATTACAAAGTACATTAAAAGAACCTCCAATAACAAAGTTGAAACTTGTATACTCAAATTTTTAAAAGGAATATTAATTTAAAGCTTTTTCATAGTTTCCCCATCTCATATCGAAATTTAATAATTTTTACTCGATATCATAATTTACATATTGTTAAAACCACCTTCCTTCATAATCTTAAATATTAAATATAAATTCATTTGATAACCATTAGTTTTCTTATTTATAATAAACATGGTGAATTATTTTTTATTTTGAATTTGATAATTCCACATAATGAAGATAGAATAAACTTCCTTCCAAATGTATTCCACTCGACAAAAAGTAGTAAACATCAGTATTGATTGTTTCATACATATAGTATTTTGCTCCTAAAGGACATAATTTTGATACAACTCCTTGACTAAATAATGGATTACTCCAATCCGTATCAACTGAGTATCTATTCTAATCATTAATATAGGTAAAGCTAGAGATGCATATATAAAATAAATGGAATATTAAAAACATAATTTAAAAAAATCAATTTTCTGAATATTAAATAAAAATATTTATATTTATAAGTCATTAAAGGAATTTTTATATTTTAATAATCATATCTTATTTTATCAGAATTGATCATATTAATTAGATTTATAAATTGATGATATTTAAATATTTAAATATACATATATCGAAAATCATGAATCAATAGTAGATACCATAACAAATATTTGGAAATTCATTTAATTAGTAATAAATTCAATAAGCTCCTTTTAACCATCCTATTTATTATTAATAACAATAGAATATAACAAATTTAGGAATAGCTTAATAAGCTACTGTAAATAATTTACCAAATCCTATCGTGCCTCATTGTAATAACAATGTATTTGGTTAGCCAACTAACATAATCTATCAAACGTAATCACCATTTTAACAAATTCCTCTAAATTAGAATTCTTTATTTTCGTCATTAAATAAAAATACTAATTCAGCTTTAATAGATTATGGAGATGATGAAATGATAGAGGTTAAAAAAGAAGATGCAAAATAAACTGCTAATAAGTATGATTTAAATGAAAAACTATCTTTTGAAGTCAAGACCTTATATAAAATGGGGAAATTACTCAATAATAGAACATAATACTTACCTGGAATTGTAAGTATAAAAGCAAAAGATTAAACTATTACTCAAAATCATGAAAATCAAAGAGTTGGAATAGATTTGGTATTTATTTTTAATAAATGTTTAGATTTGTTTGATTGATATTAGTGGAAGTATGATTGGAGTTAAAATTCAAATGGTTAAATAATCTTTGATTGTTTTACTTTAATTTCTTGGAGATAACGATAGACTACAATTAATAACATTCGATAATGATGCCCATAGATTAACACCATTAAAGAGAGTAACAAAACAGAATAAAATTTATTTTACTTAAATTATTCAATAAATTCAGGCAAATGGAGGGAATCAAATCTCAGAAGCTACTAAAATGGCATTTTGCTAATTAAGACATAGAAAATATATAAATAATGTGACATCTATTTTCTTACTTTCTGATGGTGTTGATTATACTTTTCCAGCAATTAAGGAACAAATAAAGACAGTCAATGAAGTATTTACTTTACATACATTTGGTTTTGGATAAGATCATGATGCTCCTATGATGACTTAAATTTGTAATTTAAAAAGTGGAAGTTTCTATTTTGTATAGGATGTAACATTATTGGATGAATTCTTTGCAGATGCTTTGGGAGGACTTATTTCAGTTGTTGGTGAATAATTAGAAATAACTATTACTTCTTAAGCACCTCCTCCCTATTAAAACATTTAAATATCTAAAACTTATGGTAATATGTGGTAAAAGAAAGGAAATCAATATTATATTACTCAACCTTAATTTGCTTCAGGTTCCAGAAAAGATTATGTTTTTGAAATAGCTCTTCCTAAGTTTGAGACAAAAATTGAGGATAATTAAAGAAATGTCAAAGTTATAGATGCAGAATTAAAAATCAAAGATCCAGTTAATGGAACAGTTATTACCAAATAAACCAGTCTCACATTAACATTTTTTAATTAAGATGAATAAATTAATTAAAATGAAGCTGATCTTGATGTTTATGCATAGTATTTCAGAGTCAAAGGAACAGAAGTGATAGATGAAGCAAGAAAAGCTTGTGAATAAAATAAGAATGAGGATGCTGAAAAATTAATTGATAATATGTTGATACAAATTTAAAAAATACCAAATGTTGCTGCTTAATGTACTGGAATTATTTAAGATTTGTAATAAGCAAAATAAGCATCTTCAAGAACATCATATAGTTTATTTGGACAGAAACAAATGTGTCAAATGGTCAGTAATAATTATCAATAGGGAGGAGTCAATTCTTTATTTTCTGCTTAAGGAATGCAATTATAATAAGTTTAACCAGCTGCATACTAGAATGTTTAATAATAATAGATGATGTTTTAAGTGCAATTTTCAAAATCTAATTAAAAAAACCATTGATTGATTTATTATAATTTAATTTTAATATTATTGATTATTTATTTCTTGCTCAAAATTCTATTTACTTATATTAACAAAAATAATATAAAATTGATAAAAGATATTTTAATATTTATTCATGTTTTATTAACTAATTAACAAATTGTTTTTATTTATAATTATTGCTATTATAGAAATGAGTTGATCAATATATTATTACATTAAGAGGTTCAGTTTGAAAGACATCATTATTGATACAAACTCTTGGCCAATGTGATTCAAAAGTAAATTTTTGACTTAAGAGTCACAAAATTTCTGTGTTACTTTGATATTACATCAAATTTTCTTAATTAGGGCAAAATGGTTGAAAAAACGTCAATCAAGATCTAATCTGAATTTTTATAATGGTAAGATCTAAAATATGTTCACCAATCACTAGCATGGGCCCGACAGTAAGTTGAGGTATAGAAAATATTTATTTAGAAAATCCTAATACATTTTTATTAAATAGATGATAAAGTTAATCCATAAAATAAAGTTGATAAAGATTTCGTTAACTTAATTAATTCTCAAAATATAAGGACTAGATAAAATAGGATAACCTATTAACTAATAAAAAAACTAATTTTTATTAATCAAAACTTAAGATATGGTTTGAAATGCACATCTATAATTGTTTTACCTTAGTTGCAGACTGATTTATGAATAATTTCAGAAAATTCGTTATAATCTCTTTAGATAATAGATACTCTTACTTTTCAATAGACTACCTAAAAATATTAAGTGCATTAGTTTAGTGGATAGATTTTAGATTTTAAAGCCTTCATGAATAAAGAATTTTAAAATGTAATGGGGTTTATAACAGGATTTGGAAAATGGCTTCAGATTCTGAAGCTGATAAAGATATTTCAAGATTGAGTGATCATAGCAATGAAATGGTGTTATAAATTAATTTGCAATCTAAAAATTATATTGCTAATTTAGACCTCTTATATTTTTATATGCAAAAAGAGTTAAATTTATCTTCTAGAAACTTACTGATTCAACATCTAAATAGATTAATCATAGTTGAGATAAAAAAAGATATATTTAAATTAAAATTTATAACGACTATTTATTGATTTACTTATGGCTGAGCAGTAATCATTTGAGAATATCATTGATCAATATAAATAAAAGAAATGCTATTAGTAGCTAAATAACTGCAAATCAAATTAAAAGAAATACTTTCTATTTTTAGAAGGAGTTTTACCAAGCATGGCAGAGGTTTTATTATTAAATTTAAAATCTAAAATCGGCTATTTTATTCCTTAATCTAAAGGAGATCTAATTTTTTCTAGATTTTCCTCTTTATATTTTTAATGCGCTATTTTCTTTAGTGTTTTAATTTCGATGATTAATTGTGTTCAACTATTGATTATTTCTATAGCTTGCGTTCTTTCAATAACATTTGAGAAATTTTCATATTTTTAAGTTGATACTTTTCCCAATAGAAGTCAATGTTTGGAAAAAATTAATTGCAATTTTGATGTCTGAATTTTGTCAGTTAATATTCACAAACATTAAATACTTTATGTTGTCATTTTTACTCTCATCATTTTAATAATTATTACGACTGATAATTTACTTTTTCTCCATACTTTGAGGCATGTACTGTTATTAGTGCTTTTTGGAACTTTGAAATTAATGCAAAATACCAATATATTTGAAAATCCTATACCATTTTTTCAAAAAGCTCAACTTTGATATCTAGTTTTATTCAGTGTAAAATGAAAAAAAATTCATTTTAAGTTGTATACTTCAATTATTGATTAATCCAAATTGTATCTTCAAGAGAAAATAAGAAATCCCTCCTTATTTTGTTAGCTAATTCGAATCCTTAATTGATAACCTTTAATTTTCTTTCTTATTAACCAGAACAAGCATTGTAGGAATAAAAAATTTAGTTAATGGAAGAAAGAAAATGGTTTTACATTCAGAATAATTTAGAAGTCCTGGATTTTTTAAACCATAACGAGAAATTTAAATAATATTCTATTGATATATTAACTGATATCAAAGAAATTAGCAACTATGTATATAGATAAAACGGCTCTCTGCCACTAAACAAAAAACCAAACTATTGGTAAAAGAAAGGATAACTAACATTGAGAAGGTTGTCAATCTAAATAGTAATTAGCATTCTTTTGGAGGGATATGTTAAATGGATTTTCATTATTCTAAATTTGTTAAGGAAATTTAAATCACTATGTCTTTGATAAATTTACTTTAAATTAATAAAACAAGCATCTTCATTTTATAATAACTAAAAGTTTATTATAATTCTTGATGATTGTTCTATTCATTCAAGTAAGTTAATGAAATAACAATATTATGTAAATTTTGATCAATTATTTTTAGCTCTATATTCTCTTAAATTAAACTGTATTGGAAAGAAGATTTTTTTATGTAGATCAAATAATTAAAATTTTCTGAATTAAAATTGTATATAATTTTGAATTCAACTATACATGAGAACTATTGAAGNTTTCTATTTTTAGAAGGAGTTTTACCAAGCATGGCAGAGGTTTTATTATTAAATTTAAAATCTAAAATCGGCTATTTTATTCCTTAATCTAAAGGAGATCTAATTTTTTCTAGATTTTCCTCTTTATATTTTTAATGCGCTATTTTCTTTAGTGTTTTAATTTCGATGATTAATTGTGTTCAACTATTGATTATTTCTATAGCTTGCGTTCTTTCAATAACATTTGAGAAATTTTCATATTTTTAAGTTGATACTTTTCCCAATAGAAGTCAATGTTTGGAAAAAATTAATTGCAATTTTGATGTCTGAATTTTGTCAGTTAATATTCACAAACATTAAATACTTTATGTTGTCATTTTTACTCTCATCATTTTAATAATTATTACGACTGATAATTTACTTTTTCTCCATACTTTGAGGCATGTACTGTTATTAGTGCTTTTTGGAACTTTGAAATTAATGCAAAATACCAATATATTTGAAAATCCTATACCATTTTTTCAAAAAGCTCAACTTTGATATCTAGTTTTATTCAGTGTAAAATGAAAAAAAATTCATTTTAAGTTGTATACTTCAATTATTGATTAATCCAAATTGTATCTTCAAGAGAAAATAAGAAATCCCTCCTTATTTTGTTAGCTAATTCGAATCCTTAATTGATAACCTTTAATTTTCTTTCTTATTAACCAGAACAAGCATTGTAGGAATAAAAAATTTAGTTAATGGAAGAAAGAAAATGGTTTTACATTCAGAATAATTTAGAAGTCCTGGATTTTTTAAACCATAACGAGAAATTTAAATAATATTCTATTGATATATTAACTGATATCAAAGAAATTAGCAACTATGTATATAGATAAAACGGCTCTCTGCCACTAAACAAAAAACCAAACTATTGGTAAAAGAAAGGATAACTAACATTGAGAAGGTTGTCAATCTAAATAGTAATTAGCATTCTTTTGGAGGGATATGTTAAATGGATTTTCATTATTCTAAATTTGTTAAGGAAATTTAAATCACTATGTCTTTGATAAATTTACTTTAAATTAATAAAACAAGCATCTTCATTTTATAATAACTAAAAGTTTATTATAATTCTTGATGATTGTTCTATTCATTCAAGTAAGTTAATGAAATAACAATATTATGTAAATTTTGATCAATTATTTTTAGCTCTATATTCTCTTAAATTAAACTGTATTGGAAAGAAGATTTTTTTATGTAGATCAAATAATTAAAATTTTCTGAATTAAAATTGTATATAATTTTGAATTCAACTATACATGAGAACTATTGAAGAATAACTATTATTCTATTTATAAATACAATTCAAAAATATTATATTTGCTTAAAAAATATAAGGGATTAATAATATTTAATGAAAACTTTGGTATCAATTCAAACTTAAAAAAATTTCTAAAAAGTGAAAATGATCAAGGTTGTCAAAAATAATATTGAAAATTTGAATAAACTGAAAATGATTAAAAATATGATGTGAGGACATTAATGAAAAATTATGAATAATAATATCAGAAATTATCATATAATTGTATTTATAAGCAAATTTTTTTAATGAGCATTTAAATATTAAAAAACTTGAAATGTTTTAGACCAACTTTCAATAACAGCCCAGGAAGGTAATACCTATTTTTATGTTTTTAGATTTATGTCTTACAAAGAACATAAAGTTAATTACCAATGAACCTTTAATAATAGCCTTAAGAACAAAAATTAGAATATTTTTAGTAATCAAAAATTGCACATTAACCTGTGATGTAAACTCTCCAATATCAAATGAATCCCCATATTAATTAATTAAAATTCAAATAGGGTGAATCAGTGTAGCAAACTCAATTAGGATAATAAATAGTTTATTAACCTAATCTATAAAATATATAAAGATCTATTGTCGCTTAAAAGATCATAAATTATCAAGATGATGAATTGATTTAACCAAAAAAAGAAAATGCAAAGTAAACAGCAAAATATGATTTAATTGAAAATTTACAATTTGAAATAAAAACTTTATACAAAATGGTAAAACTATTCCCTACCAAAGCATAATACTTACCTGGAATTGTAAGTATAAAAGCAAAAGATTAAACTATTACTCAAAATCATGAAAATCAAAGAGTTGGAATAGATTTGGTATTTATTTTTAATAAATGTTTAGATTTGTTTGATTGATATTAGTGGAAGTATGATTGGAGTTAAAATTCAAATGGTTAAATAATCTTTAATTGTTTTACTTTAATTTCTTGGAGATAACGATAGACTACAATTAATAACATTCGATGATGATGCCCATAGATTAACACCATTAAAGAGAGTAACAAAACAGAATAAAATTTATTTTACTTAAATTATTCAATAAATTCAGGCAAATGGAGGGAATCAAATCTCAGAAGCTACTAAAATGGCATTTTGCTAATTAAGACATAGAAAATATATAAATAATGTGACATCTATTTTCTTACTTTCTGATGGTGTTGATTATACTTTTCCAGAAATTAAGGAACAAATAAAGACAGTCAATGAAGTATTTACTTTACATACATTTGGTTTTGGATAAGATCATGATGCTCCTATGATGACTTAAATTTGTAATTTAAAAAGTGGAAGTTTCTATTTTGTTTAGGATGTAACATTATTGGATGAATTCTTTGCAGATGCTTTGGGAGGACTTATTTCAGTTGTTGGTGAATAATTAGAAATAACTATTACTTCTTAAGCACCTCCTCCCTATTAAAACATTTAAATATCTAAAACTTATGGTAATATGTGGTAAAAGAAAGGAAATCAATATTATATTACTCAACCTTAATTTGCTTCAGGTTCCAGAAAAGATTATGTTTTTGAAATAGCTCTTCCTAAATTTTAAGGAAGAATTTAAGATTATCAAAGATCTATTGGGGTATTATTCGCAGAATTAAAGATTTAAGATCCTATTAATAGATCTATTATAAAAATAAAAGCAAGGCTTGATTTGAATTTATTTAATTAAGATGAATAAATCAATGAAAATATTTATCCTGATATTGATGTTTATGCATAGTATTTCAGAGTCAAAGGAACAGAAGTGATAGATGAAGCAAGAAAAGCTTGTGAATAAAATAAGAATGAGGATGCCGAAAAATTAATTGATAATATGTTGATACAAATTTAAAAGATACCAAATGTTGCTGCTTAATGTACTGGAATTATTTAAGATTTGTAATAAGCAAAATAAGCATCTGCAAGAACATCATATAGTTTATTTGGACAGAAACAAATGTGTCAAATGGTCAGTAATAATTATCAATAGGGAGGAGTCAATTCTTTATTTTCTGCNCATGAGAACTATTGAAGAATAACTATTATTCTATTTATAAATACAATTCAAAAATATTATATTTGCTTAAAAAATATAAGGGATTAATAATATTTAATGAAAACTTTGGTATCAATTCAAACTTAAAAAAATTTCTAAAAAGTGAAAATGATCAAGGTTGTCAAAAATAATATTGAAAATTTGAATAAACTGAAAATGATTAAAAATATGATGTGAGGACATTAATGAAAAATTATGAATAATAATATCAGAAATTATCATATAATTGTATTTATAAGCAAATTTTTTTAATGAGCATTTAAATATTAAAAAACTTGAAATGTTTTAGACCAACTTTCAATAACAGCCCAGGAAGGTAATACCTATTTTTATGTTTTTAGATTTATGTCTTACAAAGAACATAAAGTTAATTACCAATGAACCTTTAATAATAGCCTTAAGAACAAAAATTAGAATATTTTTAGTAATCAAAAATTGCACATTAACCTGTGATGTAAACTCTCCAATATCAAATGAATCCCCATATTAATTAATTAAAATTCAAATAGGGTGAATCAGTGTAGCAAACTCAATTAGGATAATAAATAGTTTATTAACCTAATCTATAAAATATATAAAGATCTATTGTCGCTTAAAAGATCATAAATTATCAAGATGATGAATTGATTTAACCAAAAAAAGAAAATGCAAAGTAAACAGCAAAATATGATTTAATTGAAAATTTACAATTTGAAATAAAAACTTTATACAAAATGGTAAAACTATTCCCTACCAAAGCATAATACTTACCTGGAATTGTAAGTATAAAAGCAAAAGATTAAACTATTACTCAAAATCATGAAAATCAAAGAGTTGGAATAGATTTGGTATTTATTTTTAATAAATGTTTAGATTTGTTTGATTGATATTAGTGGAAGTATGATTGGAGTTAAAATTCAAATGGTTAAATAATCTTTAATTGTTTTACTTTAATTTCTTGGAGATAACGATAGACTACAATTAATAACATTCGATGATGATGCCCATAGATTAACACCATTAAAGAGAGTAACAAAACAGAATAAAATTTATTTTACTTAAATTATTCAATAAATTCAGGCAAATGGAGGGAATCAAATCTCAGAAGCTACTAAAATGGCATTTTGCTAATTAAGACATAGAAAATATATAAATAATGTGACATCTATTTTCTTACTTTCTGATGGTGTTGATTATACTTTTCCAGAAATTAAGGAACAAATAAAGACAGTCAATGAAGTATTTACTTTACATACATTTGGTTTTGGATAAGATCATGATGCTCCTATGATGACTTAAATTTGTAATTTAAAAAGTGGAAGTTTCTATTTTGTATAGGATGTAACATTATTGGATGAATTCTTTGCAGATGCTTTGGGAGGACTTATTTCAGTTGTTGGTGAATAATTAGAAATAACTATTACTTCTTAAGCACCTCCTCCCTATTAAAACATTTAAATATCTAAAACTTATGGTAATATGTGGTAAAAGAAAGGAAATCAATATTATATTACTCAACCTTAATTTGCTTCAGGTTCCAGAAAAGATTATGTTTTTGAAATAGCTCTTCCTAAATTTTAAGGAAGAATTTAAGATTATCAAAGATCTATTGGGGTATTATTCGCAGAATTAAAGATTTAAGATCCTATTAATAGATCTATTATAAAAATAAAAGCAAGGCTTGATTTGAATTTATTTAATTAAGATGAATAAATCAATGAAAATATTTATCCTGATATTGATGTTTATGCATAGTATTTCAGAGTCAAAGGAACAGAAGTGATAGATGAAGCAAGAAAAGCTTGTGAATAAAATAAGAATGAGGATGCCGAAAAATTAATTGATAATATGTTGATACAAATTTAAAAGATACCAAATGTTGCTGCTTAATGTACTGGAATTATTTAAGATTTGTAATAAGCAAAATAAGCATCTGCAAGAACATCATATAGTTTATTTGGACAGAAACAAATGTGTCAAATGGTCAGTAATAATTATCAATAGGGAGGAGTCAATTCTTTATTTTCTGCCTAAGGAATGCAATTATAATAAGTTTAACCAGCTGCATACTAGAATGTTTAATAATAATAGATGATGGTTTAAGTGTAAAAATCAAAAATACCATAAAAATTTATTTGATTTTCAATTGAGATATAATTAGATTATAAGAAATTTTTTATATGAATCGGTCTAATTTAAAATTTTTTATAAATGTGATGTA